ACCAGGAACTCAAAGTGACCATATCTGGTTCTGAAGGCTGTCTTGGGGATGTCTTCTGGGTGGACTCTGATCTGGTAATAGCCTGACTTCAGATCTAGCTTGGTAAACACCTGGGCTCTATTCAGCCTATCCATCAGCTCATCAATCCTAGGGAGGGGATATCTGTTCTTGATGGTGATTTTATTCAGAGCCCTGTAGTCCACACACATCCTCAAAGAACCTTCTTTCTTCTTAACAAAGAGGATAGGTGCTCCAAATGGGCTCTTGGAGGGTCTGATGTGGCCTGCCTCCAGAAGCTCTGAAAGCTGCTTCCTCAGTTCTTCTAACTCCAAAGAAGAGAGGTGGTAGGTTGGTCTCCAGGGGGTCTGGTTGGGGTCACTGAGTTCAATTCTGTGATCTACTGATCTCTCAGGGGGAAGTCCTGGGGGAAGCTCTTCAGCAAAGACATCTTGATAGTTTTCAAGAAGCTTGGTGACTTTGGAATCCATGGTGTCTGGAGGGGTGCTGGTATCTTGAGGGTTCTTGAGATACACAGCAAAAGCTGTTGCTGTCCTCTTCTTCAGTGTTCTGGCCAACATCTTTGCTGATACCATGGTGATAAGATTGGACTTCTGGGATTTGTTGGAAGAGCTGGCCTGCTTAACAATCCATCTGACTCTGGGGTGCTGGGAGGTGGTGAAGGTCACAGTGTTCTTGTTGTAGTTGATACTGGGATTCCTCCAGGCAAACCAAGGTATACCCAGGATCAAGTCAAACTTGATTGGGGCTACTATAAAGTCTGACTGTTCTGTGTAGGTTCCTACTGAGTACTGAAGACCTTTGACAAAGCCTATTTCTTGGTGCTTTCTGTCATCAGCCATAGAGATTTCTGCTCCAGGGAGAGAATGAGTCACCAGTTGTGCCTTCTTGACAAAGGACTGTGACACATAGAGTTGGTTTGCCCCATTATCCAGGAGAATGGTTACTGGGATTCCTTGGATTCTACCTTGCACAGTCAGCAAGTGACTCTGGGGAATCCTTGGCCCTTTGGGGGTACTTAAAGAGTATGGAGCCACCACTACTACATGGATCTTGCTTTCTTGGTAGGTGGCCTGGGTGGTCTGGGGTTCTGGGGTTCTCTGGGGTTCTTGGGTTCTCTGGGGTTCTGGGGTTCTCTGGGGTTCCTGGGTTTTCTGGGGTTCTAGGGTTCTCTGGGGTTCTGGGGTTCTCTGGGGTTCTTGGGTTCTCTGGGGTTCTGGGGTTCTCTGGGGTTCTTGGGTTCTCTGGAGTTCTTGGGTTCTCTGGAGTTCTGGGGTTCTCTGGGATTCTGGGGTTCTCTGGGGTTCTGGGATTCTCTGGGTTTCTGGGGTTCTCTGGGATTCTTGGGTTCTCTGGGGTTCTTGGGTTCTCTGGAGTTCTTGGGTTCTCTGGAGTTCTGGGGTTCTCTGGGTTTCTGGGGTTCTCTGGGGTTCTGGGGTTCTCTGGGGTCCTGGGATTCTCTGGGTTTCTGGGGTTCTCTGGGATTCTGGGGTTCTCTGGGGTTCTGGGATTCTCTGGGTTTCTGGGGATCTCTGGGATTCTGGGGTTCTCTGGGGTTCTGGGATTCTCTGGGTTTCTGGGGTTCTCTGGGATTCTGGGATTCTCTGGGTTTCTGGGGTTCTCTGGGATGCTGGGGTTCTCTGGGGTTCCAGGTAAAGTCCATGGATAGTTAAAGTCTCAGGGGTGGTTTCAGGTGGGTCCAATAGGTCCAAGGGTTGAATAACAGGAGAGTGTACCAGGTGGTGGGTGTCAGGGTGGTGGTTCTTGATATCTTCCCCAGTAGAGGCAGAATCTTCTACTGAGTCTGCTTGCCATTTCCCTGCTGCTTGGTCTTCAAGGGGCATAGGGGGGCAATATGGCCTGGTTTTCTGCACCTGAAACAGGCTCCCTTCTTTCTGAGCTCAGTCTTCTCAGCCTCAGTGAGTTTGGAGAGAGGCTTCCCAGAGTTGGTGGATATACTATCTATCTCCATAGGGACTACTCCAGAGTTCTCAGCCTTGGGGGAGTAGTAGCTGGTGGCCTGGCTTCTTTTCTGGTAGCTGAACTGGATCTGGTCAATCCTATCAGGTGTTGCTGCAGCTGTGGCTAAGTTGATGGTACTGGTGGGGTTGAGCTCCAGTTGTTCCTGAACCCTGGGTTTAAGCCCTCTGATAAACTTGTCTAACTTTTCAGCTTCTGACAAGTCATCCACCTGAAGGCATAAAGTATTGAACTGGTTTAGGTACTCCTTTACTGAGCCTTGTTGTTTGAGCCTGGCCAACTGGTCTCTTGCTGCTCTGGTGGCATTTGCTGGGAGGAAGTTCTCTTGAAGGGCTCTCTTGAACTGGTCCCAAGACTGGATTCTGAGAGGGGATCCTACTGGGTGGTTCTTGACATGGCTTTGCCACCAGACTTCAGCATGGAGTTCCAAGTAGGTGGTGGCTACTAACAGTTGGCCTTCTGGTGATAGATCTGCAGCTGCCTGGAAGTACTCTTCAAGTCTGAGGAGGTATGTCCTAATCTCTTGGACATTCCTGTTGCCTTTGTAGGGCTTCAACTTGCTTTGGAGGACTTTTACCAGGGATTTATCTACTCTGGGTTGGTACTGAGCAGTGGCTGGTGTGGTGGAGTTCAGCTGCTGGAGCTTTGCTTGATAAAGCTCCTGCCTGACCTGGTCTATGTCAAGCTCAGCAATGGTGTTGAAGAGAATCTCTTCCTGGCTGGTCATGGTGGTAATGGGGTGGAGTCTTGGGTAGTTACAATATTACTTGTAACAACAACAATAGGGTGGGTCACAGGCCCAAGAGATGCAATGTTACTTGCAGTCAAGATAGGGTGGGTCACAGGCCCAAAATATGCAATATTACTTGCAAGTACAACTGGTGGGGAGGATACAGGGGGACTCTACAGCTTCTTCACAATCCCACAATAGAAAAGCTCTATCTGTTTTATCAGAGCTTCTGATGCTAACCAAGTGGTGTGTCTGGTGGTAGTTCTGGAGGTTGTGCTGGGGGTAGGTTTGTGGTATGGGATGGTGTGGGCTGGTCTGTAGGAGTCCTTGAGGGGGGTTCTGGGCATAAGTTGGGTCTGGGATAAGAGGCAGGGGTCTTCTGATATTACTCAGAAGGACTAAGGCTGGGTCTGGGGTCTGGGGTCTGTTGGTCTTCTGATATTACTCAGAACATCTAGGGCAGGTTCTGGGGGTCTGGGGATCTTAGCTTCTGATCTCTCACAGAAGGTCTAAGAGTCTGGGGTTGTTGTCTAAGGTGGTGCTACCATGTAACAGGCTAGCAGGGACAAGAAGACAACAGAAAACTAGGGAAGACTTGGTTACTACTTGTTATTCTCTTGAGGGGCCTCAGAGAGGTCCTCTTTTTATAGACAAAGGGGCTGACAAATGCTATATCCTAACTACCCAATCAGATCTTGTACATGTCATCCTAAACTATTTGTCAGCCTATTGCACCATTTATAGCCAATCACAAGTGAGACAAGTCATCCTAAATACACTATGCCACTTGATTAAAAGGGGCAGATGCTAGTGTGTCAGGATACTCATCTAATTTAGCCAGAAATGGCTAAATCTGCTTATTTATCTAATTCTGGTCAAATGAATGCTGACACCATCAGCAAAGTCATGTGACCACTAGTTTGGAACCACATCTAACCAGTATAACCATAGCACTGACAGAAGAATTCTGTCACACTATGGCTTCTGCCCCCAACTTATTCTATTGAATACATCCTTTTTATACAAGATTTTTTGGATAAACTGTTAAACTAAACTAAACTAATGGGTGCCGCTGCATCGCAACTGATTTATTGGTGGCAGTACCGATCTCTTCCTTTTCTGCACTAGCTCAGGCCTCCACAGGTTGTACAAGGCAGGCTGAAATCTAATGCACCAATTGCCATCCTTGAACTGGTTTTTTCAGTTGCAGTAACCCAATCAGTGGAGTTGGTCATGCAATTTGTGCTTCCCGCATCCAATTTGGGCTTACTTGCAATCTCTCAAAGATGTCCTCATCATTACATCCCCCCTTTGAAGAGCCAATGCACTGGCACTTTGAGTGGGGGTGTTGGGATGTCAATTACCAGGTTGGTACTGGATCTGTGGGGTCTGCTTCATCTGCATCTTGGTTCACGACCCAGATGATACTGGCACAGCCACTGACGTTGCAACAAAACCAGATTTGATCTGTTGCAGTATGAACAATGGTACCTGGGGTCACATTGGGGCCAGTTCTGGTTACTGTAGTGAACAACTCTGATGAACCGGTTCGCTTAAAGGCATCAGGTGACCATGATTGAGGTTTCTGCAATTGCAACCTAAGCTTCAAAACCCCTGAGATCAAGCTTGGTTCTGGGCTACACCAGCACAGCACAAAGGATACATTGCGCAATCATAATTGATCATGGCAATGATCGGAAATGGGAATATCGGACACCGCCACCCTAATGAAGGTTACAGAAACTAGTGTAGATGTTACCGTAGCATATTCTTGTATAAAAAGATGAATTCAATAAAAATAAGTTGCGGGCAGAAGCTGTAGCGACACTAAATCCCCACAACTAGCTTCTCAACTCCAGTCTTAGGTTAACAGGAACCTAACAGAGTGCTTCAATGGCCTGATCACCCACACTGAAGCCTCTAAATCCTGCTCGGTTCACAACTAACCGACTCTCCTTGCCTCTTGCCCTCAAGTTGCTACCAATGCCCAAAGAAAGGATTCGGAGACTACGATTCCTAGTATGGACACCCACATAACCTGCTAGGAGACCCAAGTTGTCTTTACCACAGTCTACCAACAAAAAATCCGTTACATGGTGGAGAAGCATGATGAACCACCTTCCCCTCTCAAATTCAGCTGAAAACCTTATTCAGTCATACCGAAACTCTTGCGCAAACCGAGATCTGCTCAGGTAGCTACTCAGAAACCTTTTCTCTTGTTTTGGAAACAGACTTCACGAAACTGAGAATGATGCTGGTCGAATGCTCACCAATGCGAGGCCGCTCACCTGTGATCCAGACTCATAGTCAGGGTCCTGCGGAGGACATTGAAGTCCCTCCCGCAACATGCCCGAGGTGTTTGGGGACCACTTCCATTGAACCGGAAGCCCCTAACTTGGCCACAATGGCCTCTGAAGTGGCAGCTTTAAAAGAAGACATTGCCCACTCGACTGCTGCAATGCAGTTGGCAACTCAAAATCTTATGGAACAGCTTCATAGGCTTTCCGAATGTCAGACAGTGGCGGATGAGTGCCTCGCACGAGCCTTAGAAGCCCTAGCACATCACCCACTGCCTGAACAACCTCTCATAGCACGAGCTACAAGAGAACGGTCCGCAACCCCGTGGGAAACGTCGGACACACCAAGGGAGCGTACCGAACCAAGTTTTCCAGGTCCGGTGCCTCCAATCCAAGTGCCAGCAACACCAAGGTCAACTTCTTGAAAGCAAAGGACGTACCCGAGTTTACGGGCAAAAGAAACCAAGACATTGAAGAATGGCTTAACAAAGTCCAACTTCTTCAAAACGTTAGCGTGACTTCAGATGCCAGGATGGTACAGCTCCTACCAGCCATGACAGCCAAGAAAACCCCTGCTGACATGTGGTTTTACACTCTGGAAGCCCAGGAAACTCGCTCATGGACCTGGAAAAGGTGGAAAGAAGAACTGCTTTGAGAGTTCCGAGATCCCCTAACCAAGTCCAAGCGCAAAACTGAATATGTGTGCTGCCATGAGAACCCCAAAGAATTTCGCAGCTTTCTCGCGTTCATCGACCACAAAACTCATCTCCGGCGCCTCGCTTATGGCGACCGGGCAAACATAGAATGTCCCGCTGACCAGCATTTCGACCTAATAGTCGAACAATTGCCCAGCGACATCCAAATCATGGTCAAATCCTGTAACGTCACGAACCTGACCAAATTAAAAGACTTCCTGCGCCTTTATTTTGGCTCTGATGACACCAGAAAGCGAGACCCTTGCTACAGCGGTGCTGCAGAAGCTCAGAAGAAGTCACAAAAGACCGGAACCAACAAAGGCTCTAAGCAGACGGCTCAACATAAAACCGGAAACCCCGAAAAGGGTCGCAACGGCCCTCAGAAGATGGTTCCGGACCCCAACAAGGAACCACCGGCACCCTGCAAATTCTGTCAGAAAAAGCATTGGAATGTTTTCTGCTGGCAGAACCCGAACCGAAAAGATCCTGAAGATGGAAAGAAGGGACCATACGGAGCACCCATGCCCGCAGGTTGGAAACCCAAACAGGAGTCCAAGAAGTCATACATAGTGGAGCTGGACTCAACGTCTGCTACCACCGAGACTCTTTTTTCGGCTTCAGAACTGGAAAGGACAGCTGCCGCTAATCAAGGATTCCACACCATCGGATTATTTCATTCACCCGAGCACTCGGAATCAACAATTTTGATGACCGCACCTCTTTCCAAGGTCACAGTGACCAAGGAAGAGGACCCCCACATGCCCACGCAGGGCTGGGACCGAGTCTGGGACAACATAGCCATCATCTGGGGCACCCCACAAGTGGCTCTGATGATGGGCGACAACCCCCGCATGCTCAGCTTCTTCGCCAAAGAACCAAAGCGAGGCGCTGGGCACCTCGGGAACGACCCCTACACAGTCACGTGGAGTTCCCACCACCTCTACATTGCTGCCTCAGCTGAAGCTGACAAGGATCGAATCCTGCGAAAAGTCCGAGAAGATGGTACCCCTCGTTTGATCCTCCTTGCCTGGATAAGGCTCGATGAGCGCGAGAAATTCTTGATGTGGAGCTCTGAAGATCCTGTTATCTTTGATTCTTACGCCAACCTGCAACTGGTGGCATTTCTCCTGACAGGCAATATCGTTTGCTCAGACTATTATTATTGTCGCGGAAACCCCAAATTTCTGCACGTTAAAGACCATCCACGTCTCCAAAGACACAAAGAGAGCGAACGGACGTGTATAGTCATGCTGGCTATCGAACAAGTTGCTCGCCAGAATAAAACAACAAAACCACAAAATGACAAATCTAGAGAGCACTTTGAGAGTGCGATCAAGGCTACGGAAGCAACAAGTAACGACATCGCGCCCCATTTCGAGGTCGCGGTGCCTTCCATCAACGCCTTCTACTCGGTAGATTTAGGCGATGTACTCAAAAGCCAGACCAAGACCCAAACGCAGCCTTGCTGGATGCTAGCCGTCATCACTCAGCTCTGGGCACCTGTGGTACTAGACACAGGAGCCTGCAAGTCTCTGGTTTCCGACACATACCAGGGCCTTCTGTTCTCCGAAACCGATTTGCAGGATGCGGAAACGATGGCTTTCAATGGCATTGGTGGACGTATCTCATCTACCAAGACAGTATGCCTCGAAACTTCCCTCAAAGGCCACGGAGGAGAATACCTGACTTTCCACACCTATTTCCGAGTCATTGCATACGGGAAACCTCTCATCATCCTAGCCAATGACATTCTGGGACATTTGAAACTCCAAACCTTGGTTCAGGAACCCCCGTTACCCAGTTTTGCGGTGACGCTCAAGAATCTGGACATCCTTATCCCTTGCTCCATAACGGATGAGCTGGACACCAATCACATGCGCGGCACGCCATACAAGACCAAGCAGGGCGAATTCATGAAGGATGTGTCAATGCCACGGCTGACCAAAGCCAAAGCTCAGAAGTCTAAATTAACCATGTTAATCACGGGACAGATGCATGTGGCAGCCCAAACTTTTCTCATCGAAAACCCTCTTGAGGCCACCGCAGCTAGCTCAATGGCCCCGTTAGGCCTCAAACTGTCCACTGCAACCCATAATTCGGTTGCGGACCCCAAAGAGAACATTTCCAAAGAAGAATGGCAGACACTTTGGAACAAATGGAACCTCGACTCTACGGAGAAGGCTCCAGGGGCCTTTGAAGCCCAATTAAAAGACGCGGAACATTTCCACGTCGATCTCAAGCAACCCAAACCCGTGGTCTGGGCCCTAATCAACATTCTACGACACTTCCATCAAGCCTTCAGCTATGAGGGTCATCTCATAGGGAACTACACCAAGATTCCTTATGCACCTCAATTTATCTCAGCTCTGCCACCCCTTTCGAGGCCATGGTTGTACTCTCCATTGGAGCGGACAGCCCTCGAGACGGAGTGAGACACCATGATGGGGCTTCAGAGGTGGAAACGAACCACCGAAGTAACCTTCACCAGCAATCCTGTTATCATTCGCTATGCAGACAAACCCCCGCAGGTAGCCTTCGACTATCGCCGAGCCAATGACTGCATGGCCTGGGACCCATATCCCTTTCCCATCATGCTCGACATCCTGAACTGGATCATCGCAGTCCCATTCCGATACATATTGGGAGGTGACACAAACAAAGGATTCTACCAAATCGCCATCACTGATGCATTGGTACGCAAATGGCTCACGATCAGACTCCATGACGGCATCTATGAACCACTCTTTATGCCCTTCAGACCCAAGACTGCCCCTTCGCACTTCTGTCGGGTAATGGACGACACCTTGGGTCCCTCCAAATGGCAAAATATCAACAACTTCGTTGACGATATCCATACACGAGCGGAGACAGCCGCGGAAGCCCTAGACGCCATCGCGGACTGGCTCGACCGCTGTTCCAGAGCCAAACTCACCCTAAGACTCGACAAGTGTCAATGGCTCTTTCACCAGCTCACGGCTCTCAGTTTCGTTGCCTCCTCCCAGGGTCTCGCTACCGATCCAGACAAGGTTGCAACCATAGTCAATTGGCCATGACCCAAATTCATAGGTGACCTATGGTCCTTTGTGGGTCTCCTAGGGTTCTATGCCCAATTCATCCCTCGCTACGTGGAACTCGTCCGACCCCTGCAAGATGCTATCCAAGAGGGCGTTCGCGAATACCAAGACCTTAAAAAGGGTCGCGCTGACCCAAAGAAAGGCACTGAAAAGCTCAATTCACCATCCATGCTCGACACGGTGGTGGCCCCTACAATCACAGCCACCGGAGCCCGATTTGAGGTTTCGCAACATCCAAAATCTAGCTCCTCAGACCAACCGGCAGTCAATCTATGCCAATCATCGCTGGTGGACTTGCCCATTGACCCCTTTTGTGTCGGACGCCTTGCTCGCAAGCGCCCCGACCAAGGTCTGCGCAGATTTATTGCGTGTGAAGTTTCATGGACCGATTCCCGAAACTCTGCCTTCGCAGCCGCCAAGCAGGCTCTGACAACAGCTCCAGTGCTTGCCGCACCCAGAAAAGGGTTCCCCTACACCCTTCACAGTGACGCTTCCTACACAGCGTTTAATGTCATGCTCGAACAGTTACAGCCGGATGCTTCTAAATGCCTGCTGTGCTACCATTCCTGAGGCACCACCACCTCAGAAAAAAAGGCCCCCCCCATCGAACTCGAGGCCGGATGCCTCATTTGGGGCGTCGGAAAACTCCGCCCATACCTCGAAGGCCTGCCTTTCATGGTCATTACCAATCACCGAGCTCTTTTGTGGCTCGCTAAATACAAAGGTGAGAACCATAAGCTTCTCTGCTGGGCCCTCAATCTTAGTTACTGGTCTGAATGGATGACAATCGTTCACAAACCAGGATGTTTTCACATTGTCACTGATACACTTTCACGGCTACTAGGAGCGGAAACCCTCCTCTGCTCCACCGCGACCCAAATATGGGTGGCGGAATGCGGAAGACAACGGCTGCGCACCACACCAGTGGCTCTTGCACCTTCCTCAACACTGGCAGATGCCGTCTTTCGTCTGGCATTACAGCCTGCACTCATTGCTGCCATCCGCACTGGCCTCACCAGCCAGCTCCACCCCATAGCCCAACAGGCCCGCACGCTCCTATGGGAGACCAGCCCTGACACCTACACTACAGCCAACGCGCGCTTTCTTCAGGACTGGCAACGTGCAGATAACCTGCTGTGGCACCATTTTTCAGTCTCCGAAGACCTTTGGCACCTCTACGTGCCCCCTGCTTGCACCCCCAAGGTGTGCAAGCTTTTTCACGAGGGGGGAGGACACTTCGGATTCGAAAGAACCTATGCCAGAGCTGCAGCGCAAGTCTGGTGGCCAAAGATGGCACAAGATTTCAGAAAACACTGCACAGGATGTGAAATCTGTCAACGCTCAAAAAGGGTACCGCAACTGATTCCGGGGTTGCTGAAACCCATACCACCAGCTCCGGGACGCTGGACAGTCATCACGACTGACTTCGTAACCAAGCTCCCACTTACTTCCAGAGGGTACGATGCCTTTTGGCTAATAGCATGTAAATGCTCAAAGAGGATCCACGTATGGCCCCTCAAGAGCACTGCGACAGCTATTCAGGTCGCGGAACTCTTTATAGAATGCTACATCCCATTGCACAGCATTCCGGAGACTATTATCTTGGACCATGACCCCAAGTTTACGAGTTGATTTTGGCAGGAGGTCTGCAAAAACCTAAAGATTAATCAAGAGCTCACCACAGCCTACCACCCTCAAGGTGATGGACAATCAGAGAGAGACAAAGCAATGGTCTTGCAGGTCCTTACCACAATGGTCAACACATGATTAGATGACTGGGACACCTTTCTTCCGGTTGCAGAATTCATTATCAACGATACAGTACACAAGGTGACAAAAATGACATGATTCAGAATGGACCTAGGCTATGAGCCCCACAATCCACTGGTGGATATCGTCGAAAGGCCATCAGAAACCAGAAATGCAGATGCAGAAGAGCTCTGTAAACACCTCGGCAACCTAAACATCCTTATCCGAGATCTGATGATCGAAGCCCAGGATTTGCAGAAAAGATATTATGATTTATCACGACAACATTTGGAGTTCCGGAGAGGAGATAAGGTGCTTCTGAGCACAAAAAACCTAGCAGGGTATGAGTCCAAGATTGCCCCAAAATGGCTGGGACCAGTCACGGTGACCGACTGTAACCCTCTCCATGACAACTATGAGTTAAAACTGCCAGACAAGATGAGACGACTTCATCCATGGTTTCACATATCAAAATTACATCTGTACCAGAAGCCTGTCAACGCCAAAACTGAGGAAAAGGTTGCAGAAGCACAAGCGGAGGATTCCGACGCTTCAGAGGGCGAGTTTGAAGTGGAAGTGATAGTAGACCATTGAACCAGGCATGGAAAACGTCAATTTCAAATATGTTGGTCTGGATACCCACCCCATGAGGATACCTGGGAACCAGAGGAAGCCCTAACAGAGGCTTCTGAAGCCTTAGAAGAGTACTGGAGATCCAGAGCTCCCACTAGCGCGCTAGTAGAGGACTCTTTGGTAGTCAGCCTTGCAGGCGACACCCCGGAAGATACGGCTTATGCTTCCGACCACCAATGCTTCGCGGTTTATCCGGACAATAGCTCACGTGATAATCACGCCCTCTCACCAGAAAGAAAACCAGTTTTGTGTGGCTTACCTCACCAGTCGAGAATGCCACACCAAGCCTCCCGATCACGCTTATGTGCATCTGAGCTGTCAAAATCAGCCGGTGACGACCTTAAAAGGACGCCCCTGCATGCTCCCCCTCTTTGTTCCTCTTCAACCGCCCATGACCTACTTCCCTTACACACTCACTCTGCTTCGCAAACCCCTTCTATTGACACTGAAACTAAAACTTTCATTTCTAACACAATGAACACTGATCTCAGAGGACAAGCAGGAGTGAGCATACCCTCCATGTACATGTCTGGCTACCCTTGGGAGGAAGACTCAGGTGACTTCGAGGCCGAGGGCGTGCTGGATCGCCTTGGGGTTGCGATCGCTACCTGGGTTCACCCTGGGTTCATCAGCTTCGGACCAACCCCAACGCGCCGCTGCAGACTCCAGGGCATGAGTTTTGGCTGGGAGTTGACGCTCCGAAACCTTACGCGGTGGGCCAGCCCCTCACAAACCACATTGCGGACCCCTACAGCAAGGCCACCGATGGTGGTGAAGCAGTGGTTGGAATAGTTGCTGACGTGAAAAACCCGGAAAAAGAGGGCGCCCAGCTCCGTGCGCCGCTTGGCTTGACCGCGGGGTTCCCCAACACGAGGCAGGAAGCCGAAAAATGGCTCCGTTCACCGATTGGCTGAACGATGATGCCCACGAGTTTGCGTCTGCCATCATTGAAGCAGCTAGGATGGTGCTCCTAAGGACAGCAAACGCAGCGGAAGCCTCTGCAAGGCTCACCAGACCCCGACATCACGAGCATGCAGAGTACCATTTCCGCGTGACAAACCTGAAAAGGGCCGCGGAGACCTTTACGGCCCTCTATGTAACCAGAACTGGCCCTGACGTGACCCCAGGTACCATCGTTCATACCGCAACAGATCAAATCTGGTTTTGTTGCAACATCAGTGGCCGTGCCAGTATCATCTGGGTCGTGAACCAAGATGCAGATGAAGCGGACCCCACAGATCCGGTACCGACCTGGTAATTGACATCCCAACACCCCCGCTCGGAGCGCCGGTGCGTTGGCTCTTCAAAGGGGGGATGTAATGATGAGGATGTCTTCGAGAGATCATGAGTAAGCCCAAATCGGACGCGGGAAGCACGAATCGCGTGACCAACTCCACCGATTGGGTTACCGCAACTGAAAAAACTGGTTCGGAGAATGGCAATTGGCACATTAGATTTCAGCATGCCTCGTACAACCTGTGGAGGCCCGAGCCAGTGTGGAAAAGGAAGAGATCGGTACTGCCACCAATAAATCAGTTGCGATGCAGCGGCACCCATTAGTTTAGTTTAGTTTAACAGTTTATCCAAGAATCTTGTATAAAAAGGATGTATTCAATAAAATAAGTCGTGGGCAGAAGCCGTAGCAACACTAAATCCCCACAACTAGCTTCTCAACTCCAATCTTAGGTTAACAGGAACCTAACAGAGTGCTTCAACAGCCTGATCACCCACACAGAAGCCTCTAAATCCTGCTCGGTTCACAACTAACTGACTCTCCTTGCCTCTCACCCTTAAGTCGCTACCAACGCCCAAAGAAAGGATTCGGAGACTATGATTCCTAGTACGGACACCCACACAACCTGCTAGGAGACCCAAGTTGTCTTTACCATAGTCTACCTATAAAAAATCCATTACAAAGGGATGGAAAGGGCAGCTGCCACTGAAAAGCGATGCACAGAAAGCTTTCTTTACTCAGCTACGCTATTTAAAGTCAGTTTTCCTTTTCGAAACCATGCCAGAATCGCTGGATGACTTGACTGCTGAAGAGAGTGAACTTCTAGAAGAGATTTGGTCCCTTAACATTCCCCTTTCTGATGACCAGCCACTATTCCATTGCTGTAGACCCTCTCATGTTCTTTCCTGCATACTGTTGGGTGTCAAGCCTATATGAAAAGCATGGATTTCGACAGTTCAGTGCCATCCCACTTCACTGCTCCCTCATCCAAAGCCATGTGCGGATCGACACCATCATCCTCTACTCTCATGTTCTTTGCATCACACGACGAGAAGCAGAAGCCATAGAGAAGGTTGATTTATGGTTGCACATCTGCAATCTATGTACCAAAGCTTTTCGGTCTCGCTGCAGTATGCAGTTTGAAGGCTCGATCATGACAGATGGAACCTCGGTATCTGTATACCTAAAGCACCCAGAAGCAGACAAGTATGGAAAGCATGGAGCAAGAAAGTCAGCAAACATGGTGGTGGCAGAGGCCAAAGTGCTTTATGTGGAGAACAACTTACCTGCTTGTCAAGCAGCAGAGAATGTCATCATTATTGACCCAAACAAGCATGACATTCTCTACTGCCAAGACAGCAATGGTATGACATTTCGCTACACCACCAACCAGTGAGCCATGGAGACTGGAAGCTGTCGATTTGCAAAGAGACTAGAAGCAATGAAGGAAGAAGCTGGAGTTGATCTCATAGAATCACGAATACCATCCCACAAAACAATGAACCTCATGGACTTCACTCGCTACCTTCTTGTTTGCCACGCTGATTGGGATTGTCGCAAGGAATTCTATTCGCATCCTGCCCACATGTGGTGGAAGTGGCATGCATTTATAAACCATCAGAAGAGTGAATCGAACCTCATATCCAACTTGTGTGACAAGTTTGGGAACTTTACCATTGTGATGGGTGATTGGAGTGATGCCGGTCGAACTGCAAGATTTCATACCTCATCAAAGATGAAAGGTTGGCACACCCTCTTTAAGTGGAACAGAATCAACTGCTTCCTCCTTGATGAGTACAAGACCTCATCTGTCTGCCCTCACTGTTCCTCTGGCATTGAAAAAGGCTTCAAACAATGACCTCATTCAAGACCTTGGCGCCGTCACAAAGGCAAGATTGAAAAAGTCCATGGATTGCTGGGTTGTGCCAACCCTAACTGTTTGCAGCAAGCCTGGATGATGCGCTACTGGAATCGAGATATGCTGTCAACCTGCAATATGCTAACGATCGTGCAATCAATGTTGGATGGGCACTGTAGACCAGAGGTGTTCAGCAGGAGGAGTGTTCCAGCCGTAGCGTAGCATAGATTGGTTAGATTAGCTTTTCCGAACCGGTTGTCGCCGGTTTATTCCCTGGTGTGGAGGCACTGACATTTGTTTTTGCTAATACACTAATTGGTGAGGAACTTAAGTTATTCTATTGTAACTAATCGTATAAATAAATTAAAGCAAGTCGCACTACTCTTACAAAGACCCTTCCTCCTTCCCGGGTACCTCGTCCCGTCACACATCAACACCGGCTCTTCTTCTCCCTGGTCTCCAACCCCAAAACCTTTTCCACCACCGATCTGGGTCCGTGCACTTTGGCCCCTCTTCCCTGGCTTTCAAGTAAGCCGGAAAAGTATTTCCAAACATGCTCCAAACAACTTCTTTTGCTGCTTCATCAAAGATTCCTACATGAATGGATCCTCTCTTCATGAACGCCTGGCGGATTACGTCTGCGACTGACGACGGGAGGTTAACTTCTAGCGGCGCGTTCCGACTCGTAAAAGTATCATGGAAGGACTGGAATCGAGCGAGGAGATGTGGTGGGACGATCCAGTCCCGTGGGACCTGAGATGTATGGTTGCATATTGTTGATGGAGGTTCCTGGATGGTTGTGGAAGGAGAATTGGAAGATGATCCAATAACCGGCTCTTTCCGTTTTGACCATGCATCAGCCACACTTCGTCGTCTGGGTCCGAAAATGGCTACTGTGCTGGGGCGGCTAGGTAATGTGAAATTTGGATCCCGAGATTCCTCCACCCATGGTGCAATGTCGGAGGGCTTGTTGTATGATATGGGTTCTAATTCTATGCCGTTCGGGGTCTCGGATATTGAGCATGATCGTGGAGATGGCGTTGCTGTTGCTGGTGCGGTAGTGTTGGGAGAATTTGTGTAGGCGGCCAGAACGGCATCTTGAAGGGATGTATATTCCTCGTAGAAGAGTGCATTGTCGACGTTAAAATCTGCAGATAGAAACCGTAAGACACGCAATGCCTGGGACGTAGGCATATTTGAGGGGCATACTCACCAGCGATCGCAACTTGTTTGAACTCTGCAAACAAGACTGGGTTGTTCAAAACTTTCTGAAAGCTTTCCATGTTGAGACAGAGCGTTACGCTCCGTCGCCGGTTCTCCTCGGTAAAAGATCTGACAGCTGGAACGAAGACTGCTGTTGCATGATTGGCTACCTGAGCCAGTATCGTCTGGGAAACGGAGAAACAGTGAGATGCTGTAACGTTGATGACGTTGAAGCTTTGCATGTAAAAACTTACCCAGAGTTGATCTGGGAACACAACCAGTACTGCAGGCCACTTCCGCTCAACATAAAAGACCCATAAAATGTAAAATAGAAAACCAGGAATTCCCGCCGCAATTCCCGTCCATACCGCCGTCCGAATGCCATACGCATCATTCACATCTCTCAGTTTCATAGATGCGAGGGGACATCCGACGAAAAGGTACAGCGCCAACAAGGCTGTCACGGGAGCATATTCCCATCCCAGTGCGCAGCGCATGTTACTTGTGTCGCTGTAATCGACAGCAGGCCACAGCCTGTTTTGCCTTGTCAGGACTTGCGCGATGATCGTCCATATTGCAAAGAGGGTCACCCAAACCGCGAGGTGGCTGGTGAGATGGGGTTCTGAGGCTTCGGTCTGGCGACGGCGCATGGAGGTAACTGCTGCTGGCTGTTGGTCCTGTTGACCTAGGCTGGTTCTAGGTCTAACGAGGCCCTCTGTCGAGGTTGCTACTGAAGTGGCGGAGATGGAGGATGCTGAGGATACTGGAGGCCGATCTCGTGGTATTGGGTCGGTGAACAGGGTCGTAAAAAAGGATGCTTTCCAATGGCAGAGGTTATATTTTCGAAATACAAGGACACCCCGAAAGAAGATAGTCAAGATAGTAGTGGACTAAAGTAGATACCAATATTATTAACAGCACTTCAACATCCTATACAAGAACGTTGAAAACCTACCACACCGAGATTGATTGTCCACATCGTCGCACTGCATGGCCATCTCTTTAAAACCACATGGAGTCCCATATCAGCGCAAACCAAAAAGCCACTGATCGCTCCTACGACAGTCAAATACACTCCTCCCTCTGCAATGCATGGTGTATGTCTTCGACGAATGTACAGTCCCAAACTACAAAACGAGAAATGAGCTTAAAGAAGCAATCACCGCAGCGGCTCAGAACCACGCACCTGGCCAGCCACCACACAGCCAAGACAGCAAGAAAGGTTCCGTATATGCGCTCGATCAATCCAAAGTCGACCACGCTGTAATCCGGTGGAGGGCCAATCTCGAGCCGCCTGTGGATACCGACATGGGTACCATTATGTGAAAGCAAACGTCGAAGGGCCATCATTGACGCTTCAGCTCGCTCTATTGTCCACTCTGTACAATCAGTGATTGTAAAGCAGCTGGTCAACACCCACTAAAAGCCATATTTTTTTTGTTTTTTGGATCGAGTAATACGCCAGTTGAACAGTAAACAAGACCAAACCCTTGCAGGAATGCTTGCCTTCTTGCCTTGACGGCTGCCGTCTTACAAAAAAAACTGCCATCCATTTCTCGATGAGTGTACCAGGAAAACGGACAGGGTAGGACAAGGCGATGAACAAACTCCACATGGGGATAAAAGCAAAATGCTAGCAAACTTTGAAAATCGTAATCAAAAAAAGTCAGCAACGACCCCACGACAAGAAACAACCTCCATGGTTCAGCCGTTCATTGTGCGGGAGTAACAGTGGTCCGATTGCCCGCAACCTACCTTCCTTTGCCTTAAAAATTCCTGCCGTTTCCTCTTTTTTTTGCTTCCCAAACTTGATGTTTTCTTGCTCGCTGGCCATGATAAACCATAAGATAATTTCACCTTTTTCCTAGTTTTTCATTTTTGATCCTTTGCCCTTTGGTCTTTCCTGGTCCATTTTTGCGCTTTCACTTTACAGTCTGTCGGGACTTTTCGCACTCACCATTAAAATGTGCATTGGAATGCATGATCGTGACATTCAAGTCAGGACACAAAAAATTTCAAAGTTTGCTGAGGACTTTGAGGGGCAAGCCTCATTTGACATTGGGGTATTGAATGGAGCCTGGATGGACCTCAAGCGGTTGGATCCATTGGTCAAAAGAGTGTTCCTGCACAGACGATTCTCCAACGTCGGACAGCAAAGCCTGGATGCCCAGCATCGGTGGCAGGCTCGTTGCTTGACATCCGTGGTCACTTTTTGTTCGACAAAGTTATTCCTCCATGAACGGTCCACTTTTCCTTGGGATTTTTCGATCTGAGTTGCTGTCGAAAAAAAACAAAAAAAAAAAAACAACTAGAAGCGGAGGTTGAGAAAGATTGTGCATCTCTCTCTCATCAAGAATATTTTTAAAGGATCCGTATCTGGGGCTTTTTCTTGCAGATCAGAAATTCTTCTGCTTGCTAGGATGTTCTACCATAATCCCATGCCAGCCGCGCCATCCTCCTCATTTGAATGAAGCAACCCGCCCCCAAACATCCTTTACGCCCCAAATACCCTGTCGTACACCCTCTAGCTGCAATATCTGGCTATGATCTACAAAGAGATTAACGTCTGGCCCATAGGTCTTGATGTAATGGGTGAAGACTTCAGGGTCAGAGGCTTCGAACATTAGTTTTTGATAGCCTATTTGGTTGTAGGTGAGCAGTCACGATAGATGAAGTAATGCACCTTCATTTGATACCTAGCTCGCTGACGATTTTGGATATAACATCTGTTCGCCAGGTTTTAACACTTTCAGTTATACCTGCGTACTGATAGGATGAATGTCTTGTTGAATAAAGTCAAAGGTTTGTGACCCTCACCTTCGCTTTCGATCATAATCATATCGCATCCTGTCATCGTGGCCCAATTTCACACGCTGGTCCTCCTGTTGAACTAATGTTGAAAGACTTACCCATATCCAAGAAGCGCCTTGCCTGGGAAATCAAGATATCCACGTCCTTTGTTCCTTCAGCTTCAAGCACACTTGCTAATGACATAGACCAACGGTTACTCACTAATCTTTCCAGAATGCGTGAACTATGAACAAACCTTCCGTAGTCCCTCCGGCGCCAAATTGTATTCCAACCTCTGGTTTAGGTTTCACTCCAAAGGCATGGCAACGTTCGACTAACCGTGCCCAATCGTCCAAAGGTAAGGTGATAAATCCACTCGACAGTTCCACAATATCGAACCTAGCAAACAGTTAAAAGCCAGATAACCTGGACCAGCCCTTTAACTTGGAGCTTACCCAACATCTTTACACTTCTCCAAGTATTTATCAACAATTTCTCTGCGACCCTGTACACCGGTGCCTTGAACCAAAACCCGTTCGATGAATCCTCCAGTCGACACCGTGACATTGTGGCTATGGGCGAGGTCGATAAGTTCGCGTAGGGCACGCTCAGGAAGAAGAGTAAATGAACCGCCAGCGAACTACATGTTTGATATTAGTTGAACGGAGATTATCATAGGGGAGTGATGTACACCTTGAGGCTGTCGATCCATTGACCAGAGGTTTCCAGTACGTCAGAGAGATACCGTTTGCCTACTACAGAATAGTAGGGTCCTCGAATCTCCGTTATGCCTCGACTGGAAATACAACGACCCGTCCAGAGTAAATCATCACTTTGTAATATAGCAGTTCGTCCTCACCTCCTAGGTTTGGTGCCTCGTTCTTCACCAAACCCAAGAAACTCAAATGCCCGCTTAGGAATTTCTACATCTTGCTGACTCATGGCTGTGTTCTTATCCTTGTGTTTCTGGGCGCTTGTCGCTGCAATGGGTCTAGTGCTAACGGTGGTACCCAGATAAAAGCGCGGTTTCTTGACAGAAGGCAATGAAACTCTGGTAGGTACAGGCTTAAAGGGCATCTTTAGCGCTTGGGCGTGTAATGGAATTGGCAAGTGCTGATCTTCAAGACGTCTTGGGGCTTGTTTTCAGCTGCCGTAACGAAAAGCCATAGATTGACGATGGGGTCAGTTCAGACGCGGTCACTGTGGCTTGGCTCCGATGACGAGAACATGTTGGATGTACGAGCCGTGGAATATGCACCGTTGAAGTCGACGCTGCCAGCGCTGTTTTCCGGACATTAATTAATGGAAGAAAAGTTTTTGGGAATTACATGCTGAGCTCATGTGTTTTATTTTAAGATGGACACATGAATCGAGAGGCACACGAAGCAAAAGCATGAAAGGGCAAAGGGCATGACCTGGTCTCTCACCCTACTCACGCTGAGAGGAAACGACTGCTGAGAAACAGCTTTTATTGACCCTCGTCTTCTCTGCCGAAATTCATAATATGGGAATATGCTTGGCACTGCAGATAACGTTAATGGTCGAAAGTGAAGAGAGTCACGTGGTTCTCGCGAGATCACGTAATCCTTCGTACTGGATCGGAGATTATCTGTTTACCTATCTGGTTCTTTTTTCTCTACAGAGTTCTTAAGAGGACGTTCCAAAACAACAGGGTCCATTTCGTATACCTTTATTGACCAGGGTAGAGTTTAAACGTATTTGAGAAATGCCGGGAAGAATCTGGGCAGCTGCGAAAGCAGTTGCCGCGGTGGCATTCAGCGTTCATGCTCTCTTTGGTGGAGCGAGTCAAGGTACAAATAGTCTTACCATCATAGCATGCTCATCTTGAGAAAGCAAAGAAGCTAATGTCGTTGTCACTAGCTACCCCCGCTCCCATCAGTCCCCGTTCGTCTCTCACAACCACGACGAGACCCCTTCGCCCTTATCCCGGTAATCGAACCAACTATCCATCGGGGCTCCCACGCAACGACAGCAGTTCTGCTAACCCAAACTATGCCGCGGTTGCTCAGGGAAATGTGACAGTGCTTATGCCGTATGACCGTGCCCATAATTCATATGCACCAGATTTGAAACTAGCCCAGCAGGCATGGGGGGAAGCCAATAATGTTTCCGTTCATTGGAAGGATTTTGGTCCGGATGTTGACTATGATGCGTATGTGCAGCGTGTTATCCAGGCTTGTGCGAGTGGGGAGGATGATTTTGATGTAATTTGGGTTGAAGCAAGTTATGTGGGAGTGTTGGCGGATTGTTTGATTGATGTGTGGGCATGGAGTGATACTCTTGGATCGGATCATATTGGGGCGGTTGCAAGGGGTGGAGTCATCAAGGATCGTCTGGGTAGGTGTTAACTTCCGTATTAAGCGTTAACACCTGTTAACGAATTCTTGGAAATGTTATGACCACAGTCGCCCTTCCTGCTGAGCTTTCTTTTGGAATACTTCTCTACAACATGGACCTGCTTACTCGCTATAACTATTACTCCCCACCTGCTTCTGTCGCAGAAATGGAGGAAATGGCCGCACAGATCCTCATTGGAGAGAAGGTGATGGAACATCAAGCACTGTGCGGTTTGACTGGAGCCATGTTTGGTAAGCTTCGACGTTGTCACATATAATCTGTTCATTTGGTACTCATAAGGCTATGCCCGTCATACATAGGCGAACCACTGGCGTCTATGGCTACAGAATGGTTAGCTGGCATCGGTGCCGCACTTGTCAACGACACAGGAGATGTCACTATCGCGACTACACCTGTTGCTGGCCTTTTCGCAAGTGTTATCAATTGGCTCCAAAGCGGTATCCTTGACCAAGCTGATGTAGGCACAGCTGATATGGACGCAGCCATTGCGCGGTTTACCAACGGGAATGCCATTTTTCTCCGCACCACGACCTCGATGCTACCTCAAATTATGAACACGTTGGAATCTGCATGGTTCGGATGGGGTGTGGCACCTGTGCCTTCTCAGCTTGAGAACGGGTTAGGGGTTGGGACCATTGACGGATGGTTTACGGGTGTTTATCGCCATTCCAAAAATCCTGCCGCCGCGCTACGAACCGTCGAATGGTTAACAAGCGCAGAATACCAGAAGCAAAAGATTTTGAAAGTCGGTACAAGGATGGTGGGGACGTTCCCTCAATTCCTCCTTGACCGTCAGATTTGCCAAGCGTATGGCTCTGTTCGCGATGTGTCTCTTTGTCTTATTTATTCGCAAGTCAACTTGGCCCGTCGTCCGATTCCCCAAACTGGGGCCAAATACCCCAACATCTCTCTTACTTTCCAAAAATTCCTATTGAATCTTTTGGATGGCAACACATATATCATCACTGGACTGGAAAACCTCGACAAGTCACTCCGGACACAGCTGGATCTCCCACCTAGAGATTACAGCATTATACTGGACCCTGGCGTCATTGGTCGACCAGGCAAAATCATTCCTCAAAAGGTTGGAACACAACTTGCGGGGTTATTCTTGGTCGTCGGTGTAACTGCCTTGGTTGTCTTCCTTTACCGACGGAAGCAGCGGTTGGACCTCCAGTCAGAGTTACGGGCGTCTGCAGCGTCAGTGGTTGAAGCTGCAAGACAGGGTGGTGCCCCTACCGGGGAGTCTCATGAGATGGGGCAGGTAAAGGAGGAGAAAACGGCACGTAAAAGTAAGGGCAAGGAGAAAGAAGAAGATCCATATGGAGAGAACACGTCATTGATTCAGAAATCTGAGAAAATAGAGATTTGAGCGTTCATTAGCGACTTACAGTGGATATGGGGTTATTTTGGCATTAGTTACATGTATCTGTCGTCAAATATCTACCTCGATATTAGTGAGGCCTTGTGTTAAAGATGAATCTTCCATGTCGAGTCCACCAGAAGCCATATCGTCCAGATTCTACCTATCGGATCTAAATACGTTCTCTATTCTCCTAATAGCCAGCCAATGCCCTCATAGACATTCTATACTGACCTTCTATACTACCATCGGGTCACAAACGTCCTTCTAACAACAGCATCTGTTCACCATCAACAAAGCCTCTCATTATTGCCATCCCCCTCAGTCTTCTTTCTTCGTTGTGGGGCGACATCGCCTCTGCACAGCCGATTATGTGGAGGGCTTGCCCGAAAGGGAGGGTCTTGCCGTTGGGTTCCTTCAGAACCAATTTGGATATGGCAATGCAGTGTACGGTTGATGGCTTGTGAGGCGTGGTGCTAATGAAGCGATGTTGAACGTATATCCATTTCCTAAAGAGATCAAAAGCAGTCTGAATATTTGTTTTCAGATCAAGTGGTATAGCAGGGACAACAACATACTCATCATAGCCCAGTAATGTAGACTCAATAGCATACTTCTGTAATGGCCCCAATTCCCGCATAAAGAACGACTGAACGCCCCCTACCATGATCATGACTTTTCTATTGAAATCCAATCCCAAAATTGCAATGGCCCAATCTGTTCGCGCATAATCTAAATGCTTGTTATAAGTGCTATTATTCATGTGCAAGTTCCAGTCCATATCGTCAGGCCAGACACGGTAAGTCAAATATTGCGGTGCCCAGATAGTGGCTGCAGGTCTCCATCGACGACGGAGACCGGCTTGAACGATATGCTTGGAGAGGCGGAGATGGTGTGCAAAGGGCAAGGAGCGAATGTTGAAGAGTAGGAGAGCGAAAGCGAGGAGACGAGGGCGAGTGTATATCTTGCGACCAAGAATAAGAAAGAGGATACCTATACCCAGTACGACTAGGCGGCGCTGAACGATAGCTTGGTTTGCACCCGCCATGTTGGGCTCGAGCGTCTATCTCAACCTGGGTGTGGATGAGCGAAAGACGGGATACAGCCAACTACTCTTCCACACCAAAGGTTGAAGAGCAAACCGATAGCGAAAAGGAAATCTGCCAAGAGATCTGGATGTAAATCACGTTGTGGCTGTCCAGAAAAGGCAATACTCATTCACCCCATTGACAAAAAGCAGAATGATGTGTGCTTTGGCCGAGAGTCGAACCCAGGTCTCTAGGGAACTGCAGCAGGCGGGAACTTAATTTTTTAATTTGACAGCAAATAATACCGATCACATCAGACATTCCTGACAACGATTTGACAAGACATGTTGGGGAACAACCTTTAGATTTCCATCACTCAAATGATTATCGGCACCGCACCAGGCCTTTAGAAGCTTTGAAGATATTCAGCACGGCATGCAAAAGTGACGCACAGGATGGAAGGACGTAGAGGGTGCAATGTCATGAAACGGATGAGATGTGAAGGAGATCACCATAAGATTATTGGGACTATTATACATTCTCTAAACATTAAGAGTCATTATTACCATGGAAGCTCGGTTGCCGAACGCTGACATGCATCACGGTCATGTGTTTTTCAGGTCACGCCAAGTTATTCTATTCTTTTGTAAGATATAAGATGAACGCACTATTTTTGGCGCACACACTCTTACAAAAACACACATATTTCGTTCTTTTTCTCTCACTCCATTTTTCTTCTCTCACTGCTTCTCTCGCTCTCTCTATCTCTGGTGCTTTCGTTCATTCTTCCTCATTTCTTGTCAGTTTCCTGGCCTTTTTCTTTTTTCTCACATCAAACCAATTATTTCCTCCATAATAGAAACAATGTTTGCAATTTTCTTGTTTCGCATGGGGTTGGCTGCAACGGCTCTCGTTCCTCTTGGGTGGGCTCTGGGTGTGTTGCGGGGAGAGTGGTTGGGATTCTTGGATATGTGGGAGGTGATGAGGAGGAAGACGGTGAAAGGGGCCGAGGATGATAAGAAAGAAAAACGGTGAAATTGCCACTAGTATCCATAACCAATAAAAAGTAAAGAAGCTCAGAGGTCAAAGAATCGCTGTGGGCAGCGCAAAAGAGGAGGCTGTGATCTTTTCCCAATATTTATTGTCGAAAACCTCATTTTTTTGGCTATATTCCCCCTAATTCAACTCTCTGCTTGTCCTCGCCCATTGTCATCTTTCCTCCAACGCTGCTGTCCAAACCTTTTCACATTCTTAAAATGAAAATATAATAATGGGTTACAGCCACGGCTTACGTGAGCAACTCTTTATAAGCAAAGTCACGGGATATGCACAGCCTCATAGAAAAAAAGCGATCCCTTGGCGCCAAAAGTCTCCCATTTTAAATTAAATCTATTGTCAGGTTTACCTCGGTAAGTTGTTGAAAGCAGCGCATCGTCCCTTAAATTACAAGCGTTCATATGAACAGCTCACTTGTAGTCCGCATAGAAAATGTCCTCGATGTCTCAGAAACCCTCACCGGAAGCACTCTCTCCTTCAAAGCCTACGGCGTCCCCCGCCGCAGTGCGGGCCGCAAGTGATCCAACGGAACAATCGACTTGGCCCCTCTACGCAGACCTTTGGTTTACACACGCTGTGATATTTCGCGGCCTATGCCATCTAGTGTTCTGGTGCTTCCCCGATTCCTACTGGACGAAACGCATTCCCCTTCTCTTTGAATTCGCTTTCGGCCTGTTGGGCTGGATCATCCTCCTCAAATGTTTCTTTATGCGGAGCGCGAAATTGGATGTCGATCAGCGGTTGGGTTCAAAATGGTTGACAGCTTTTGTATTGGGTGCAAGTGCGGCCATACCGTTGCTGTATTTGCAAAAAGACATGGAACTCGATGACGATCAAGTATCACGGACACTCAATTTGTGGTCTGGCTCATTTACGATTGTTGGTGCAATGGCTAATTGGTTCAAGTACAAGGAGCTTTGCAAGCAGCTGTGGGATGACTGTTGCCAGGGATATGTACAGGCCAAATCATGTGTACGTGCGGATCAGTGCGCCAGCGATGAGAAGGATGAGGTTGGTCTATCACCGGTTGCGAAACAGTGATTCCAGGCTCGGTCGAATTAGCCTGTATGTGCACCTATTATCGAACAGAGATTAAAGACTTGTCAGCGTATGATAGGTGCCTTTCAGGTACCTTGAAATGGGCAATCAGCAGCCAAGCTCAAAGTCATTCTGGTCTGTTTGCAGGGCATAATGATAGGAGTGCAGTTCAGAGACTAGATGTCAGTCGGTACTCCAGGGCAATTAATTATGCATGGAGTGCTTAAGGAATTAGATGACCGTAAATGTACGTAACTACTATCGTCAAATTATTTAAAGACAGTGGAAGCCTTGCACCGCGCTTAGCAGGTTTCGGCGAGTTTAGCAAAGTGCTGCAGGTCGCTTCGATGTTGTTATCCTACTAAAGCCTTGCCCAGAGCTTATTGAACGAAATTGCCAAGATAGTTATAGACCAACCGCCAAGCCATGTATTTCAAAGTTACAGTGCATGCTGATGATTCCGGACGACCAGCTTATGGCGGCTCCCGAAGCCACGAAGAATAGCCCCGCGAAACTCTACTCAAGATTTAACCTAGAGCGTAATGATGCAATGTGTGTGTTTTTACAGATTATCAAAGCCTATCAAGCGTACAGTCCAACCCTTCGGTAGGAAGCGTGAGCGAAGCCGTCAAGCTGTAGACGGTCTCTTTTGAAATGTCTCACTGATCTCTTCGTTAATGGAGTGGTCTCCTTTTCTCGCCTTGGATCGCAACTACTGTATCGTGGCACGTCTATGCACCTGCATATGTGTCTCGCATTCTTGGGGGTTAATTAATTTGTCTCCCCCCATTTGTTTACTTATCCCTACAGATTAATTAAAACATTTTCGGCTAAATAACCAAAGAATGGGTATCACTTTGGCTGCGGAATTATCTGTGCTTTCCATCCTCGGTATATATGGGCGCTGTTGACAACGGGATTTGATCAACGTTGACACTACGAGCAATCATCCCACCTCAATTTCTTTCCCTGCTGGGAGGTGGTCAGTACATGCTCCGCGATGACCTCCTTCTGATTTCAAAAACAAGACCGTTCCGACGCTGATTCAGTATGCATGTGCCGTCTTCATTCGTAAGTAATCTCCCAATCGTAGATTTTGCAAAGCTATCATCGGAAATGTAAATGCAAGCAGGAGTTCGTTTTCCTGAAATAAACGTGATATGCGGACCAGTGCTGCCAAATTGGTGCGATTAACTGCTTCCCGAGGGGTACACCTACCACATCTGCCAGAATATTGCTCGATGACCCTTCTATGGACGGATGTTTGGGCTATTCCTCTGTAGGTATTGTGGCCCTGCCAAGGATGGACGTCTCACTACTCCACGTACTCTCTCCTGTGCACTAATTTTGAAAAAACTTCTGAGTGTAGCTCAATATGTCTCCAGTATCAATAACCTATAAGGACAAGGGACGTCATCCATGCAACTACTAAATACGGCAGCATCGTTATTGCCCCATGCGTCTTTTCTCAGGTTTGAATTTTTTGATGGCGATGTTTCATTGGATCGACTCCTTACGGACTGCATCATTAGCGATGTCGCCATAATCATGAACGATGGCAAGCAGAAACAGTCCATCCAACAAATATTGGAATATGTGTGTCCGATTCGCTTGGCGCCTGAGTCCGTCTTTGTACTTACTACAGCAATATCTCTTCTCCTTTACATAACCTATTAAAAGCCGAGTGGCCCGTAATATCGGGTTCCGATTATTCTCCACCGTAGGTGATTCGACTGTTCGCTTCATCCTGTTCCAACGCAGACGATTGGGGAGTATGATTTTTAAAGGAAAGAAGATGATCGAGGGTCACAAAGGATTTCAAAAGAACAAAAAATGCCAATAGAGGCTTTGCGGACCTAGTGAAGAGTCGTTGAGGGGCAAACGCTCGATGCTTATAGTCGTTCCGGTATCTACCGGAGAAAACGTTCCAGTTTCTGAGGGAAGTTAGCATGCCTCTCTGCCTATACGTCTTGCTTTTTCCTTTGGTTGTTCTTCGTAGTCTCCCAAACATCCGGCATCATAAGTGAAATCTTGCAAAGTGCGGAAGATCCAAACTCGGTTTCCCCCACAAGAACGATCCCATTGAAAGATCAAGCCCAAGCGAATCAAAGTGGAAAAGAAATCGCAAGCCATTTCTGCACGCCATTCATTATCTCTGAACAACGTTCCCTGATAACAATTAATGGTGACTGTATCAAGATGTGATTTTGGAGAGAGTGGCCTATTACGCTCACACAGGAGTCCTCTGCCAATGTAATCCTCTTCGCGCAATTCATCCTATTTCCTCAACCCACCATTTAAAATGGAATGATACAGACTAGAGAGAGACATTGGGCTCAAACGGGTAAAAAAACCTATATTTTCAATTCGGATCAACCGAACACTAAAAACACAATAGATGTACACATTTTTAAATGTCCACATATACCACATATTCACATCTCCAATCAGATACTATCGTATATACCTAAGCTACCACGCCCATCACTACAACGCCTACCAAGCCTAGGACGACACCCCACAAAACCTTTTCCTTCGTTCCGGCCGAGAGGGAGAGGTTGGAACCGGGGACACGGCTGCTTGGAGCTGGAGGTTGGGGAATGTGGGGGACGCCGGGAATGTTCGGGAGGTCGGGGATGTTGCCGGAGCCGGGGAAGCTGCCGGGGCTGGGGATAATGGGAATGGGGACGGGATCAAAGCTTGGGCTGGGTTCTTCGACCGGTTCTTCAGAGCCGGGGCTGGGGATCTCGGGGATGCTGGGGACGCTGGGATTGGGGAGGGGATCAACGATTGGGGTGGGTTCAGCGGCGCCATGTGTGGCGGTTACAGTCTTTGTCGGCGTGGAGGTAGTTTTGGGGACCGTGACAGTTACCGTAGATTTCGTTACTGTGCTGGTGGTTTTGGGAACCGTGACAGTTACAGTGGACTTTGTAGCCGTGACCGTTACAGTTTTGGTCGGAATCTCCGTAGTTGTCACCAAATCTTCAGGCGCGGCTGCCACGTCTTCAGGCTCGGCTCGTGCGATGAGATTTGCAAACCCGACATCCGCTGCGAGTGCAGGATCAGCGGCAGGTGAAGGGGAAGGGGAAGGGACAGCAGCTGGAGAAGGGGAAGGAGAAGGGTCAGCGGCAGGTGAAGGGGAAGGGGAAGGGTCAGCGGCAGGTGAAGGGGAAGCGGAAGGGTCAGCGGCAGGAGAAGGAGAGGGGGAAGGATCAGCGGCAGCTGAAGGCGAAGGCGAAGGGGAAGGGTCAGCGGCAGGAGAAGGAGAGGGGGAAGGATCAGCGGAAGGCGACGGGGAAGGAGACGGGGAAGGAGACGGAGATGGAGACGGAGACGGAGTCGGAGTCGGCAAAACAATGGGCGAAGGAGACGGAGCAGGGCTTTCAAAGAGCTGAGCGGCCGCACAATGAACATCGCGAGATTGCATGGTCGAACCGTATCCAGCATCATGGGCACAGAACGCCGCATAGCACTATCAGAAAACAAGAGTGAGATTAACCAAGTGACAAAAGCTCAATTGAAAGTTCCTTAACATGTAACAAACAAGCAAATTCGGTTCAGAAAACTTACCGAAACAAGGACCTTGTAAGCACCACACAAACACCTTGAATAATACGGCTGTCCCGTAATCAACCCACTACACTGATCGACTGGATCGCCATGTCCCAATGGAACAGTCGCATTAGCGCAGAGCTCGAATTCATGTTGCGTGTTCCCGCAGTTTTGAGCTTTGGAGACCGTCGCAAAGAGAGTGAGGAGAAAAAGAATGATGGTGCGCATTTTCGGGCTGGGCGTTTGATCGAGAGAAAAGTTGCGGATGTTGGTGTGGACAGGGAGGAGATGAGAGCGAGGGTTTTTATAATCGTGATACTTGACATTTTGCTTTTTTTTGTTGACAGTGTTGGGAATTCGATGTTTTGTCTGCTGTTTGTCCACATGGGATTTTAACCCTGCCGTGCACATCGTTTGCTCCTTTCTCTTGCGTTGAGGTAAAGTGTCTGCCGGGTGGGAGTTGAGAGCATCATGATAGCCTGACGTTTAGAGTATTGGGTAGGTACCTTTCGGCATACTGCTGACGGAATTCACAGAGAAAATGTAGCATTGGCATGCCAAGAACAAAATACAACCCTTTCAACTCCTTTGTCTTGCTGCGCTGGTCAGGCCGATCTTCATCCTTACCAAAGAAAACATAACTCCAAAAGAAAGAGGCATGTTGCGAGGAGTTGAGTGCCGCTCAAAGCAATAATCAGGTAAATGGAAACAAATTTTAAAAAAACAAATGGAACGAAAAGACTTACCAGTCTGGTAACGAAAAAGGACATGCATCAAAAATGCCAAATGGTGACAGTACGCCAGACAGCTGCCATACTCAACCGAAGCGTTATTCAAATTAACTAGATTACACACGCCCGCTCACATCTCCAAATCCCACTCCTAGCAAACAACTATTACAATATGTGTTTATGCTACCATGGCAATGTACGCAAAACTTGACAGCCATCTCAGTCGTCAGTGACATTTGACATATATTGGAGGAACCTGACTTAATGATTAAAGGGACCTTCAGTGTGGCCTCCTTACCTGAACTAATATTTCATGCATGGCATGGCAAGTCACATTGGCGATCATGCACCCATCTGCATCAGAGTGCATTGTCGACGGGTAATTGGACCTATGTACATTTTCCTGCATTGAAAGGTATTACCCAGCGACTCGACACATTGAGTACGATTAATTGGATTATCTTGAATCACTATGCACCTTCCCAATGTGGCGGGATCTAATGTTTTGCAAGGTTCAGATCTGACAGTTTGCCTACATGTAGATCACCCAGCCACACGTAGATCTGTCGCTTCTTTCCATGACCACTTTTTTACGCCAGTTTATTGCATCATGATATCTCGTCCAAACAAAAAAGACACTGTAAAAGAAACATATCCAATAATATTCGTTCATCCCTACACGCACATCTACGCCATCTGTTCACCAGACCGCGACCGCGACACATAACGTTGATAGAACAAAGAAAACAAAACAAAAAGAGACACCAAAAACAAAACCTTGAAAGTCTCCCATAATCCCCCAAAAGATCTCGTCAGCTTGCCTCCTATGGTAAACGCAAGTTGCGCGACATGTATTAAAAGAGGGGTTCGTGAGGGTCGAGATGAATCAAACGAGTTGCGTACGTGGATGTCGCGGATTAAGGATACTTGATGCACGGAATATGTGTGTCTGGAATGTTGAATACTGGCCCGGTCGATTTACGATCATCCAAAACAACCTTCGTCAGCATCTTACTATGGTAAAAAAAAAAAAAGAGCACGCGGTAACGTTTTTTGAGGGTTAAGGGAGGGAATGATGTGTAGCGCACTTTTGGGGGATTGAGGGATCCTTGGGCATGGGGGGGGGGATGTATCATTCGGAAGATTCTTGCGTACCATTTGTCCCGGGGGAGGAACTTTACGCAGCATAAAAAGATGGGTGAGCGAGTCATTCCCCCTTCTTCCTTACCCACTACCCCAGCATTGTGATCAAATCCATTTTGCCGTCCTTGTATAAACTTCAATATGGCCGATACCTATACACCAGAATCCACTTGGACAGAATCCTTTTGGGCTGCTCCGCTTCTCACTCGGTATGAAGCCCGTGCACACGCCCGTGCACGGATGGCAAGCATGATCGAAACTCGGGAGATGACGACCATCACTGCAACTCGACTGGTATGGTCTCCCAAAGCTGAGCCGAAATCGAAAAGACCAGCAGTAGCTAAAAAACGTCCGGTGCCTACTCTTCATTCTATCAACAAAGTCCATCTCGAGATTGTACCTACCTCTACCCCCAAAAAGATGACGATTACCAAGAATACCTCAACGGACATTTCAGAAAACACTACAGAGAATACCCCAGCGACGAGCTCAACGGCACCTAGCGCCGAACCCGAACAAAAACCCGAAACCGAACGAGTAGATTCAGCAGTCGAAGTCACCGATATTCCACTCAAACTCACACCAAAAGTCCCGTCCGTAAAGCAAATCTCTTTTACATCTGTCTCGACCGAAACCGAGACCACGGTCATCTCGGTATGCACACAAACCGATAATGTCCCTACACCTTCCACATTCAGTTTACCGTCCTGGGCCATCATGGCCGTTATGATGTTATTGGTCCTTGCATTGAGCAGCAAGGCCATCGAGGCGGTGACCGGGACGGCGGTGTCAATGCACGTCGCGCTGGCAATGGAGGCGATCGGGAGGTGGTGGGGGTGTGCGATGGCAGTTGGGAAGGAGTGGGGAAGAGGGGTAATGGATGAGGTGTGGCGAGTGGGGACGCTGTATGTAGCGGATGCGGAGATTTGGTGGATGGGGGCAAAGGAGCTGGCATGTGAATGGGGGGAGTGGGCAGCAACGGACGGGAGGGAACTAATCGCTGAGGAGGTTATAAAGTTGATAGAACTGGGGTGGAAGTTGATGGAGGATAAGGTGTTTATGTTGTTGGGGGGGACGTGGTTCATGCTCGCCATCATCCTTCGGGAAATTCCCGAAGGATGATGGGGTGGGCATTATACCCTATTAGTGTATACCCATGCTGATGGAATACCCACCATGAGCACTCAAAATATATAAAAAAAAAGAAATTACAAAAGAACAAAAAACTCTTCCTCAGCGAAAATATCATGGTGGATTCATAATTAAAAACACTGAATAAGTATAGTTTTTAAATTCCCCAAAATACACCACCATTAAATCAATTCCAATGCATCCAAAATCATTTCCCCCGTCAAGTTTCCCAATCCACCCTTTCCTTCCACATCCTTGACCAATCCCACCACCCTCTCACACACAGGAGCAGCAATCCCACACTCACGGCCCATACGCACAATCTCTCCTTGGAGATACTCAATCTCTGTTGGCCGGCCCTTTCGCAGGTCCTCGTACATGGAGCTCGTAGCGCGGGGGTCAATCGACAACATGCGAGTTGCGAGACGGAGAAAGAGAAAGTTTGGGAGGGAGAGGAGATAGGGTATGATTGAGAGGGGAACGTGGGGGAGGAAGGAGACGGGGTTGATGCCGTTTGCGCGGTAAATGTCGAGTGCTTCGGACATGCAGTGGGCCCAGACTTGTCGGGCGGATCGGGTGGAGAGTTCTTGTTGAATGGGGAGTCCTGTGAGAGCGGAGATGGCGTTGTGGAGGTTGATCAAGAGTTTTCCTGTGTTTGAAAGTGTCAAACTTGTACATGGAAAACAATATACGAATAGAAACAAAAAAACATACCATAGAGTATTCCATGCATATCAGCAGAAACCTGAGTCGGAATCCCCGACTCGCGAAAAATACCAGCGAGTACCCGCCCCTTTTCTGAATCCTCTACAAACACATCCCCACCGGATGCCTGCTCAAAGTGTCCTGTATCGGTTTCAATGACATTGAATGGCCACATCCCTTCGTTTACATCACACCCTTTCAAGACGTCTCTCGCCTCATCTGCTGCTCGTACGCCATTCATCATCGTCACGACCGTCACGTTTGGGTTCTCGCCCCATCGCTTGAGATCGGCATAGGCACGATGGGCAGTGATGCGTTTCACGGTGACGATAATGTAGGTAGGATGGACATTGGGATGAGCGGTACAAAACGCATCGACCGAGTCGTATAGGTTGAGTTTCTCATATGGGATTGTGACGGTCGTTCCGGATTGGCTTGTGGCGGATAGTGAGCCGGCTGATTGGAGTGTTGTAAAGTAGGACTGGCGTCCGATGAGGTGTACGCTGCATAGATCTGGTTTGTTGGCTAGGTGAGCGCCTAGATACGAGCCTATGAACCCGGCCCCCAACACCATGATGGTGGGTTTCTTAGACATGATGATGATATAGACACGTGTGTGGGGATGAAAAAACAACAAAAAGCACGCTCAACAACAGGAGGTGGGGGGACGGAAAAGAAACTTGGAATAGGTTGCCTTGTTGAGTCGTTAAACAATAAAGAAAGTTCTAATCAAACCACAACGATGAAAGGCCATTCACCCAACGGATGGTTTTTTGAAAATTCCACAAAATGATCCCAAACGGCAAAACCCAAGTTACCAACTTTTTGAACACTTGAACACCCCCGTGGTCAAAAAAACACGAGTCTAAAATAGAGTTCCCAAAAAAATTGATTATGTCAACCCGTTCGGAAGTCCGGCTGTGGTCGTTCACACAAACCAGCCCATCTTTTTGTCTTTGCCGTCGTCGTCGTTTGTCCAAGGGTCAATGATGAAAAGGAGGGGGGACAGGTCAGTTTTTTGCTGAAAGGAATGAAGGGAGTTGCAGAAAATCAGGTCTCACTGAGCACTCTTTCACGCATCGCGGACCCCACGTGAGGCATGTGCGGGGGAACCGAGATCAGATTCTCGACAATCAGATCTACAGGTGTGCTATGGTACCGCATTTCAATCGAGGCGGTTAATCGAGATCTTATTGATGTGTACCCTACGGTGACATTCAATCGAGTTACTTGGCAAAAAGTGCACTACAGTAACATCCAACATCATATTGAGCACACTTGTGAAATAAACAGTGTTTCTACTTTATAAAAACAATCTCGAATACAGGAAAGCCACCTATTTTCTATTTAACACCTCCTTACAAAATCTATCTCAACATCTTTAAAAAACAATCCTCTCGGAGCCTAGTTTAGTCGAAAAAGGGTTATTCACAAACTGAGGCCTCTTGTTCGCTTCATGATATTTCTTGATATTAGGCCGCTCAGCAACACGAGTTTTGAACGCTTTCAAAAGGGGGAAGGGGTCGAGGATGGTGGGGTGGAGAGTCGTGAGGCGGTCGAGGAGGTCAAAAAAGAAAATATCGGCAAATGTTGCCTATATAAATTGGGAAGTGTTTTAGAGTGTGGTTGAGAGTAGAGTGTTGGGATTTGTTTGATGAGAATGTTCACCTTGGGACCAGTGAAATAAGCGGCTCCACCATTAGCTTTACTGAGGATTTTTTCAAAATATTCGAGTTTGGCTGGTGCTTCGTTTTTCAAGAATGCCACTGTCGTGCTTTCCTTTATACCCAATGCAAAAAGTATACGACACCATCAGCCATAAAAAAAACGGGGAAATGCGTAAAAAGTGAACAATCACATACCGCATCATCACTATAAACGGCCTTCAAGTACAATCTCTGAAGATCTTCAGTACCATCCGCAAGCATGTCGACAAGGACATGTTCTTGAGGTGTATCGCCGTAATACCCTTTTCGAGACGCAATGAACCTCATAATCGTCGCACTACCATCAGAAAAAAAGATTAAAAAGACTAGATCTACAATGTCAAAGTATGGTGCTTTGTTACCTCTGCACAACGCAAAACCCATTAAAATCCACCATGGGCATCTGTCCAAACCGGAACCGATCTGTATCCTTTTTGAGTTCTAACCATTGGTCCCTGTCCACGATACGGACGTCATCGTAAGGAATTCCTTCAAAAAAAAAGTAAATGTTAAACACCCATCGCAAAACGTATAAAGAAATGATGAAAAGTACCAGCGTCCTCAAGCAAGAGTCGAATGGCTTCTGCACGGCCTTGAAGTCCAAAATATGTGAGTGTTACTTTATCGAATTCGGACATGGTTTTCTCTCGTAGATTTGTTTGTTTGTGTATGTTTCCAGGGTCAGCGGCAATGTGTGAGACTTTGCAGGTGCGACTTTTTGCGAGAGAACGGGAGTGCGTCTAACACGAGGGTTTATATAGCCTACAAGGGAGGGCACCGCGTCCCCCGTGTCCGATCGCAGGAAAACCCCCCAAAGGGGATCGTCCATGACGAAACAGTTTCGCGGACGCGGAGATACCTTCAAGTAGGTGAACATGTCCGACACCTCCGAGCTCCCCCCAAGAAAAACAATAGAAAAAAATAATTTGGGTATTTGAAATGAGCAGCACGGACTCTTGAGATTTGAAATGCCCCTCACGAGTTGTTTTTTAGTGTTTTTTAGGTTGTGGGGTAGTCATCATGTGTGGTGGTGGGGTAAAGAAAGGTCTTGATTTCGATTGTCCCCCAAAAAACTCCAAGACAAACAGAATGGGTGGATTTGAAATCAAACTCCTCTCCGACATTTTCGGAGATGCTTTCCAAACATGTAAAATGAACACTTGCTCGAGATGCCTTTATTTGGATTCTGGTGTCGCGTGCAGCGTAAAAGGAACACTCTCCAGAGCGTGTTCCGAAGCACACGCATTTGCATACGTATTGCTTTGGATATTCAAGTTTCACAGGGCATGACTCTTGAAAAGCATCATTCAAAGTTCAGCTCTTACTGTGTTTTGCAATGAGTAGTCAAGTAGGGTAGTAATCGTAGGTATAGAATCAAGGTCTAGCTTCAAGTGCGGGAAGCTCACATTAAGATGAATGAAAAGGGGGTAGTCTGCTATGACCGCTCTTTGGAGCCTGTCTTCACACGACGCTGTAGCATTTTTGTTATCGTTCTGTTGCTTCACATCTTTTCAATTTCTTGCATAGTGTTCCTCGTGGGTTTCGGCAAGAAACATTTGAACGACAGTCCTCGTTTCCAAGAGAGCTGTTAACTTGATTGACGTGTCTTGAAAGCACTTACAAGTACTTTAGTTGTTCGCAACAACGAATGCGACAGTAATGTTCATTTGATATTCAGAGAATGCAAAACATTGTACGAATACAAAAGGGTTTGTGACAACTCGTGTACATCGAGTGCGAAAAGTATCTACTGATTGCAATGTAACCTTATGATCAGATCATGTTCATCAAGACCCAGTCTATAAAAATAAAAGTACGAAAAAACAACGTTTGTTGCTCGGGATATATAAATATATATACGACAACCCATCAATTGCCCCCAAATCTATAAAATCAAAAGTTCCCCCATATAACATAGATAAAAACCCCCAAAATATCATTTAAACTCTCTCATACCAAACTTTCATAGACTCCTCACTCTCATAATCAGTTCCCCGAGTCATAAACTGGACTTGTTCCTTGGTAGGCGGTTTCTCAATTCGTAAAACCCACAAAACAAGATCCTCAATCACCAATAAATTCAATAGGACATTATTAGTAAAATACGCGAGGATAGCCACAAAAAAGCCTGCAATGGCGTCCAGAAAGTAGTGATTGGCTGTAGCGACGATCGCGACGAGGATGAGGGGTGCGTAGAGGGCTCCAAGGATACGAAGGGGTTTCCAATGTGCATGTACGAGTATGGATGTACCGACTATGAATGCGTATCCGAAATGGAGGGAAGGCATGGCGGCGAGTTGGTTGCAAAAGGCGTTGGTGGTCCACACGCTTGCGATGCGTGTAGAGTGGACTGTGTCAATAAACCCGTATTCTTTGGGTAAGAGTCTCGGAGGCATGGCGGGCCATGTCGTAAAGACGATGAACGCATAGAGGTTGCATAAGGCCATGGTACGACGGATTCGAGTAAAAGTTGCAGAAGAGGTTTGGTAGTACATGTAGCCGAAAAATCCAACAGTGGCAGGGATATGAACAAAACTATACACACGGTTCAAAACCCCCATCCAAAACGGTCGATCCAAAAAAAAGCGTTGAAATTCTCTTTCCGTGTCTATTCCGAGTATATTCTCAACTTCAAGAATCCACATGCCATTTTCTCGTGCGAGATCCGTCGTGGATTCCGTAAACGTCAATGCCGTTACCCCTCTCGCTCCTTGGTAAACCAAGTACGTAAGGACCCAATAACATACTTCGATAATAAAAGGGTATCGAAAGAGGAGGCGGGATAGAGTTGTTGTTCGCCAGACGCTGGTATCCCGTGTTGATACCTTGCATCCGAAAAAGGTGCGTTCACGGTATGGGAGAGGGGGATGAGGATCTTTGGGTGGGTAGACTGGGGAATGAATTCGGTTAAAGTAGACTCCGGCACCCAAGATTGTAAATACAATGGTGGGTTCAAGGATGAGGCCCAGTGGGGACGATTCCGCGACGGACATGACTGAACAGAGGAGAGGGGATCTCGCTGTCCACACAATGTCAAAGGAACGACTAAGAGGGTATGAGAAAGGTGGTCACCACAGACCCCATCTGCTTTTAACCATCTGTTTTTCAGAAAAATACCCATTGTTATCTTGAACAAAAGCAAGCTTTTGGTTCTCCCGAACATGCACCACCTGCTCGGGGCCTTCTCTGATCATTTTAACCCCCCTTAACAACCCAGAACTCCGAACGCCACAAGGTCAAAGAAACCACAATCCTTGTTTTTTTCAGTCAAATCTCTTCTTCATCGCGCGGTTTTCTACAGAGACTTGTTTACGTTTGTTATTAACCGATGAGAGGTACAACCGACGTCAAAGTTCATGGCTCTCTTGGGTTTTTGAGTATTTGAGTTACGGGGTTTCTTAATATCTTGCCATGGTCATTTTCTGCGACAAGGCAATGATGATAAATTCCCGCATTCACTGTTTATTTCATTCATTTCTTTACATGAATCTCTCATTTCAACTGTATCATCATTCCAATACCTAACGCTTACAAACAGCTATTTCATTCATACCACGCAAAAAAACTCGCAACCAAAATCCAAATCTAGGCTCCCAACGTCTCCTGCAATCGGCTCAACACAAACACCCCACAAAACTACAAAATCGCTGACAAGAACACGCGACTAAGCATTACATTGTCTATGAATTGAATGTGAGTCCAGTGACATTCCATATTGATTATAGGAAGGAGGGGATGGATATACTGCATTCCAATACACGTTAGGATGGACGCGATGTGGACTCGTAAGTTTGTGTAAAAGTTTATTTCATCTGATGACCTTTGCAAAAAGGTGCCGCGGGGATCAAAAAAAAAAGCTCAATTTCCAATACTTCTCCATCGGAAATACTCCTTTGGCGAGAACCCCGCGGCGGTATGTTTTTGAAAGTTTGCCGAGATGTGTGTTTTACCAAAGCCATCTCGTATAATTTCGCATTTTTTTGAATGATAGGCACTTTCATATCGGTATCAGATCTCTCCTAAATGGACGGGGACCTCAAATTGATATGGATATGACACACCATATATGTTGCTGTTTTTTATTCCATGTGCAATGGGAGTAAAAAGTGGCAATTGGCGTCGTTTGGCTCTGGCATTCAACTGCGGGAAAACGGCATGAAAGAATACCATGTGTCCAAACCGCGTTGACTTGATAACGTGAAAACCTTGCCTAGGGGATCTCTATTTACGCGAGAAGGAAACATGTGCGATAATGTAGAGAGCAAACACTGGGATATGTATGTGTATACGCAATGAGCTCGCCCCATGGATCATGTGCATGGGGTTTTTTGTTGAATTGGGTTTTCGGGTCGTGGAAATGCGATGAGAGGCAGTAATTTGTTGAAACTATTATTGGATGCAAGTATGTTTTTTTTTGCATATTCGTGATTTTGGAGTGTTTTGGTTTTGAAGGGTTACAGGTAATCCAGTGTCCTTGCTCCATCGTCGCCGCTAAAAGGTCCTCTAAAGGTTCAGCAAAATCACTAAGCCAGAGTAGGTACGCAAAAACATTTTAAAATACTCGGTACACCAAACCTTTGGAATCGTATAAATATATTGGGCACTTGCTTGCGTGTGCACGATCCACCGCAAAGGTATCTTCGTGGTTGCTCATGGGACAGATCAAAGTCCATTCTTGCAAGTATCCACAGTTCTACTCAACAAGTATGCCTCCCGAAAAGGAAGAACCTTTTTGGCTTGCCTAGATACCAGACCAAATGCGGTATACGAAACGCACACTCATTATTGTATATCACCTCTCCCTTAAAAAAAAAGACACGTTTGTAAATGACGTCCCGTTTCTAATGTACAAGTTCCGCATCGTGCCCTGTTGCTTCACACTAGCGATAAAAGGCACTTGTAGTGTGGTAAAACCATGCGTGACACTGAGAATCTAACCCAACAATACACACAACAAGCATCAAGAGTGTTTCTCTTTTGTTTAGCTTGGCAGGTCACCAATAATCAGTTGCTTCATTCATTGATCTGCGTGACACTAAAGCTTTCATGCACGAAAAATGACCACAAGATGCATCCAAGATGCATCCTAAACATGGGATGCTTACAAACCTTCCATAAAGTACCGTAGAACTTGGCTGTTGTTAATGGATGCAGTTTCTGAAAGCGGATCGTTTCCATCGTTCCGATGCGAGTTTACGTATAGTGTATGTGAAAGCCCCTTTAAATATACACTTGCTTTAGTATAAGCAATGCAACACAAGGTTCGTATCTCGTTTGTTCAAGTTAGAGTTTTGATTCCTAGATTGTTGTTAGACTTTGGAGAATAGAAATGTGGGAGACTAGAATGAAATGTTTGTCCAATATCATTTTGATCACAATAAAAAGCGTGCAGGAAAGTTTCCATCGTTTTCATAATAGGCGTCCCTCTTATGATGCATCTTTCCGTTTGGGATCGTAAACATGGGTAGATGGGGGGTTGCTGTTTGTTTCTGCAAAAAGCGTGTGATGGTCATTTGGCAAGTGTATTTTAAACAGTTTATTTGTTTTTGATATGAAATAGATGAGGGAATGTCTGATAGCAGTAAAGCTGTACAGTGTCATATGGCAAAAAAAAAAAAGAAGAGCGGGTGTTGCACATATCTGGATAGGATAATTTGTCTACTTGGAATTGTTAACCAGTTCGTTTGGTGAGTGCTCCGTCATGTAATTCGGCTGGTTTCGTTTGGTTTTGCATCATCCCATGCAGGTATAGTTGCGTTGGGGGTGCTGCGCTTAGCTGTCGAGTGCAAGCAACGAGTGCGCGTCCTCTCGCGTCCTCGTCGTAGACAATTCCACAAAAAACCGGATCGCATCCACACACACACATGCCTTCAAACACCTCACCACCGACATACGCACTCAACACCCTCCCAAACCAACCCCGCTATACACATCTCACATCAGCATTTACATCCCAATATGGCTCCCCACCCGAATTCTACGTACGAGCACCGGGTCGAGTGAATCTCATTGGTGAGCATGTGGATTACGCGGGGTTTGGGGTATTACCCATGGCGATTGAACGGGATGTTATTGTTGCTGTTGGGCGTGTACCCAAAAAGGGCGTCCAAAATCTTGCATTGACATGTTCGAATACGGATCCGCGGTACCCACATGTTGAATACAACATGACGGATTCAGGAGCGATTGTAGAGAAAAATGGACATGACTGGAGTACGTATTTTGTGTGCGGGTACAAGGGCGCATATCAAAAAGCGGGTTTAAAGAATCCTATTGGATTGAATATCATGGTGACCGGAAATGTGCCACCGAGTGCAGGTGTGTCGTCCTCATCGGCCCTTGTCGTTTCCGCGGTATTGACAACACTATATGCACATGGGGTGGAATTGAGTAAAAAGGATGTAACAATGGCGGCGATAGAGGGGGAACGGTATGCGGGTGTCCAATGTGGGGGAATGGATCAAGCGATTTCAGTGATGGCAGAGCATGGGCCTTGTTTGATTCATTTTTATCCTACGTTGCGGGTTGAAGCAGTTGTATTTGGTCTTGTTCAGGATCCGCCTGTATTTGTGATTGCGAATACGTTGGTGGTGTCTGATAAGGCTCTGACAGCGCCGACGCATTATAATCTCCGGGTGGTGGAGACGCGGTTGGCTGCAGCCGTGTTGAGTCGGTTTGTGGGTGCAAAACGAGAGGGCATGACGTTGCGAGAGGTGCAGGAACTGGTGTTTGGTGATCTACAAGGGCGAGAAGACGTGGGACTTACGGAGATGATCGAGATGGTGGACAAGGCATTGAAAAAGGAACCATGGACGCGAGAGGACGTTGCAAAGGCATTGGACATGTCCGTACAAGATTTGGAGAAAAAGTATATAGGCTCGATTGTGATCCATGCAGCGACATTTGAGCTTTACAAACGCGCCAAACATGTGTATAGCGAAGCGCTGCGTGTGTTCCAATTTCGCGATACTTGTACCCAATCTCCACCCTCGCTTCAAAAGTTGGGTGCCCTCATGAATGCCTCTCAAGCGTCATGTCGGGATCTGTATGACTGCAGTTGCCCTGAATTGGATGAATTAACGGCTTTGGCGCTCCGAGCGGGTGCGTACGGGTCGAGACTAACGGGAGCGGGATGGGGTGGGTGCACGGTGTCGCTGGTTCCCGAGACGGGTGTGAGTGAATTTATAAATGTGTTGAAGCAAGAGTATTACTATAAAAGATGGCCCGAGTGGAGAGGAGATCCGGATGCGGACGAGAATCTGGGGGATGTGGTTTTTGCGAGCAAGCCAGGGAGTGGTGCTGCCATTGTCATCCCATAAGAAAGTGTCGTATCATTATAAACCATGACCTTGCCCTAGTCGCCATTCAACAGGTGAAATCTTTGAGAGGGTAATCAAGAGCATTGGCTTTTCCATCCACGCCCAGTCGGCGCTTACTAGTACACCACACTTGTCAGTATTTCAAGACAAGCGGGAGGTGAAATAGCTCTATAGCACAGGCAGCGCACTTTTGGTTTCACTTTAACAGCGATACTATTTGCAAACATTATCCATTCATCCCAGGCTCTCGATCATATTGCAATATGACCATGAAAGATCTAGGAGCCATTTCGTAATTAAATTGCACAGTCACAATGAGTGCGGCATCATCCGCGTTGCTAGGTCCCCCTTGTTGCTAGGCCTCCCTTTGCGCGTGTACTGCGCATTTGTTCCCACGTACATGGTTGGGTGCCAAACGCGTATCACTTGCAAAAAGAGTTGTAACCCCCTACGGCTGTAACTGTGCCACCACCTCATGTGCATGTTCTAAGCCACAAATGGAAATGAGAATATTCTATAACGGTCTGTGTCCTCTCTTTCCCAATTTGCAACAATGGGGATGAGCACTGCCACTGGCTGCCACAGGCTGCCACGGCCTGCCACGGCCTGCCACGGGCAATGCCATAGTGAACCCGCCTAGCAATCGTATGGGACAATGACATAATAATAAGGAGACATGCATGAAAATGACATGGAATCCATATGGACATGACTGAATTCAAGAGGGAAATGAATGAAGCATAGGCTGCATGGTTGGGCGTGGAAAAAGAGTGAGAGAGAATGAATCTTGTAGGAGTAGGTGAGAGAGTGTGAGTAAAAAGAGAAAGAGAGAGTAATACAAGCATGGCCGCTGATTGTAAAAATTTGCACATTTATCAACAACTCTCTCTCCTTTCTCTCCTTTGCAATTTTACAACAGAGAGAGTGAATACAAAGGGGGATTACTACTAGTGGAGAGAGAGAGAGAGAGAGAGAGAGAGAGAGAGGGTGTGTGTTTAGTTCATGGAGAGAGAGAGTTTTTGTTTGCTGTGCATTTCCTTTCTTTTTTACTCTCTCTCTCTCTCTCTCTCTCTACTACTCGCAGAGAGTCACACACACACACACACTCTAGGAAAGAAAAAAAAAGAGCGGAATTTCTCCCACTTTCACACTTGCTATAAATAACTCTCTTCTTCTCTCTTCTTCTTATTCATCCACATTTCTTTATTTAGTATCAATTGTGTGTTGTTGGGAGATAGGGGGGGATTTTATTCTTTTTATTCATCTTTCTCTCCTCTCTCTCCGCTTTCTCTCTTCTCTCTCTCTCACACACACACACACACACACACATTCACAGTAGTAGTAGTAGTAGTGCTAGTAGGATAGGAGGATATGACCCGTCGGACGTTTCTCATGGCTTCGGCCGTTGCTGCCTTTTCTACTCTTTCTCCTATGGCATTGGCACAACAGGCAGTGGATCCTGCAGTTGGGGGAGCTTTTCAGGTTATTTCTCAAAACACGGGTGTTGCTGCTGGTGAGTTTACTAGTGTTTGTTCTTGCATTAGTGGATTTAGGACTTGTACTCACTCTCTCTCGGCAGTCCACATGGCACTGCTCCCAAATGACAAGCTGCTCCTCTCGGAACGCTTTCACGAAATTCCCTCAGACTGGCGCAGATTCAACGCGGACGGAACCCCCAACCTCGCTTGGAACGGTGACCTCGCTCAAGCACTCTGGGCCGAATCCTCGCCCATTTACCAACCCAACAAGAACCTCGGCGATTTCTTTACAGACGCTTGCGAATTCGACATCACAAATGACAAATTTGAAATGAAGAATTATGCATTCGATACCCAGCAGGGCTATTCGTTTTGTAATGGTGCTTCCCAGTTGGCGGATGGCACGATTTTGATTGCTGGCGGTGATCAAAAGTGGAACATGCCTTTCAAGGGAAAGAATTACACTAGGTGAGTAGAAAAGTGGGGGCTTAAATCTGTATGGCCAGGGAACAGGCACATGTCATTGTGTTTCTAGAGTCTCTTGCTGCCATGGGTAGTGTGCTACGCATCACCGGATAGAGTTTTTTCTTTCTTGTTGGATGTGCCTACGCATCGCTCGCTTGCAGCTCGCTCTAGCTCACCACATATATTCTCCCAGTGATGGACGTCGGGATGTTCGTATCTACAACAATGGCGTCTTGACAAAGGTTGGCGAGATGCCCCTCGACACGCGTGCCAACAAGACGGGTGGAGACTATAGCGGTCGTTGGTACCCTACCGTCATTACCTTGCCCGACGAGCGGTGCGTTTCCTTTAAAAATTGCTCACCTCTCTCACACACACCACATGCTCATCCCTTTCCTTGTTTGATATAGTGCCATGATTCTTGGAGGGCACAAGGTGTACTTCAAGCCCACAGACCCCTTGGTCAACAATCCCACGTACGAAATCTTCCCCGCGCCCACACCAAAGAACCTCACGGCACCCGTCAACGTTAATGTCCTCGCGGAAACTTTCCCCATCAACATGTACCCCATCTCCTACGTTCTTCCCCAGTCTGGCCAAGTCTTTACCCTCGCCGGTAACCGCTCCGCCACCATCAACTATGCAAACGGTGGTGAGACCCCTGGCCCTTCCCTCCCCGAAGACAATGTCTACCCGCGCTCGTTCCCGTTCGCGGGTACAAACTGGATGAACCCGCTCACAAAGGCGAATGGGTACAAGGCCACCGTCTGGGTCTGTGGAGGCACCAATCGGACGGCAACTCCAGATGGATGGGACAATGCAAACTTTACCCGTCACTGGTGGGACAATTGCTCAAACTGTGCAGCCACGGCGAGGTGTTACCACACGAACCCCGAGGATACTGGTGCCACGTGGGTGCCCGAGGACATGCCTATAGCAAGGTCCCAGCCTCAAGCCATCAATCTTGCCGGTATGTATGATCCACTTGAGACTCGTTTGTATGTCAAATTTATAACTGACTCGGTATGATTTTTCAGATGGTAAAGTGGGCATCTTTGGCGGATCGGGTATCGGCCACCAAGGAGGGGACGCTGGTGTCGGCTACATGGCCCGCGAACCCACCAACAAGGCCGTCATTTTTGACCCAACCCTGCCCGTCGGGAACCCCAAACGCTGGGTCGTTGGCGCCGAAGCCACTGTTCCCCGCCTCTACCACGGCACCTCTGTCCTTCGGACAGACGGCTCTGTCGTGTTTGCTGGCAGTGACGAACAAAACTATTCGGGCGAAAACCAACGCCGCACCGATCCCTATGAATTGCGCGCCGAAGTCTACAGGCCCCCGTACTTTGCCATCCCGAACCGTCTCTCCCTCGACCTTGCCTCTGTCGTGCCCAAGGCCGGATACGGTCAATCCATCCTGGTCCCCCTCACGACACCCGCGGGTGCCAAAATCGCCGCGGTCCACTTTATCCGCTACGGCACCTCCACGCATACTCTCAACATTGACCAACGCCTCGTAGAGCTCGAGATTCTCAAATGGGGTAAAGACAAGGTATTGGTCAAGACGCCCGCGAACGCCAACATTGCCCCTCCCGGCAACTGGATGTTGTTTGCCGTGGACAACCGCGGTGCACCCGTTGTTCAAGCCGCGACCATTAATTTGCGAGCTGCGAATGCTGCTGCGGATGCAACGTGGAATGAGGCGGATACCGTTACCCCCGAGCCCAAACCCAGTGGTAGCAAGGATGCCAACAGTGGAGCGATGGGTGTCAAGGGGGTGTTGTGGGCTGTTGTGAGTGCTGTTGTGGGTGGTGTTGTCGCATTTTGGTAGATGGTTTGGGTAGATTCAAGTGTTTGCTCTTTTAGCAAGTGAACTCTTTTCTTTTTTTTTTTTTTTAATATGGTATATCTCGTTTGTTTGTTTCAATAAGTGGTATTTTATGCAACGTGAGACTTGTGTGTGTGCTTTGCATAGACCATGTTCAGTTTTGTATGATGGTGCGAATGTCGTGGAGGCGACTATCCCTGTTGCCATGACACCGCGCACAGATACACGCATGTTGGATATCACACAAGCGTTCGCCTTGTCGTTTTGCAGTTTTCACACATTCTGGTCACGGTTTGACTTGACTTTTGTGACATTCAAGCCAACATATCAATCTTTTCGACACCCTCCTTTCTGTTTTGATCATGCACCAATGAATATCTCTGGTCATGTCACCATCCCATTCACCCGACAATGCATCGGCATTTGCATTGGCAGTGACCCCCGTGCCATTACCATCCAAACGACGCCCAGGACGACCTCGAAAAGACTCGACTGCGCAAATACCGAATTCTGGACAACCGTCTGATGAAGGGGCTGTATGTGCGAAGCGGTCGACGCGGTTATCTGCGAAACTAAAGTTGGAGGAGAGTGGAGGGAGTTTGAATAGTCATGGTAGTAGTAGTAGTAGGACTAATGGTGGTGCTAATGGAGGGGGACGTGGGCAGCGAGTAGGGAATGGTACAAGACGAGTACAAAGACAGAGTCAGGAGGAGGTGCCGGTGCAAGATGAGATTGGACATGATGGGGTTGGCAGGGGACGACGACTACGGGGAAAGAATGTGGAAGGTATGACATCTGGACGACAACCTCCAACTGAACAGAAAACTGGACAAGAACCACCCCATACCCATCCCCGTGGTCGTCGTCGACGAACCCTTCAAGAACCCCAATCAACGCCTCCAAAAAAACGAATCAAAAAACCTAAAGAACCAACAAGTGAATCCGATCAAGACCTCGCAACACGCCAAACCCTCCTCTCGGCCCTCCAAATCCAAAAACGACATGCCATGGAACGACGAAAAAACCGATTACGCCATGTACTGGATCGGTATGATACCCGTGCTCGAGAACTCTATTATCTTGAACATAACTTTCCATTGTTGGAGTTTGATCCTGGGCGGATCAAGGCGGATAAAGGGGAAAAGATTGTAAAGGTGAGTTTTATAAATTGGTTTTATCAAGGTGGACGAGCATAAAAGATTCATTTATATATACATATATATATTTTTTTTTAAAAGTATTTGCAAAATTGCGATATTCGTGCCATTGTTGCTAGCGAACTCGCTTCTGCCGCTCATCACCAGCAGTCTACAGACCGCATGGGCACGCGCGGCGCATCCAACCGGCACCGCACCTCCCTAACCTCTCTAGTCGAATCCACATCCTCAACCATCGACTCCCTCATCCCGCGCTCAACCCTCCTAAACCTCGGTATAGCCCGTTTCGCAAACCTCTCTGAATACCTCTCCTCCTTTTGTCTTATCGACGACGAAGAACTCACACCCGCCGACCTCCAATCCCGGGCCGAAAAAGAAGCGACCATTGATCTCCGTATCACCGCCTTCAAACGTCTCGGCCTCCTTAAAGGCCTCACCATCTCCCAATTGGAACGAAAACCGGACCCGCCACCCAAAACGCACTGGACGTGTTTATTGGAGGAAATGAAAGTTGTTAGTGGGGGGTTTATGCATGCTGGTCGGGAACGCCTGCGTGTCACGCGGGCTGCCAGTCGGGCTGTACAAAAGTATTGGGAGTTACGGTATACCCTTGGTGAACGGACTGCGATGGCTCAGGAACGGAAATGGAAAAAGTGTTTCAAGGAGGTTCGTGTTGAGTTGACGAAGCGGTGGAAATTGGTTGAAGCGGTATGTTGTGCTCCCATCATAACAACCTTGGGTATTTTTACGCTAAACGCCCTTCCTTTTTTTTCTTGTGCAGATTATTCGTATCCAACATTCAAAACTCTTAGCTGAAGAACAACGCGAAGCCGGTAAACGCCACTTAACCCGCATGATTGAACATTCCTCCCAATTCCTCCGACGACGTCAATCGTCCATTCCCCAAGACGACGATATGGATGTTGTTAGTAATAGTTCTGTTGGACTGTCGAGGGATGAGTTGGATGATGAGGGGATGGGGTATTTTGAGAAAAGTAAAAGTGGGGATGATCGGGGAGATTCTGTGGGACCTTTTCATGACGACAATGATGACGAGTTTTTACCTGTGGATATGCAGGATGAGGATGTTGAATTGGATGGGGAAGAATATTCGGATGACGACGAGATGAGGGAATTAGTAAATGATTTGGACGTCCCTGTTGAAAGATTGGTTGGCCAAGAGTACTTTACGTATCAACTTGAAAACGGTGGTGGGTCTGATACTGTTGTATCGTCCCCTACTGTATCGGTCTCTCCTGATCACGATAATGATGATGAGGTTTTACCGGTGGATACTCAAGATGACGACGTTGAATTGGATGTGGATGACGAATCGGATGACGACGAGATGAGGGAATTAGTAAATGATTTGGATGTCCCTGTTGAAACATTAGTTGGCCATGAATACTTTACGTATCATCTTGAAAATGGTGATGGGGCTGATACTGTTGTATCGTCCCCTACTGTATCGGTCTCTCCTGATCACGATAATGATGATGAGTTTTTACCGGTGGATACTCAAGATGAGGATGTTGAATTGGTTGTGGATGACGAATCGGATGATGACGAGATGAGGGAATTAGTAAATGATTTGGACGTCCCTATTGAACACTTGGTTGGGAATGATTATTTTGCTTATCAAATGGATGAACCCGATTCCGATACAACTTGTGATTCAGTGGATGATTCGAATGACACGGATGTCCGATACGTGGCATCCAACGGGAGAATACCTCACAATGATGATTTGGAGTATATACCCACCAAAGGACATGACGATTTGCGAGTCGAACGGGAGCTTGAATCGGATGATAGTCAAGTTTGCGGGTTGCGTTCGGATTTGGATGGGGATGTTCAGTCGGTGAGGGAGTGGAGGGGGCGTTTGAAAGAGGGTGATACCCGTGGTGATGTGCGTAGTGGAGGAATGGAGGTCCAGAGTGAAATTTTGAATGTGGATGGTGCACGCGCGTCTAGATATCGCACGACGTGGAGACCTGCTTGGAAGAATGATGACGAAGAAGATGGTGATGATGATGATGAGGAAGATGAAGAAGAAGAAGATGAGGTCGTTATTGTGCAAGTTCGGGAACCTCGATGGCGACAAAATGGGTCGAGTGCTTCAAGAGGTTCTAGTGGACTATCGTTTGGATCTTTTTCGTTGGGGTATTCCAAGGGGGTACACGGTATCGATGGAAACCTAGAGGCCAAGATGGGAATTGAGAGTAAAGGACACGTTGCAAGTGATGAGGAACCCAACGAGAACGGATCAGACGTCCGTGATAGGTCTGATAAGGACGTATCAAAAGAGGAGGGGGGTGGACCCGTGTCCATGGACATTGATGAACCTGCGTCTTCTCCTGCGAGTCATACCCTGCATGATAAAGAACCATCGCCAACAGAACCTGCTCCAAACCCCACTAAATCGTCCTCCGATACCCTGCACGCACCAACGGGCACAACGCTGGCAACCACACACGTAGCCACCCCCTTCCCCTTTCTTTTAAAACATTCACTACGAGAATATCAGCATGTCGGACTGGATTGGCTTGCAGGGTTATACGAGCGCGGCCTGAATGGTATCCTAGCCGATGAAATGGGATTGGGTAAAACAATTCAAACGATTGCCCTCTTTGCTCATTTGGCATGTTCAAAAGGCGTATGGGGCCAACATCTGGTGATTGTTCCTACATCCGTTATGCTCAATTGGGAATGCGAATTCAAGAAATGGTTACCCGGGTTCAAGCTTTTGACATACTATGGATCCATCCCGGAGCGTGCAGCGAAACGCGTAGGATGGTCCAAACCCAACGCATTTCACGTCTGTATTACGAGTTACCAAATCGTGCTTCGGGATCATCATATTTTTCGACGGAAGCGGTGGTGTTATCTTGTTCTTGACGAAGCGCATAATATCAAAAACTTTCGTAGTCAGCGATGGCAGACTTTATTGGGATTCAATACGGAGCGACGTCTCCTCTTGACTGGGACACCCCTCCAAAATAATTTAATGGAGTTGTGGAGTTTATTGTACTTTTTGATGCCGGGTGATTATGACGAGGGGGGATTTGCTGGACGGCAGGAATTCAAAGAGTGGTTTGAGACTTCAGTGTCTCAGATTGTGGGTGATGGGCATCTTTCTTCTTCGTCATCGTCTTCTTTGGTCTTGTCTTCTGACATGGCTGACAATGAAACACGTGCCTCCGTCTCACGTCTCCATGCCGTTCTACGACCCTACATCCTCCGCCGCCTCAAAGCCGACGTTGAGAAACAAATGCCCGGAAAATTCGAACATGTCCTAAAATGCCGTCTAAGTAAACGCCAAAGATTTCTATACGATGACTTTATGTCCCGAGCGAAAACAAAAGAGGATTTAGCGTCTGGGAATTACCTTTCCATCGTGAACGTTTTAATGCAATTACGTAAAGTGTGTAATCACCCTGATTTATTTGAGGAGCGGCCGGTTGTGACTGGATTTGCGATACCCGAGGGCGGAATTGTTGGTCGGTTATTGGAAACAGAGGAAATCTTGATTTGGAAAAAATTGTTGTTGTCAATTGATACGATTGATTTGGGGCATTTTGGATTACGGGTTGTTGATCTTGGTGTTGAGGAGTGGGTTGGGTTCGAAGGGGATCGGATACGTGAATTGGAGGCTTTGGATGCTATTCGGGCGCGTGTTCGCCAAGCTGATGTGAATCAAGTGCAAGCGAGGACATTGGTTTCGTACAAGTATCGAACATTACAAGAGTGGCGACATGTTCTTGGATGGCGACATGCAAAAGAGGAATTGGATTGGTGGATGGGTGTTGAGAGGGTCAATCATTTACGGTGCGCAACGGTTGGTCCCATCTATGGACGTCTTCTTCGTGCGACATGCCGAAAACTTGGATACCGAGACGTGGATAATATTGTCCAAGCCAGTCAAGATCCAAGACGATTTGGCGATTATAGCTCTACCCTTCGTTCCATGATTCAAACCCCTTTTGAACGGTCGCTGTCCATGTCTGATCTTGTTTCCCGGTTTGCGTGCACTACACCTCGTGCACGTTTACATCCTTTTCGATCTATTCTCCCCCCCTCTGGATACATGTACCCTCGAACAGTAGATCTCGCCCACCTTGCCGACGAATTAACCCAAAAATGCACACAAGACCCCCTAAGTTACTCAAAAACCCGATTGGAAATGTCGTTTCCCGATAAACGCCTCGTTCAATTCGATTGCGGAAAATTACAAACCCTCGATCGATTATTGCGGGACCTTATCGCGGGTGGACATCGGGCTCTCGTCTTCACCCAAATGACACGCATGTTGGATATTCTTGAAGTATTCTTGAATTTACATGGACATTTATACCTTCGTCTTGACGGTACCACCAAAGTCGAACACCGACAACTTTTAATGGAGCGCTTTAATAATGATAAACGTATCTTGGTGTTTATTCTTTCGACGAGGAGTGGAGGGCTTGGTATGAATTTAACGGGTGCGGATACGGTTATTTTTTATGATAGTGATTGGAATCCTGCCATGGATGGTGAGTACCGTGTTCATTATTTGTAAATCATTTCGAAAAAAGTCTTTTTTATTGTGTTTTTTGTATGTGAAAAAGCTCAAGCCCAAGATCGAGCCCACCGTATCGGCCAAACCCGCGAAGTCCACATTTACCGTTTCGTAAGCGAACACACGATTGAAGAAAACATGCTCCGAAAAGCCAACCAAAAACGCCGGCTTGACCAAATTGTTATCCAAGATGGTGATTTCACCACAGAGTGGATCAATAAATCCCAATCAACAAGTAATTGGCGGGACTGGTTAGATTCTGATTCTTCACAACAAAATTGGGAATCGGCTATGATGCAAGCTGAAGATGAAACGGATGTTGTTGCGGCTCGGAAAGCGGCTGTTGAACTTGAACGCAATGTTGCGGAATTTGGTGAACAGGAATCATCCAAATCAGAGTTATTACCCCATCCACCCGACCATCAAAAAGATCAAAAAGAACAAGGAAAAATCGAGGATACTCAACCGGTTGGATCACTCGATGAATACCTATTCCGGTTCCAGATTTTTAGAATGGGGTTGGAAGGTGTTTTGGATTGGAGGGATTTTGCGGAGGAGTTACGACGGGTTGCTGATGATGATGATGATGATGATCAAAAGGGGCAAGGGAATGTGTAGATTGTGTTGTTTTTGAATTGGTAATAGTGGGGATTTTTGTTGGGGCTTTTTGTTTATTGTACAGATTTTTTCGTCGCTTTTTTTTAATGTATTTTTTTTTATATATATATTTACTTTTGGTAAAGGGTAATATTGAGAGTATGCAATAAGTGAGCGCTTTTTTTGTGTATGTTTTTGTTTTTTATGATGTGACATGTGTGTGTGATGTATACCCTTCCCATTAGACTTTTGAACAAATGCAACATTTCTCAATCCTTGTATTTCATATTATATCATACAGTTATAAAACATACTTTCTAATACTCTCTATATTACACATTATCCAAAATAAAAAACTATTCTACAATGCAAATATTTCATTCCCCCCAATGCATAGATATCTATTAAAACGTGACTCGTCTTGTCTTGGCTTTTGCCGTTTGATGACAGTTGCAATAGGGTTTGGGAAGGACGTAGCCTATTGCTCCAGTGTATGCTGCATAGACGTGCCGATGCCGTGTTGAATTCTTGTATTATACCACTATATCATACAGTTACATAACATAGTTTCCTAATATACTCTATATTACACATTATCTAAAAAAACAAAACTATTCTACAATGCAAACCAACACTTGGTTTTCTTTTTATAAAAACATATATTCATGTATACCCACCCAGGCATAGATATCCAATTAAAACGTGACTCGTCTCGTCTTGGCTTTTGTCGTTTGATGACAGTTGCAATAGGGTTTGGGTAGGACGTAGCCTATTGCTCCAGTGTATGCTGCATAGACGTGCCGATGAAAGGCTTCCACAGCTGGTTTCAACATTGGGATCCGGGTAGTTAAATACGTTGTTAGGGATGTATAGAGTGTTGGTGGCGTTATCGGTGGGATATGGGTGTGATGGCAATGTAGACCCAAATCCACATGGGGCACCGTATGCATGTCATATTGCGAATCCAATTTCGGACCCACTTTCGGATACTCAACACTTCGTACAAATTGTCGTCTCTCCATATTCCAACCCTCATCCTCTTCAAACTCATCACTATCATAAATGACCACCTCCCCATCCTCAACAGCTTCCGTAGCTTCCTTGACAAGCCCGACGAGGCGCTCACATAGTCTATCTAGGACATCCTCGTCGTCTTTGTGTGGGGGTTTTTTTGGAGGGGTTTGGGATCGGGCTTGGGCCATTAGGGTGTCGAGGAGGGGGGAGGGGTCGAGGGAGTCGTAGGAGGGGGGTTGGTCTTCTTGGTCTATTTCTTGGTCCATTTCTTGGTCTATTGCTTGGGCCATGGTTTCGAGTGTGGTGGGGTGTGTAAGAGGCATTTTTGGGTTGTGTTTGTTGGGAATAAAGGTGATGAGGATAAGATGAATGGGGACGGGAGATATGCGTTTGGCTGTCAAATAAGCGACTTCACAATGTTTTTTTGGCATGTGCGTTCAAGTTCGGGTCCCCCTCTCGTTGCGGAGGCAAGTCTACGCCGAACAAAGAGTTACCTTTTTGGATGATCCCAAAACGGTAAATAGACAAAAAACCAGAGATTTTTTTTTTTAAGTGTGTGATTTTTCATGTTGAGTTGAGTAGACCTTGGCAAACAGAGTGCTCTAAAAGATCGTACGAGTAACCAGCTCAAAGCATGTCCCAACGTACGTTTCTCATCAGTCCGTTTTTCTCCAAACCGGACAGTTTGTCATCCGCCCGTCGTCCCGCCGTCAATCTCCCGTCAACTTCCCGTCGCTCGCATTTCCCCGCCGTAGTAAAACCCGCCCGGCGCCCGCGGACAATCCCACTTCCTTCCCCGCTTGTGCGGCACAGTCACAATAATTGAGTTAGTCATGACGGCACAGTCACAAGCCATCTTCCCCGTTTCCACGTCATCGGCACAGTCATGTAACCTTATACCACGTGGTGGAAATAATACTATATTGGGGCAAATGAGAGTGTTCAAGTTCCGCTTAAAGGTGTTCTAGTTTTTTTCGAGCGTTTTATTGGGGATGTTTTTTTTGTTGGGGAGAGACACGGCGTTTGCAAGTCAGTATTTAAAAGGGAGTGGGAGGTCGATTTGTTACTCGGCTTAAGCGGCATCTCGTAGATGGGTAGGCACATGTCGGAAGAAATGTCACACTCTAGTGACATTACGTCAAAAGAAGCGTCAGATGGATTGGTTTTAGAAGACGAACGACCCACAAGCGATCTACAGAGTTGGCATACCCTTCCCCTCGACGCCGTCTATACTCACTTGTCTACATCTCCTACGGGCCTCTCCAATCATGATCTACCCGCCCGACTCGCCGAGTACGGCCCAAATACCCTGACACCTACACCCCCTATAAGATGGTATCACATCCTCCTCCGTCAACTCCGGGATACCATGAATTGGATTTTTTTTGGGTTGGGTGCTGCGGGGTTTGCCTTGGGAGATCCCGTCACGGGTGGACTTTTATGTGGATTATCTGTTTTGAATGTTTATTTGTCGTTTTCGCAGGAGGCTGCTGCGGAGCGGACTTTGGCGGCTCTCAAGGCTTTATCGTCTCCCACTTGTACGGTACTTCGAGATGGGATGATACCTGTCGTGGTGGGCACCGAGGAAGTGGTCCCAGGGGATGTTTTGGTGTTGAAGGCAGGTGATAAAGTTGCGGCGGATGTAAGGTTGATGGAAGTGAGTGGGTTGCTTGTGGATGAAGCGTTATTGACGGGTGAGGCAGTTTCAGTCAAGAAAAAGGTTGGAATGGTGAAAGAGGACGAGGCGTTGGGAGATCGAGTGAATATGGCGTATGCTTCGACGACGGTGGTCAAGGGTCGTGGGAAGGGGGTGGTGGTGGCGACGGGAATGAAGACAGAGGTAGGAAAGATTGCCAAAACTCTCAACGAATCAACCAAACAAGAAGAGTCCACACAGATTCAGAAATCGTTATGGAAAATGTATTTGGGTCTCCTTGCGACTTCTATCGTGTTTGGACTGACGGTTCTGGCCGTCAACAAGTTTCGCGTTCCGTATGATGTGGGTCTATATGCTCTCACGGCCGCCTTGTCTGTTCTCCCCGCTGGATTAACAACAGTCTTGACTGTGACGTTGGTCCTGGGTGGCAAAGAAATGACTCGACAGCGCGCAGTCGTGAGGAGGTTAAAGTGTTTGGAAACTTTGGGGGCAGTCAATATTATCTTTTCGGACAAGACGGGGACATTGACGCAGGCTCGTATGACGGTGGTTAGGGTATGGGTACCAGAGATAGGAGTGTATACCATATCATCCGGGCGCATTGGAGTCATCAAAAATGGAGGGACGGAAGAGGAGGAGGTGAATCCTCATATGCCGCTGGAGCCAAGTTTGGAACGCTTTATCCAGTGTTGCGCACTATGCAATACGACTAATGTGACCGAGATGCTTTCTCCATCGGACAAGAACACCATACCCGACAAGAAGGCCTTGGCTGACCCAACGATATTGAAACCGCTGCCTACAGGCTCACCCACCGAAACCGCGCTTGCAAGCCTTGCAAGCACGTTTAACTCTTCCAAACCAACACTGGAATCCATGGGCTGGACAATCGTACACGAACACCATTTTGATTCCACCCTAAAGAGGATGTCGGTATTAGTGAGAGATCCGGCGGGGTGTTTGCATGTCTTTACCAAAGGGGCTGCTGAGAGCGTCTTGCCGCTTTGTACAGGAGACGGGCGTATGGATGAAAATCGTGTTTTGGATGAGGTGGAGGGGTGTGCTGCGCGGGGCTTGAGGGTGATGGTCATGGGCTGGAAGGTATGGAAAGGAAATGATGAGGAGGTCAGAGAAGAGGTAGAGAGTGGGTTGCAAGTGGTGGGATGCTGTGGGATTTATGATCCGTGAGTTTTTTTTGCTTTATTTGCTTGTTGTTGTTCATCGGGTGGTTTCTTGACAATTTCGTTATAGTCCCCGTCCAGAAACGAAATACGCAATCCAACAAGCGCACCAAGCTGGGATCTCAGTGCATATGCTAACAGGGGACCACCTCAGCACAGCCATCACTATTGCCAAGGAAATCGCGCTCCTCCCGCCGTCCTACAATCCGACCGCAGGCAACTCTAATACAACACACATGACGACCACCGGCCCACTCTTTGACGCCCTCACTGACGAAGAGATCGACGCTCTTCCTTCTCTCCCCCTCATTGTCGCACGCTGCACACCCGAAACTAAAGTCCGCATGATTCGTGCGTCTAAACGTCGGGGCTACATCTCCGCCATGACGGGTGACGGAATCAACGACTCTCCGTCCCTCCAAATCGCCCACGTAGGCATCGCAATGGGTCAAAGTGGCTCCGATGTTGCCAAACAATCCTCAGACATGATTCTCACCGACGACAATTTTGACACGATTATAAAAGCTATTGCGGAGGGACGAAGAATTTATCGCAACATTCAACGGTTCTTGCTTTATTACTGGATTGGACTTGGTGCGTGTGCGCTTGTTGTCATGGGGAATCTATGGATAAAGGATCCCCAGGGGAGTCCAGTATCACCCATTTCGACACTTGAAATGGTATATTTGTATATCATCATGTCACCCCCTGCTGCGTCCCTATCGACTCAACCCGCCGCAAGAACACTCATGTCTGAACCACCACGCCCCGCAACGGAATCTCTTTTCAATAAGGACATTGTCATGGATTTCGGGTTTTACACTTTTGTCATGACATGCCTGCTCTTGGGATCCTTTTATACTGCATTGTTTGTCGAGGGGGGTGTACAGAGTGTGAAATGTGATGAGAACTTTGACGAAGGGTGTCGTGGATTGTATCGAGCTCGCGCAACACTTTTATGTGTTTTTTCATTGGTGTTGATGGTTCAAGCCATTCATGTCCGATCGAAAGGATTGCAATGGATGAATAAACGTGGATTAAAAGCTACTTGGGATGATAGAGTTTGGATGTCGAGTTTTGTTGTGGTTGTGACGACTCTTGTTGTTGTTACGATGGTCGAGTCGATTGCCCGTGTTATGGGCATGGCACCCATATCGTGGGAATGGGGACTTGTGTGGGCAAGTGTACTATTTTTTGTACTTGCTGGCGAGGTGTATAAGAGTGTTAAGCGGGAGCCAAGAGAGGGGGATGTGATAGAGATGGGGGTATGATGGAATAGCGTTGATAGATGAAAGAGATGTTCTCATACACTTAGGTGCTCTCCTCTACATAATAACTATGAACTGTACTATATTGGTCAAATGTCCGACATTGCATGGGCCAGCTTTCCAGACCATTAATCTTGAAAGAGATTGCCTCAAAAGGGTTCTTCAAGTACTGCGCACTTTTTTGGGTGACAAGTATAACCAGTACATGCTTGATCGCTCACAAAAAGTTTTCAACTTTGTAAGGCAAAAACAAATTTCCATCAACTCTTTTTCCAACCAAGAGCTATTGCCCAAACGCAAAGTTCGAAGATATGATTGTGGAGAATCTTTTGCGATAGGTCTAATGAAAGCGTACAAAAGCGCAAACAATGTCGCTTTAAACCCCATTTTTTGCAGCATCTGCTCCAAAGTTTCTTAATGGAGACAAAAAATAAATAGAGTTACAATGAAAGAGCTACATTCCGGTAATTCAGTAATCCAAGCGAGTAGACTCTCTTAGGTTGGAGTTACAATGAAAAGAATCATAAAAAAAGAAAACAAAAGAATAAAAAAATATGAGAATACAGGGTAGCCACAAGTCCTTTGGTTGTTGACACTGCTGCAAAGGGTTGCTCTTTTGGCTAGTGCGGGATTACTTTCCTAGACGTTTTCACCACAATGTAAACAATAAAGAACTGGACAAATTCCCTGTTAAAGGAACAAAAGGACCATCATGACGCTTGAGTTTATGCAAAGGATCGTGTCCTGGACATTTGGGACGTCAGTCCATCTCCTCCAAACTCTTGAGCGTATTTGATGGCGTTTCTCCCTGATCCTTCACCTAATACTTGGTTCATATATCTGTTGGTTTCGACGTCTTCTTTGGACGGTCGAACCCTTCTTTTTTCGACTGACTACGTAGGTAATCAGAACCCGATCCATCCGCATGCTTACGGCTTTAAAGAAGGAACATTCTTTAACAGTTTCAACTTACAAGTCCGCGCATGAAATCCTGAAACTTTAAGTTGGGGCGAAGGCGGGCGGGGTGTTCGAACACTTAACAAAAAAAAAAAAAAAAAGTGTGACGACGCGTGTGTTCCAACAGAAAGCACACAAGAGAAATTCGCTCGGTAAAAGCGACAATTGGGGACAGTTCTGCCAATTTGTCTGCATTCTTCAGTAAAATACTTGTCATTTGACTATCTGTGTTGTGTGTTCCGCCTCCCCCCTTCCCCATGAGTTTTTTGCTTTGATGACAAACTTGTCAAGCCGTAGCTTCCTTTGAGATAGCAGACTAACAGCATAAAAGGAGGTAACAAGAACTGTTTTCCCCTTCACGCACTTTCGTCTTTTGTTATCCAGTCACTCGCGTCAAACCTCATCACGCTTTAAACAGCCTCTACTGTATCATCATGCACATCCAAACCATTCTCCTCCTAACCTTTGCCGTAATCATCGCTCTTGCAACCGCCGCCCCCATTCCAAGCACAAACACCATCCGCACCACAACTCCTCATACCCGGGCAATTAGAGGCTCACCAATGCAAGCGTCAGCACCCATGTTTGCAACAAATATCCGATCACAGGCGCGGAGGGGTCAGATGATGCAGTAGGGATATCGGAGGAAATTTTAGTCCTGTTTGTTGGACCATGGACCATAGTTTTGCTATTGCTAGTATTTCTCTTTTTATAATACATACAGTCTGAAAACCAAGCTTTGTTTTGCTTCCCTTCGTTGCAAGCTGCCCAGTTTATGGCCACTGTGCGCAAGTTCGCTCCCAGTTCAATGACCAAAGCCAAGTCCCGTGACAAAGGACATTTTATACATTTAAATGTGAGTAAAATGAGGCTATTATGTCATTAGCAAAAGCCACATCCTCCGCGTCGCCCCCAAACGCAACCTTCCGCCCATCGTTCGTCATCCTGCTTTCATTTTGTTTTGACCCCATCCGCACATATAAAAAGGATCGCATTCGCCCATCCACACATTTATATACCAACTCTAAAGCTCAAACTCTCTATATATTCTCCCAACCAAAATACCTTACATCCGATCATCATGAACGCTCTGTCCTCCTTCCGTGTTGCATTCCTCCGCACATCCCCAGTCAGGGGCCTTTGCACACCGCAAATTCGCTGCATGTCTCAGGGCCTTGGCGCACACATGAACGATAATGACCCAAAGAAGATTCAACGGGATGCCCCAAAAGCAAAACGTATGTCGTTGCATATCCATCAGGCACAGTAGACATGTCAGCCAACCACTAAGGCTTTGTTGCCCATGTAGCTGGAAAGAAGGATACCTCTTCTCATTTCAACCAAGATGGAGGATGGGCTGAAGAGATGGCATCAACATCAGAAGCTGCGGTAAGTTATTTTGAGTATTGCGATGCAGTCGTTCTTTGAGGCTCATTGAATCTTGTTCGGATCAAAGGTCAAGGCCGATCGCGGTCATCATCACAAACACGATGATCTGAAATCACTTCAGGAACAGTCTGTGGAAAAGCTGACGAAAAAGCACCGAGGAAACGCCTGAATAAACATGTAGTTTTAGAGATTTTGTAACTCGGTCCAGTGGGCTGATGAATACAAATGACTGTACAAGATGTGTATGCCTCCTTTCCCGATTTGATCGGATTACTTTACATGGTTATCTTTTTTATTTTTTTATTTAAAATCCTCTTGCTGTTGGAATCTTTTAAAGATTATGCCATTCACATGTTCGAACGGTATCCTGCAAGAGATTTCGTGTAGCAACTCATTACCCATGTGAGCATCTAAATATAGTGACCCGCGTAATCGCGGGCATGTCTCTTCGGAGCATTTTAAAATGCATACGTGTAGATCTTGGATCGACTACGACCAGACTTTGTAGCATATATCGTATCAAGCAGCGTCATGGCGGTTGCTACAGCAGCGCCGACTGCGGTCGACACATTGCGGACTACCATCAGTCATGATGTGGGGAAAGGGCAACGCAGAGGTAAATTTGGGTTCATCTTGGTCATAATAAAGTATCTAATAAACAGCAACCGGACCTGCAGGCAAAAAAAGGCACCTCAAGCTTTTCATACATCCCCCAAGCATTCCTACCAAGTTTCAAACTTTCCATTTTGATGATCGTGAAGAAAAAGGCTTCAATTCAACCGCACCAAGATTCAATAAGAGATTGGTATTTGCGAACAATATGCAGTCCTCCCGAACATGGATCGATTACAAGTTTTAACTCGCTTTGAGTTACAGGATGAATTACCGGGACCGGGTTACTACCGATCCAAACCGAATGAGGAACTTGGAGATGGGGGATCCTTTTCGCAAAAGGGTTATGGGGTCGGATTTGTATCAAAGGTATCACTACGAGATGCATACTTCACTGCGTCAAAGCAACTGCTTAGGTTTCATTCCACTCCCTAGTCGAAACGATTCCACAAACCACCAACCGATCTCGAAACCAATCTACCTATCCACGGCAACCCAACCAAATACAATCCGCGTGAACCCACCTACAGTCACTCCATAACCCACAATCCGTCCCCAGCCTTCCGCGCACCCCTCGTTCCCCCACCACCGTCATCAGCAATTATACCGTCTTGGGGTGCACGGTTCGATCGACCAACCCCTGGGCCTGGATATTATGCTCCCGAACGAACACCCAGACGAGCACAAGCAGGACCGGGAGCGGGAGATGGTGGTGGTGCGGAAGAGGCGGGAGCAAGGAGCGCTTTCGTGAGTCGGAGTAAGAGGAGTGCGATTAATGATGCTGCGTCAATGCCTGGCAAGGATGCGCCTCCACCTGGTACGTCGGCTTATTGCTGGGGAATATCTTGATCTAGTTGAATTTTTTATTCGTTGCCTTTTATGGAACTTGTTCGATGGTATTAGGTGCCTACATTGTCCAGGAGGAAACAATTGCAAAGCATGTACCTGCGGCTGTCGCGGCTTTTAAAGCAACTGCAAGGCCCAATTTAACATCAAAGTAAGGGTGGCAATGTGGGCCTTGCATCCTTCTCTTCCTTGCTGACACTTGCACCAACATTCCAAAGACAAACGGTGAATAATCCCGGTCCGGGAGCGTACAACCTCCAACCTTCACCAGATCAAGGTTCACATATCCGGTAAGCCCGCAAAACTGTCTATCTGTGTCCGTTGACCACTCATCCTTGGCTCCGCACAGCCGACGACCTGGACCACCCCTCTCTATAGCCCCTCCACCACCACGGCCCGCAACACCCCTTTCAAACCACGTCTCCATCCCAGGCTCCAACGTCCCACCAATCGCCAATCCAGGTCCCGGTCGCTACGACCTAGCTGCGGCAGCTGATATTATCCTCCGCAAAGCACCGTCCTTAAAGGCTGCTTTTGTGAGTTCGTCACCGAGATTTGGGACTGATCCAGACGGACGGAGTAGGCCTGGTCCTGGGTTCTATAAGCCTATTGATGCAGGACGGATGAGGAGCTTTCATTTGAATTTGGAGAGCAGATGGACTTGAAGAGATTTGTTTTTAGATACATGTATCCTCCATTTCGGTAGACTTTTGAGCTCCAAAGCAGAAAGAAAATCTCCTCTTAAGCATCAGCGATTCTGAATAGGAACCCAACGTATTTATGAATACAGTTTTCTGTCTACGAAACTTCCATCCTCCATCTACTACGAACTATATGACTCTAAGTCACACCCTTAGTAGCGATGTGAATTTGCGAGCACACATTTAGCTCCCAGTTTCCCACTATAACTGACAAGAATCTCGAACGCAGACACAGCAAACTGCTATCACCTAAAATAACCCGTCCATACCAAGAACCTCCTCAACAGGCTCTGAGCTGTTTCGAGTTCCAAAAAAGGACCCAAAATAGGCAATGACGTTTTGCACGGCAGCAGCCGGCAGTGAAGACCCTGAATGCGCGTCCAGCAACGGACTATGGTCGTTCACATTGATGGAGACGGCTGATGGGCTGGCTATTGAAAGCTGAGGAATTATCTCACGTTTGCAGGTGGGACAGACGAGAGCATGATTAAGGAGCCACGGGTCAATGCTGTGTGGTGATTTCAGTTAGATATATGGGGAATCAATCAATCAATTTACGTCCTTTTCTTACCAGCTTTGATGAAACACATGTCGGCAAGGCAGTTCCCTCACTTTACATCCAATCTTGAACTCATCAATGCAGATAGCACAACAATCCGTCGAGAATCCTTTTCCATCCTTCTCCTCAGTCTTTCCGAATTTCAATTCCAATCCATCCAAATCTTCCTGCGTTACCGTTCGCAGTCGCAATCTGACCCTCTCAACCTGCATTTCACCATCCTCACCTACTATGATCTTGATCATTGCTGATGTCCCTGGTCGTGGTGACTGCAAAGGAATGGGACCAAATATTCTGTTGTGAAGCAGAACCAACGCCGCTCCTACGGCCATCGCTCCTAGTGCACCGAGGAAAAAACACAAGGCGGACACCAAGGCGTCACCCCAAATGCCCGTGAAGACGCCGTCCCACGCTTGATCCGGGTCAATAACGTGAGGATATTTCCGTTGTCCTGATGGTAACTGATCTGAATCTAGCTTCTCATTTGCAGACTTGATCAAGGCTCTAACTACGCCTACACCTTGCCCCCATTGAGCGCTCTCTTTCAAAATCTGTCCATCGAAATCTGTAACAAAGAGCGCGGCAATCTGCACTTCAGCGTCCGTTGCATCGACAGCTGACATACGCACAGGGTGATCATAGTAAGGCGACGTTGCGATATTGTAGATGATGCCACCTTTGAATCCAGCGCGCTGGGCGTTGAGTATTTTGACATCAAACGGACAGTGTCCGCGTGGAAGAAGAATGTACGCATCGTCGGTTTGCTGATTCGCAAGAAGAAGCGGCTTTTTGAACGGTCTACATCCAGTTTCGTTTTCGAGAATCAGGATTCGCACTTTTGCTGGCTTTTGTATCGGTGCACCAAACAATGCTGGGATACCCACGACCGCACCTCGATCCCCAGCGCTCAATATATGAATGTTGACTGCCTCGTCGTCGGAAGATAATGCGACTGAATCAGATTTTTTGGGAAGTATGCCGGGCTTGGGGTGAATCGCCATGAAAATCAAGAAAGCCACGACAAACGCCAACCAGATGCGGGCCATCGTAGTTGTCGTTGTCGTAAGGAATATTAGGAAACGGGTTGCTCTTGTTTGTTGCTGCAGTGGAGGTTCAGTGGCTGGTGGTGATGATGAATCCATCCTTTGGGGGGCGATCTGCACTTTCTGTACGTTGTCCAATCGACCAGATGAATTCAGCTTTTGTCAAAAGGGGCCCTGACAGCATAAACTCATCTCAAATGTCATTTTTAAAAAGTTATGGCATGAGCATCCCCGGAATTTCCATACAATTGGGATATTATTACCCTGTGATGCCGCGCATAGTATCGGACCGTTTCGTAGTGATTCATAAGAGCATTACTTTTTGGGGTGATCCTCATCATGGGGCGACCGTAGCTATTTTTGGCATACATGCATTTAGGCTTTCGATATATCCCCCCCGTATTGACATCCTAATCTGATCTATAATCCAGTGTTCTCTCCTTTCCGGCTAAATGTTCCGCATTACCTTGTTGATGTAGTAGTGTGTAGACGGACATCGGACCACTGAACAAGTGTTCATAATGTTACATGGCTGACTATATCAGTAAGATAGGTGCTCCTCGCCCCACTTGAGATTGAAAGGCATCCATACAACATTCCGCAAAGATTGTTGATAAGGTGGAAGGCTGACATTGAATGACGTTGACAGATTTTACAATTTTACTTTGATTACACTCGAGAACAAACTCGATAGAAGAATGCATATGCCTCTTTGGGCTGTTCTCGTGTCGCAGAGAAATGTTTTCCTACTCAAACGTTTCCTGACTACTTGTGATAGCATCATTCATCTGTCGGGGTTTTGACGTCTGGTAATTGAAGCATTTGCAATAACTCAAGAACGGATAACTAGAGAATAAGTTACGATTCTGGTGCAAGCAATGCACTAGTCGCCTTTTACAGATGGCCTACAGATTCTCCCTTGTTCGTTCTATGTCTCTTCAACAGTTTCTTGGTCCAAAAAACTGATTATTGACGTACTTTGGATTACGTACGTAATTATTTCCAAATTGGGACATGCAAATGACTTCACTACCAGCTCCGTGTCGTCTGTCTCGGCTTGTTCCTGTCAATCTACAATTTGTGATTTGGTTTGATCCTCATCGTGAATACATAACATATTTAGAACGCAAGTAAGCCTCCAAAGGAAAACGCACAAGGTGTTGCAGACGAGCTACGACAAGTTTTTGCCAGAAGCGTCAACGACCACCACCTCATATTGCAAGCCGGAGACGATTTCCCAAGTTTTTTGAGACGCTCCAATTCTCTGATGCCGGAACCCTCGGAACCAAAACCGCCAGAACGTATTGATACACCCATTAGTGCTACCTCTTCCTCAACCGCGGACTCTCCGTCCAGAGACGACATCAATGGCGTACCGGCAGCTCAGGATGGCGACGTCGACGACTCTCCCGCCTCTTCGCCAACACTTTCCGCCACTAGCGATACCCTCATACAAGCGCTGGACTTTGACCTACTAGATTTTGATGATGATCTCTCTTCATTTGACTTGGTCGGCTCAGACTGGATCCGTGTCCTCTCATCCACATTCTCAGCGCAGCGAGATCGACTCGAGCAAACGCCGTTTGGTCGCAAGTTCCGAAAGCTGGTAGATACCCAAAAACGGATTGTCAACAACCAATTGCGGTTGTTGAAAATGCAGCAGAGCCCAGAAGCTGTTAAAAAAAGGGACAAGCTAGCGTTTGTGGTCGGGGTTACCAATATGTGGGTTACCGCGTTACTAGTCGGGGTTTGGCCAGAAGTTATTCCCTGGTTTTATGTCGTAAAGACTTTTGTCTTGCTGATGATGAGACTGATAGTGTATAGGAGGAAGCGATGGCATTATTTCATGTTTGATATGTGCTACTTTGTGAATGCGCTGTTGATCTTATACCTCGCATTCCCGGGCTCGCACGCTAATTTGTTTGCGGCTACCTGGGGTCTCGCCAACGGGCCGGTACTCATTGCTATAACTGCTTGGCGAAACTCTCTCGTCTTCCACTCGCTGGACAAGGTTACGTCGCTCCTCATTCACTTTGACCCTCCTTTGACGCTCTTTATCTGTCGTTGGGTCGTAAAGCCTCATCACCAACACGCCCTTCGCATTCTTCCCGACCACCTTTTGTCCCTCTCTACGAATCCCCCAGATATATCCTTCTCTCAAATGATGCTCACTTCGGTCGCGACCTACGTGTTTTGGCAAGCCGCGTACTGGGTCTTTGTTTGGACCATGCGCGCAGACAAGATCAAAGCAGGCTATGCTACGAGTACGACATGGATGCTGGCCAATCAACAGTCCCTCATCTACAGGGCGGCCAAGCGATTTCGTCCTGCATATCAACCTGCAGTATTTATGGCTATTCAGCTTGTCTATACCCTCATTACAATCGCCCCCACGTATCTATTTTACCGATTCAAATGGCTTAATGCGGCTGCATTGATGGGGAGCTTGTGCGTCGCGACATATAATGGGGCAAATTATTATTTTGAAGTGTTTAGTCGAAGATATGTCGAGGAATTGAAGGGATTGAAGAAAGAGCTGGAAAGGGTGGGAAGTTCGGTCCAGCTTGAGGGACTCGACGGATTGGATGGGGGTAATGTTCAAGGTGATGGAGTTAAGAAAGTGAAGAAGGGGTAGGCGTGATTGTGAATGTGCTTTGCAGAGACTGTCAATAGGGATTGGTGATGCGAGACAGTTCAAATTACTGTGATATATTTTGCTGGAAAGTTGGGTAAAAATATATTATCGAGAAATATAATGGTAACGCTGGTATTGCGAGAACCATTGTTATTTCCTTGTGGCCAATATCCTTATAGAGCCCCCTACAGTTACAGTTTTCCACTTCCATGAACAAATCAGCCTGCGGGCACAATCACTAGGTTATTATATATTATATCTATTAGTTACTTATTGGCCGTATTAGAGTATATCGTGTCGCTATATAATGCAATCAATGCTAATACTAAGTCATGTATAAGGGTATTACGGTACTACTGAAAAAAATGCAACTAAAAAAAAGAAAGGTAAACTCTACATTCCATATCTACGTTCTTCTCCTTCTCCCATAGACCCAGACGCTCGTCGCTGGTCCATTGGGGTGTGGGGTCGGCAGGTACCTCGCGCATTAGCGTGATGTCGTGCTAGAGCGTCTTGACGCGAAAACCCACGGCCACATTGGGTGCAAAAGTACGGGCGAATACCCTCGTGAATTCGAACGTGGCGGGAAAGATCGTGTCGGCGGTTAAATGCTGCAGAGCTGGGTGAGACGCGGATTTAGCAAGAACTGTGATGAGAGGCTAGAAAGAACAACAGATCTAGGCAAAGTCATCTACCATTGGCTACACCGGAATGGTCTCGACTGATCTCGAGATTGTGTGCGTGTACTTGCGGTCGGTGAGACTGGTGCTGCTCCCTCCCGAGATAGCACCTGTGAAGGCACGCTTGTCTGTCTCGTTTGACCTCTTGCCTCTGGGCGAGACCCACTTCTTAGATCGGGAACGGCAGGATGAGGGGGAGAGTATAAAGGTGGTGAATACGATAGCGGCGAAGGTGTTTGGGAAGGTGCTGTGGCAGGATATTGCTGAGTGGCCTGTATCGGCCGAAGGTACGAATCATCCGAGGCGGAAGAATACGGTATTGGAGACGAGGGCATTGTTCGGACAGGTAACGTAAGTGGATGTGGTGACCTGACATTTACTTCCCGAAACGTGTCATGAGACGATAGCCTCTCTACAGACGCTTCCGCTGCCGAAGCCGCATACCCTCCAATAGATGTCACCAATCCAACTCCACCTCGGTCGGTAACTGCCGCGCCTTCATAAGCATTTGCTTTACCACGAACACCAGAGGCCTTCTCATTGGCATGGTGTGCAGCCATTATGACCGAGTCTCTCACATCGGCATGTACCAACGAGCTAAGTAAAAGAAGTTGCCGCACATCTTCGTCCTGCAGTCTGCTCATCGATGCTTGAACTTGTTGTGCGACGGATGAACGTCTTTGTCCTTCTCCTTGGTGGGTCTGTCGTTCTTGTGACGGTCGCGTATTGTCCGTGGACCGCGCTGCCTCTTCCCCACCAGGTGATGAAGAAGGTCGAGCCGGGCAATCCTGTGGTTTTAGGGTCGAGTGGGGAACTGACTCGCAGGACCCCGATGATGAGGATGAGCGATTTGTAAAGCGCTCATGAGAAAGGTATTCGGTGAGTGGCGGGCCTGGTAATGGGGGTAACGACGAGTGGAGTGGTCGATGTCTATGTCCTATGTAACCATGTACAGCACCCTAGTTAAAAAAAACGCCACGTCTTATAAATAATCAACAAGGCGATACGTACGTAGAGGCTCTGACGCAAGAGACGACGAACTTCCTTGCTCTTCTTTCTGTTGCCTTGGTTCGCTCAACACGCCTTCGATGCGGCCTCTTTCCAATTCCGCCCCGACCGTCTTGGAGGGGGGCGGCGAGCTGCCAGCCGCCCCGCTACGACCAAACTCCCTAGGTAGGGACTGGACGCCCGAAATGCGATCCTGCAAGAGAGTGTTGTTCTCAGGCTCAGCGATCCCCTCTGATGACGAAGCTTCCATGCACAACAGATGAATGGTGCTTCAAAGCGCCGATAAAGATGTTTAACGACGGAACGTGTCCTGGTCTTTGTCTACTGTGAGACGGAAGGCCAATCGTATGAAGCCCTGTCCCTTTCACGTTGCGGTACTCTCGCACACGGCAGAAGGTTTGGAATGGATCATTGATATGGCATTAGACCGACTTCTTGCCCCCACAAAGCTAAAAAGGGCGGACTGCTATTTTCTATACCGCGCTTTACGTTCGGCCAGGAAATAGAAATTCACTCTGCCTTCTTCATGTCCCTTTTTTTTTCTGCTCATCAATTCAAAACTCAAAAGTTTTTTTCTTTTGTCGTTGGTATCTACGAAAAGTGTGAAATATCACACTTTACATATCGCTGGTAAACATGCACGTGATGATAACTAGGCTTAGCATGGTGACCCTTCCTGCCGCAGTTTGTCCAATTCAAGGGTATTGAAGCAGCAAAAAGACGAGCGATGACGAGCGAAAAAAAAGCGAAAAGGGAGCAAGGCAAAAAACAAAAAATGCGCATGACAAAATGTCGGAACTTGGAGAAGACGGTTTGCTGTGGTGGCAAACGGTTGGCCTTCCCAACGTGGACAAAAACTGTCGCTATTGGGTAAGTTTCCAAGCGGCTTTCACGATCTCATCTGCAAAAGCCAAAAAAGCATCCGACTCTGCTGTTTGCAAAGCCGTCACTGTATGTGTGTTTTTGTGTCAGGATGCCCTTTTGTCGTTCAGGTAAACGTTTGGTAAGAGGTATTGCCACGACCAGAACACTAGAACACTTTAGCCATGAGGGGCGGCACGCGGCAGTGCTTATGCAACATACATTTACGTACATGGCTTTCTTTTCACATGTCTGTTGTCAAACCTTGGCTATTTTTTTTTTTTCTTTGCTTTGCCCTCTTCAATAACCCAATTTCATGACCAAGTTTTCTTTGGGGGATGGTTTTCCTTGATATTTATTATTTTGCAAAGACGCTACCGGAACTCCTTGGCAGGTCCTGCCACTTGTTGATTAGACTGACGGATTTGCTGCTAAAATGATGTGAGGGAACCGATGCCTCGGCCGGCTTCCGCTCATCCCAACAAGATGCGGAGAAGCGGGTCAGATTAACAGCCCATCTCGGATGACTGATCTTTCATTCAGATTTATTTATAATAAACACAGCCATGCTAGTAAGGTAGACAACAGAGTTTACATAAAGAACAAAAAAAACTAAAAACAACACTAATGCACTAAACTGGTTACTCCGCTGTGATGCTGATCTTGTTCACCTTCTGTTCAGGTTTTGGCACATGCACTGACAAAACCCCGTCTCTGAAGACGGCTCGTACTCGCTCAGAATCTACCGCTGTCGGAAACGTAAACGATCTTCGGAAAGAACCGAGGGTACGTTCCTGAGTCCAATATGTAGGGATCTCCGCTGAGATGGTTGTAGGGGTGTGCGCATCAGTGTTGCTGGTCGTTACAGCTGAGGCCTCCGACGTTGCTGAGGATGCGTCTGTGTATGACTGCGCAGTTTCTTTTGGCCCAATGTTCCCCTTTACGACAATGGTATTGCTGTCCGTGAATTCTAAATCAATGTCCTCACGCCGGGCGCCTGGTAGCTCTGCTTCGATAAGGTACGCATTCTTTGTTTCAGACACATCAACAGCCGGGCGATATACGTTCGCTGCTTGTGCACCACGCAACGGACGTGCAAAGAGAGCTTGTGACAGAGGTTCCTCTAGCGATGAGAAGGCTCGGTCAAAGTCCCGAAGAAGTGTAGGAAGAAGCCGGGGAATGGTCATTCTGAGATCTTAACAACGAAGATTTGGCAATGTACAGACTTTGATATGTACTAGACCAATTCCAAATTCACTGGATAGCTTTCCCTGCCGAACGACATGACCCGCTTTTATACCCTAAGAAAATGCGATGATGTGTCCAAAACTCATGTAGTCTGGTACCAACAAGACTCTAGTTGAGCTCGCTGGAAATTTCGCGGAGCTTCGATCAACTGCTGACTCATGCAGATTCTTGTCACGTGGACATATCGAACTACTGCGCTTCTGGTCTTGGTCTCCCGATCCTTACAAAATCAGGTGTCAAGAGACGTATGCGGCTGACTCCTGCATTGAAGCTGCATGTGTCTTGAAGTGGGGTTAAAAGGACACTGTGGATGGCGACCATTTGCAGGCTTCTATAATAAAAGATATAAGAGCAAGGGTATTGGATATTTTCGCGCACCTTCTGCTTGATCAGTTAGTGTCTCGGCAATCGGTCGTACGTCCCGCATTCGCCGGGTCCCGCCTACTCAGATGGTAACTTATCCAACAGCTCAAGTTGCCCCGAACTCGAACCTTTATTGATACAATTGATGTTTTTTCATAAACTACGGACAAACTTCTTACCATTCTTCTCAAACTGGCTGCCTGGAGTTCCGACATTGATGTCGTTGGGTCGGAGAAAGGTTTCAAATAGTACCGTCAGATTGAGCGGAAGGATGATGATGACATGGTTCGGTTATTTACGGTCAATATTGCGGAAACACGGACAATCTCAAAAAGAGGTTCATCAAAGGATCTATGATAAGGATGATGATATTGAAACTCGAAAGTGAAGCTTCAGTAGCTGTGAAGGGTTTGCTTTCCAATCTCTAAATGGCCGTATATCTACCAGATATTCTCATCGTAAAGGAGGTACTCCCGCTTACAAATCTCAAACCATTCTGCCGAGACATCGTAGACACATAGCAATAACTTTGTCGTGGACTTTTGTTTTGTCAAACTCGAAAACACAGACCAGGTTACCCGCATTCGGCGAAATGGTTCAAGAACTAATGAACAGTCATAAGCCCTTCGATAGCAAGTCGGATGCATCGGATGAGTGATAGAAAAAGCGAGTCGGAGAAGGGAGCGCGGTTCAAGACGTATAGTCAAAAGAGAGACGAGCCAAGGCAGTGCCAAATGCCGACTGGCAGAAGCGTGCTACTAATCAATCATGTAGGGATGAATCTGATGAAAGCGGAAATGTTTGTAATGAAGCCACCAGCAAGGGAAAGGGAAATGAAAAGAGAGGATCGTCCATTTATCAAGGGTCTGGTGGATGTTCCCTTTAGTTCCTACCGTGTGTCGATGGGCATACAAGAGTGGCGAAATGAGAGCTGATTTCTAAAAGGCAGCGCTTGTTGATTGCCGGTATTGTCGCTGGATTTCATGTGTACTATCGAAAATCGTAGAAAGGTATTTCCTACAAGCTGCTCATTTAGCGCACACAGAGGCTGGTGCGCAATGCGCAAGGAATGGCCATTAGTACCACTGCTTTCCTTAGTAGTACGATATAGCGCTGGATCGCATTTGAGAATTGTCCAGTATATAACATGTCTCGGTGGTATCTGGCAGTGTCTATGCGGTAAACAACCACCAAAATACCTGTTAATTACTTGGTCATCATTGATCCTTTTGGAATATGTTTTGAAAGCTGGTGAAATGTCCCAAACCTCGACCGCAAAGGCATGGCCCCAAACACAAACTCAGCCATTACATGATGGTGGCTTGGCGATTATTTTAAACTTTGCCCCTTTTCCGGGGCACAGTCATGGATAAAGGAGTTTCTCGGCGGATGGCTGTGCAGATCTCCTTGTCGTGTCCATATTGGCTTTTTCCCCCACAGCCGACCTCCAGGACGACCAGCTTGGCAAGAAAGGAAATTAAACTACCTGGCTTTTGCGTCCTCTCCCTCCTGTCGAACCGAGATCCTGCGTCTTACTGCGCATCAGGTACGTTAACTATCAGAAGCCAGTACGTAGTAATAGTCAGGGCACCCCTGAACTGTGTTCTTGGCGCGTCGGGCTGGGACCCCTGGCTTTGATTCGGCGCTTGCAATCCCATCCCTGGATGAGAGCGGAAAGCAGCTTTTGTTGACCTTTGAGCATTCGACGACGACAACGACGATCATCGTCAATTTTTGGGAGCTTCAAAAAGTCAATTTTTTGACGCTTTGCGACTACTACAGACGTCAGCGCGTTCGCTCCGTGCTCAGGCTCTCCAGCGTGACATAACTGACGTCGCTTTTCCTTTTATTTTTTTCTCTTTCTGCTTTCCCGTCTCCTTATTACCCACCTCCTCCACCACGGCCTCCCCTGCCACCCTTTCTCGGACTTTGACTTGGCAATACGTCTTTCACGCACGGGCTTGGCGATACACAGCAGTCCCGCCCGTCCACTATCCCTTTGTTAAACAAACCAGTGCAGCCATTGTTCCGTTCCGATTCTCATGCAAGCTGCCCCCCATTCCTCCCGCAAGGGCGACTATTCTGTGACAGCCGACCCGTCCGAATCAACTCCACTCGCTTCCCCTCGCGACTCCGTGGATTTTACTTATAGATACGAAGAGGACAAGAGTAAGGACGACTCACAAGAGAAGAAACAGCCTAAATTCCCAAAGAGATCTTCCTCCATGTATGATCCGGGGAGTTCGAATACATTGTATCCTCACTCGCCGCCAACAGGGCGGCCGGTTTACACGCAAGCGAATTATCCTGCTCCATCCGGCTTCGGGACGGACTTGGCCAGTGACGTGGTTGGTTCATAAATATGCTATTTGGCTTTGACAGGATTGATATGTTAATGAAAATGTGCTCCGTTAGAGCCGCGATCGCGCTTCGTACTATGCCGACCAGTCCGGACACCACCAATCAACAATGTACGGAGGCAGGGGCCACCGTGATGCTTCGTACGCAACCATGTCCACCCATCGCAACTCTCCTTCGCCACCACCGCACTCGGGCCACTATGTGCCAGATCCGAACTACGACAACACCTATTACGAACAAGAACAAGTCCAAGTCCACCATGCTCCATCACCTCCCCCCATGCAGAACCCGTACGGTTATGGCCAATATCCCTACCAAAGTCCCTACGGCTACAATTTCACGTACAATCATGCCTACCCTCCAGCACAACAGCTGTACCGCAGAAGAGGCGCGGGAACGATCTTTCGTCACAAAACCACCAAAACGGTCGAGTTAACGGCAAGCGGTAACTTTGTCGTTGAGATTCCTGTCCCAGAAAAGGTTATTGCACATGGCAAGTACCGAACTGGCCGTGAATTCACACACCTCCGATACTCGGCTGTTTGCGGTGACCCGAATGAGTTTGAAGACCGTGGTTATACCTTGCGTGCCGCGGACATGGGTCGGCATACCGAGATGTTCGTCGTTATGACAATGTACAACGAAGATGAAATTCTTTTCGCAAAAACCTGGAAGGCCGTCATGAAGAACATTGCTCACATGTGCTCCAAAAAACGACACACAATGTGGGGCGCAGACGGATGGCAAAAGGTAGTTGTTTGCGTTGTTGCGGATGGACGGACAAAGATTCATCCCCGGACGTTGAATGTGCTGGGTGTTATGGGCGCGTATCAGGAGGGTGTCATCAAGACAAGCATCAGTACTGAAGACGTGGCTGCGCATGTGTTTGAGTTTACGACGCAAGTGTGCGTGGATACTGATTTGAACGTGCGAGGTGCGGATACGGGGTTGGTGCCGGTTCAAGTCCTCTTTTGTCTAAAGGAAAAGAACGCAAAGAAGATCAACAGTCACCGATGGTTCTTCAATGCGTTTGGACGTATTTTGAAGCCAAACATTTGCGTGCTGCTGGATGTTGGCACGAAACCAACAGAGCGCTCTTTATACCGTCTTTGGAAAGCCTTTGACTCTGACCCCCAAGTTGCGGGCGCTTGCGGAGAAATCTGTGCGGAAAAGGGCGCGTACTCCCATAAGCTTCTCAACCCTCTTGTCGCTGCCCAGAATTTCGAGTACAAAATGTCTAATATTATGGACAAACCGCTGGAAAGCGTCTTTGGGTTCATCGCCGTGCTTCCGGGTGCGTTCAGTGCCTATCGATACTCTGCGCTCCAAAACGGTGCGGATGGGACTGGTCCATTAGAAAAGTACTTTATCGGAGAGAGAATGCATGGAAGTCATGGGGACGTCAAGTTGGCTCAGGCGAATATGTATCTAGCAGAGGACCGCATTCTCTGTTTCGAGTTGGTTACAAAGCGGAATGAAAATTGGGTTTTAAGATATGTGAAGGATGCGCAGGCTGAGACAGACGTACCGGATACGATTGCAGAGTTTATTTGTAAGTTCCAAAGTGGCGTGTGTATTTTAGCGTCATAAATGTCGTCTAACTGACATTTTCTTCTTCAAAATGCAGCGCAGCGCCGTCGGTGGCTCAATGGGTCCTTTTTCGCTGGGGTTCACGCGATCGCTCACTTTTACCAAATCTTTCGCTCTGGACACACTGCTCTCCGTAAACTCGCCATTGTCCTCCAACTCCTATACAACAGCATCAACGTCGTCTTCAACTGGTTCTCCTTGGCCAATTTTTACCTTATTTTTTACTTTTTATCCGAAGGCATGGTCTCTTCCCGGGACACGGACCCGTTTTACGGTGCTGGATCTGTTGTTTTTCTGGTCATTCGTCAGATATATATCTTTGCTCTTGTGATGATCTTCGTTGCAAGTCTGGGGAATCGACCGCAAGGGAGTAGGCTGCTATACATGGGATGCTTTATACTTTTTGCTTTTATTATGGCTCTAATGCTTTACATGGTAAGGGTGCCTTGCAAGATCGCGCACTCGAGATGCAATCTTGGCTGACATTAATTTCTAGGCTGGGTTCTCTATCTACTTGTCAGTCTCTGCTGCCGTCAACGAGACAAGGACGACGAATCCGGATGGAACGACGCGAACAGACGTTGGTAAAATTCCGGGGCTGTTGGAAAGACCAGCTTTCCGTGATTTGGTGCTGAGTACAGCCTCTACATATGGGGCGTACTTTATCTGCTCCTTTGCTTATTTGGATCCTTGGCACATGGTAAGCGGAATGGGAAGTTTGTGATTACGAGGCAGAAAATGTCTAACATGCAACTCGAACAGTTTTCATCCTTTATCCAATACCTCCTCCTCCTCCCTGGCTTTGTCAACATTCTGATGGTGTACGCCTTTGGCAACCTGCATGACGTTTCTTGGGGAACCAAGGGTGATAATGCACCAGTCGATGTTGCTCCTGTCGTGGTTAAGAAGGATGACAAGAGCGGCGCAAAAACAGCGACGGTTGACCTCCCTGTTAACCAAAAAGACATTGACGAATCCTACGAAGCCTTTCTCCGAGCCCTCCCACCCCCCATTAAAGTTGCCAAATCCGGCGATAACCGATCGGATAAGCTTAAACAAGAAGATTACTTTAGAACATTCCGTACCCGTGTCGTCCTCCTTTGGATCTTCTGCAACGTCCTGCTTGTGGCGATTCTTACCACTCCCTCAGTAGCGGAAAAACTGGGCGTCTTTGTTGGTAGCAATTCAATTGAACGCGGCAACTCTTATTTAACATTTATTCTCTGGAGTGTGGCTGTTTTGAGTCTTGTGCGGTTTGTTGGGAGTATGGTTTATCTCTGTACTCAGGGCAGCGCAAAAAGTAAGGACGAGAGGGAGAAGAATAGGTTGTCGGTTGGCCATGGTGTATAAAACTGGATGTTTACGTGTGGACGTGCTCGGTCTTTTGTACATTGTTTTGGTTTTTCTTGTCGAATTAGTTTAGTCTTTTATTTTTGTTTAGCGCTATATTGTATTGTTAAAAGTGAAATGTTAATAGTACGTTTTTGTAGAAAACGACATTACTGAGTTGAAATTGTTGGACCAACTAATGCCACCTGTTTGTCAAACCTGCTTGTCAAAGCCAGCCATATTATGTCATCCTTGCCCTTCAACCCACAGTGCGCCAGCAACAGCCCATCATCTGGATACCGTTCAATGAGCCACGGCCGGACAAATTACCAAGCGGCCTCCAGTGGTTACCCAGAAGAAAGCACGCGGTTGGGCCAAATGATCGAAACAATTTATCCATATACGGATATATGACAATACCGTGACTGTGCCTTGAACAGTGTGACGGTGTTCTGAACCGCTTGAAGGCCGATTTTTGAACACCTTTTGAACACCTTTTTGGAGGGTCAAAATTGGCAGCAGCTTTTCTCCTTTTTCTTCTTTGTGTGTTGTCGCGCAGTGACGGATGATGTTGTTTGTTGAGAATAATCCATTGGTGTTGCCAAAGGTTAAACAAAAGCGGCATTCGCCCTTTGGGTAAAATAGGCAAGGGGATGGCGGGACATTGAAATACGAGGTGGTGGATACAGATTTCCGTTTGCTTTTTTGCCCATCTGCTTGTTCGTCACTCGTCTTCGAGTCGTCGACGTTTTTTTTTTGTTTCCCTCATACATAGACTTTTTTTATAAATAGAAGCTAGACTAGATTGACAGGGATGAAGGTTTCTACCATCATTGCCGGAACGGCCGTTGCTGCTTTGGCACTTTCGGCGGGTGGAGCGGTAGACGCTGCCGCTGCTGTTGGATATGGGGACTATTCTCGATGCGGAAATAATGTCATTGTGCGGAAAGAAGTTCATGGTATGTCTAAAATCGCCATCTTTGTGAAATCACACAAAGAGAGTGACGCTCTATATTCTGCTAGACTTGACACAGGCGGAATGGAACGTTTACATGACAACTATCCAAAAAGCCATGGTGACCCCGTATATGCCCAACTCCCGCATATCGCTCTGGGAGTACTGGGCGTACATTCACAACACTCAATCACCAAAGATTCACGGAAACAGTATATTCTCGCTTTGGCATCGGTGGTTCATCTTCTATGTCGAGAGAGAGTTGAGGAAGATTAATCCAGCGTTTTCTTTTCCATACTGGGCGACGGATCGACAGGTTGGTAGTCTGCTGTGAAAAAATAGCTTTTTGACGAAACACAAATGGCAGTGTTCTTACTCGACATTGTTTCAGTACGATTCCCGTAGCTGGTCCTTTGACTCGATCTGGAACGTTCAAGGCCGCCCAGCAGGTGCTGGCCAAGAGGTTACAGGCGGTGCATGGGCTGGCGCTCGCTTCACCATTGTCAACAGCAACCAATCCCCTTGGCTCGCGCCCTTCAAAAACAGCAAAATTAAGCGAGCGTATGGTTTGGAGGACGTCCAGCGCATGACAACTGCCAATCAGCTTCGTCAATACCGTTTCCCATCTTTGGACGATTACAATAACATTTACAACATGTGTTTGAATGTCCCAACCGGGTTCCATTGTTGGGCGAATCGGAACGAGTGGTTGCACGGGACGTTCCATGTTGTCAATGGCGGACAACAGCAGCAAGTTGGACAAATGGCGACCATGTTCTCGCCTTTGGACCCACGTAAGTTCAATTGTTTTTTCAGTTATGCAACGAACGTCGGATGCTGATGACTCGACATACTAGTGTTCTATCTTCACCATTCCAACATTGACCGTATCTACGATGATGTCCAAGGCGGCTGGAACCGCGCCGGAAAATCGCAAGAATACCAGATAATGGGATCCTGCCCCGATAACCCAGAGAATCCCGATGAGAGTCAATCTCCCAAATGCCTGACTCTTGATACCAAGATCCCCGGATTCAATCTCTTTGTCCGTGATACCCAGTTTTCAGCCAAGCTGTGCGTGAAATATCAAGCCCCTCTTCGTGGGCCGCCAGCTGCTCGGGCAATTCAGCGACGGGATGGACCGTTGGATGATGGGATTGTCTTGGGCAACGTCGACGCTGATGTGCCCTTGCCTAGTGAAGATATTAGTGTCCCGGGGGTCCTGGCCCCCGTCGTAGCGACGACCACCGCCCCGACACAGGCTACCAAAACTGCAGGAGCTACGGCGAAGGCTACCTCCATCTCTGGATCCAAAGTGATCCCTCCGATTGTGGATATATCCGTGAACTCATCTTTGAACATCAATGCTACCCTCCCCGTATTCAATGTCACCCTACCCTCTTACAACACCACCCTCCCGTTCCCTTCATTGAACGGAAGTCTCAGCCTGAACGGCACCCTCAACCTCAACCTCACCTTTTACCCAATCGCCTACACCCCTCCCTCTTTCCCAGCCGCACCTCTCCCAGACTGGTGGATTCAAATGCAGTACAGATCCTCCCCCAACTTTACCGACACACACATTGCCACGATTAAAAAGAGTGTGCAGACCATTTTCGAGACGACCGTGCAAAAGGTTCTGAAGGGCGAGAGGATTCTGGGCCCTATCGAGCGGTACGATCGAGAACCCGATTTGTTTGTGCCCAAGAAGAAGAAATGTCATAAAAAGGTGAAGGCTTAAGCGTGACGGGGACAGAGCAATGGATAAAAGTAAATGTGTCACGGATCTCGTTGACTTACGGTTAGACTGAAAAACAAAAAAAAGGAAAACCAAAATGCCTTTGTTGTGTTGTGTTCTATGTCTGTATTTTTTTTCTTGCACGCATATTTACTGTTTCGCCTGCGATCCATGTGTGTGTGTGTAGTCAATTAAATAACGTTAAAGCCCATCTCAATCTGTACATTATCCTATTTACACCGTTTGCATTTTATAATTCATTCACCACCGAACAGGCAATACGGGCCACAGAACCGGTCGTCGAGTTTGGACATGTCTTTGAAACTGGGCATTTAGTTCCAACTCTAATTCTTGGATCGTTTTCCGTGTTTTGGGAGAATACGAGTTTGGCGGGTTGTTGGTCGTGTTTGTCGATTGGGCCGACGTTGTTGGTAATGCCCCTGTGATGGTGACTCTATTTTCCTCTACTTTGACCGCATCCCGTTCGGCTTGCGCTTCGGCCTCCCGTTGTGCTTTCCCTGGTTACCCATAAAATAATAAATGAGCATCACAAACGCAAAACAAACAACAAACTAAATAAAACGTACGCTCCCGTCTCCACATTTCCGAATGCCGAAACATGGCAATCATATCTGGTGTCAGAGAATACGTTGGCTCGGCGTCTTCCAACCATTCACTCTCGTCTCCCTGTTCATCCTCTTGAACGGGTACTTGCACATGTTGTTCTGACTTTTCATGCTCATGCGTCTCTTGCTGTACCGTTGTGTCGCTCGTATGCGTGATATGGTCGTCTGGCGTTTCTGATGGTTGTGCGCAAGAGTAACTGCTCCAATATGCTTCACAATTGCCGCAGAGGCTATCCCAGTACGTTCGTTTACGGGGATTAAGAAAACGTGATTTAGCTGCTGTGCTGAAATGTGCAATCTGAAATGCTTGCAGACGACTGACGGGTGCAGTGTATGTCAAAGGAGTGTGTGTGTCCGGGTGGGCCATTGTGGTTGGGTGTCAGGCTTGCAACATGCACCAGAACTGCAGTTGACTACAGTACTTGCGCACTGCCATGGCAACAGCAATATTCACGCAATACGACTTGAACCAGAAAGATAATACAAAAACATGAGATCTTGTTTACGTCTGCTCTTTGAAAAAAACGATAATCTTGTCCACCTCTTGTCCTCCCATCCTCATCCAATAGATAAAAAAGAACACCACAGACAGCCCCATTACCATGCACAGCTCTATTCCCACCAATCACACTGATCCAGCCGCCTATTCATAAAATTTGGGAATGCCTTGCTCGACTGATGCAGGCTTGACCAATTTGCCCCCTAACAATGCTTCGGAAACTAGCATTTTCTCTTCGAATACGTGTTGCTTCTTCAATCCTGTAGCGGGTGCAGCGGAGATGTCGCGACCGGCATATCTAACCAGGCGCCCACCACGGACAGAGACACCCTTTCCTCCCTTACGGCCATTGTCGAGGCCACCAGCGACACGTTGGGAGTCAAAACGGGCTCCCCATTCCGCACCCTTTGTTGATGTGGATTGTTTTGTACGTTGTTCGGCAGAATGTTGTGGAGATGGATTCGCAGTCGATTCAGATGTTGATGCGATGTGTTGAATGATACGAGATATAAATGACACAGTTGAATGTGAGGTATTCGGGGAAGAAGGGGATGAAGAGAGAGGAGGAACCTGAATCAGTACAATTACCCCCAAAAAGAAACGCACGTTCAAAACCCTTCAGAAGAAGGTCGAAAGGGGCACACAAGTTACGTACCTTTCCACTCTTGAACCAATCCGTCTCCCGAATGGCCGTATCCATTCTTGGCTCAACGAATGACCATGCCCCCGAGTTGAAACTTTCCTCCTGTGCCCACACAATCTCCTCCAAACTAGCTCCATAGTGATCAACGATCGCCTTCACCTCCCAGAAGGGGAATGGTGTCAGCTGCTCCAATCGCACGATGGCAACATTGCGGAGGTTGTTGAGTGCACGGGCGCGGTAGAGGAGGTAGTAGACTTGTCCGGAACAGAAAATAACGGTTTTGATCTCGTTGGGAGGAGCGAGTTGAAAATCGCTTTCCGCACTCAGGGCGTATGGAAGGCGTGGGTCTGCATTGTTACCGGCCCACAAACCGCCAGGTCCAGCAATTTGAAGGTCGGAGAAGGGGTTTTCGTGGAGTACCTCAGGGATGACCCTTTGGAATTGGGTGTTGGCGCCCATTTCTTCGATGCTTGACTTGGCAAGCGGGTGACGAAGGAGAGCTTTCGATTCAAATACAATCAGCTAATATCGAACAAAATTAGACCTTGGATTAAAGGAGTTTTTAAAAACCTCACGTTGTTAACTCACCGGCTTGCGGAACTCGCGATGCACTTGGCGGCGCAATGCATGGAAATAGTTTGACGGCACAGTAGGGTAAACAACCTGAATGTTACAGTCTTGATGTTGGCGGGCATAACTGCCACGATCCGTTCCCTCACGATCAGGCATACTGTAAGGATCCTCATCAGCCAGTTGCAGGAAACGCTCCATACGAGCAGACGAATGTTCTGGGCCTTGTCCATCATATCCGTGAGGCAGCAAAAGGGTTAATCCAGTACGTTGTAACCACTTTTGCTCTCCAGACACAATAAATTGGTCAATAATACATTGGGCGTTGTTCGCAAAGTCGCCGAATTGAGCTTCCCACAACACCAATTGATGTGGACTGGTCATAGAATAACCGAGCTCGAAGCCGAGACAGCCAAACTCCGACAATGAGGAGTTGCAAACGGTGAAGGTGTTTTGGCTAGAGACAAGGTCACCAGCAACAAGGTGGTTAAGGGGTACATACGTAGCTTCCTGGAGGGAACAAGTCACAACGGTCAATATCACCTGCTCATCGGTAACAAAATTGGAAAAAACAGGCAAACTAACCGTCTTTTGATCGTTCAATAACGCATGCCGCTGGGAAAAGGTTCCACGTTCCACATCTTGTCCACTAAGGCGCACATGCTTCCCTTCCGCAAGCAACGTTCCAAAGGCCATAGACTCGGCCGTAGCCCAGTCGATGCCCTTACCTTCTTTGACGCTCTTCTCTCTTTGCCGCAAAATCTTACCCAAGTTGGAATGGACGGTGAAGTCAGACGGATAGCTGGCCGCGGCCACTCCTATGTATCGCAAAAGGTCGAGGTCGATTCCGGTCTTCTGAGCGGGGACTGTCTCTGCGGCAAGCTCAGCCGGTGCCTTGAAACCTTGAAGGACCATAATTTTTAAATATCTTGGATGACACGTTTAAGAAAGTTGCTACTCCGACATACCAGTCCAGGTACTTGACTGCCACTCCTTAGAGCTAGCTTTGTAATCACGGCTGGCAACATAGTTCTCTTCGAGGATTCCCCACACGCGCTTCTTCATCTCATCCACTTCTTCTTGAGTGACAGAGCCTTCGGCCAACAACTGCTGAATGTACTTGTCCAAGACAGGTGTCATGCCAGCAATACGCTACGTAACTTACAATGTCAACGGGAGACAATTGACGAGCTGCTGAGAGGACAATCATACCTGATACATCAAAGGCTGGGTGAAGCTAGGCTGATCAATCTCGTTGTGACCGTGACGACGGTAACATACAATATCGACAACCACGTCCTTCTTCCATTTTGCACGCCACTCCGAAGCCAGCTCCATAGCATACACCACTGCCTCGACATCGTCACCATTCACATGCAAGATGGGCGCATTGACTGTTTTGGCAACATCGGAACAGTAGGGAGTAGACCGAGCGAAACGAGGATCGGTGGTGAAACCGACTTGGTTGTTGACAATAACGTGGATGGTACCTCCGGTGGTGTAGGCAGGAAGATCAGCCATACCCAGGGTCTCGTACACTACGCCCTGGGCTGCAAAGGCGGCGTCACCGTGCAGGAGGACGGCCATGGCTTTCCCGTGGTCTTTTTCGTCGTTTTGGTAAAACTGGATGGCACGAACCTTTCCTTCCACAACCGGGTTCACTGCCTCCAAGTGGGACGGGTTGGCAGCCAAAGACAAGTGCACCATTTTGCCGGATGGCGTCGGACGCATGTAGTTCTAAATGACAATGATCAGATGCGACGATTGAGGATTCGCGACAAACGCGCAAAGCAAATTTACCATTCCCAAATGGTATTTCACATCACCGGAACCCTCGACAGTGTCTTCTGCACTATGCGAGAACTCGGCAAAAATCGATTCATTCGGTTTGCGGACAACGTTCGACAACACGTTCAGTCGCCCACGGTGAGGCATACCCATCACAACGGAGTTGACGCCATGGTCTACTGACCGATCGATCTACGATATGGCATTCAATATACGTCTTTGGAATGCGCAAAACTGTTGACCGCTTACCAAAGACTTCATTCCAGGAATTAAACTCTCACAACCTTCCAAACCGAACCGCTTCTCGGTGGGGTATTTTGTAGCCACAAATCGTTCAAAGTGATCTGACCACATGAGCCGGTCCAAAATCATCATCTTTTGTTCTTTTGTGTAGTTGTACTTTGTGGGAACTTCGAACCGCTGGCGGAGCCAGTCACATTGCTGGCGATCGGGAATGTGACCATACTCTATGCCGATGGATCCGCCTTACAGGAGATTCCGAATTAATGCAGGTTGAAGGCAATACGAGCAGTGGTGCACACTTACAATATGTTTGTTTCAAGCGGCCGATGATTTCACGCAGAGTCATAGACTTCTCCCCTTCCTGGGCCAGGAATGCAGGCAGAATTCCCGATCCTAATCAGAAGATATTAAGGCACAGAAAGACGATATGAAGTTCGTTGTCAGTTTTCTTACCTAGATAAAATTTGCGATCCAGATCAGCGTCCTCAAATCCGTAATGCTTGTGGCTCAACTCAGGCGCGTTGCTTTCATCAGACCCAGTAATTTCCAATGGATCCAGCTTCGCCAAGTGGTGCCCACGAACTTGGTATGCGCGAACAAGGAGCTGCACCTTCATGTGATCCATAATTTCTCCAGCGGGGATTTTGTCACCTGCGGACAATGCAGAGTCACCAACGTATCCCTCTAGCTCGGCAGAAGGAATTATGGTAGGTGGGGGCATGAATGCGGGTTGCTTTCCGTCGGCAGCCAGGTTTCTAAAGTAGACCTGCCACGACAGATGCACGGATTTTGGGTCTTTGAGCCACGCGCTATACATCTCCTCAATGTAAGACCCGGCAGAACCGTTCAAAAATCCTTCTGACGTTGATGGTTGTGCCTTGCTTGGGACCGCCGAAGAGAGAACGCGACGTGGTACTGTTGCGGAAGCAGCGTAGACGGTAGAACGGCAGCAAGCCGCGAAAGCGCTTCGAGCTGCCGTCCTTATCGATCTTTGTGCCAGTCGCGATTGCAACATGGCTGTGAATCTGGAAAGATGCACCAGTGGTGAGATGCATCGTTTTGCTATGAACTACGCGTGACAAAAGAGCAGTTCACAGTCGTAGTTCGGTCCATTTGTCAATGTCTTACCTATCTGAAATATGGCCAAAATGCCTCTTGCTAACAGACTCGTATGTGCTCTAGTGCCTTCCTCGTCGTTCAGGGGAAGAGCGTGGGCTATAGTGCTAGATGAGATGCCAAAAAAAAGAAGCGTTTTGCCGTATGTATATGGGAGAAATCCGACCCTCAAAATCCCATTATCGAAGCCATGAATGTGTGGAGTCATAATGTTGCCATGACAACAATACGCCATGTATTTCCACAATTGGACAGCATTCGGCAGAACAGAAAAAACGTGTGGCAACGGGCCGCAAGAGATTTTCAACTGCTCCTTGTCTGCGCTTTATTTGTATTGTTTGCGTCGCATTGCATTGAGATATCGCTTCGTTCAAGATACACGGCATCGCATCACATTGCATAGCACAGTTGAACTCATCACTTTAGACATGAATATCCAAGCATTGGATCCCACCATGCAGCAACAATCGTCATTACCCTTAGCAGCAACAGCTCCTTGTTCACGGTCATGTATTCAGATGCCCAGAATTTAGCGTACGATTACGGTAACAAAGACCTATACCCCGCTATTTATCTATAATACATTTTCATCTTGCCCAGTGTGCGTACAAGGATAGCCTGCCTGGGTGTTAAGTCTTTTCGATGTCATAATTCTAGAATTATTCTGCCGTTGTAACACCAGTGATCGGATAGGATTACGTGAGCTGCATGACTCATGCGTTGCGTACTTTCGCCCTCCTGGAGAGGACATGATAATTCGGGATTAACACCAACTGTAAGTATTGGATGACTATTGACGTTCAACGAGGGAACGAGGTTGAGGGTATGTCTTGAGGGCAGCAAAGGTAATGCGATTTGCTTGAATTCAGTCGCGACTGCATCGCTCCCCGAGCCTGTAAAGTTAAAGAGGTGCCCAGCCATGGCACTAACGATGGGCTGTTATGGACTGCCATCTGACTTTTCACAGGCGCTGAGAGGATACCCTCAACCTTTCTCTCTCCGATCTTTTCGCTGAAATCTTACTAAACTGGTTTTAATTACAATAAAGCTTGAGTTATCAGAATTAGTTGCCTTCACAATGGGGGAGACATCAAACAACTCGTCGCCCATCTTGTCTCTCTACAAGTCTACAGCCACTCTCCCGTCGTTTTCTGCCTCTCATATCTTTCCGAACGAAGGTGGAGCACGCGTTCTCCTTGTGTCTACAGTCAGAGATCTCGACCGCAACACGCGAACAAGGCTCTTTACAGAGCTTGCCGTCACCGACGATGGCAAGAACATTCAAGAAGGATTCAGTAGTGAAGTTGCAGACGGCACAGATCTTTTGATTGGGATGAAAGATGGGAAACGATGGGTAGTATTGAAGAGCGTACCTGATAAGGAAAAGGGGAACAATGGGAAGAGACGGTTCGTTCAGGTACACACTATTGCGTGAGAATCATTCAGGTTCTGCCGTACATTGATAATTGTATCAAAAGATCTGGCAGTCGGGGAGAATCGTGAAAAGCATCGAAGTAACCGAGAAACACGGAGACTTTTACACTGACGGTAATGTTATATGTCACTCAAAAGGGTCATTTTCGTATCTAAGCCAAGGTTGCTGCAGACACTTTCGGCTCCATTGCACTCTCTTCTACGGAATCTACCGTCGCTTATGTCGCGGAGAGAAAACTTCCAGACCTTAAAGGTCCCGACAAGTTCAAATTCAAGCCAGACTGGGGGGAAAAGTTCACCAAGAAAGCAGCGCCGGCAATTGTCTTATGTAACCTGGACACAGAAGAAATTACTGTGGTGAAGGATCAAGAGGATTTGGCTGTTGGACAGGTGAGCTCCATAAATGTGCCCGAAATCGATGAGTTATTGACATTGCTCAAATTTAGGTCCTATTTGGTCCGAACGATGACAGTCTGATCTTCTGGGGGGTGAAAACGCATCCCAGACAATATGGAATACTGTTTTGTCCTAATCGATTGTACGTATTTTTGGCTTGCCGCAATATTGCACAAGGCTGACCTGAGCAATCAACACAGGAGCGGAATCTATCAAACAGGCATTAAAGGCGAAAACCTCATCCGCATTAGTGCTGAGGACGAATCTGCTCGGTCGCCTCGCTTTGACAGTGCACGTAAAACACTGGTATGTGAACTGCCTGTTATGCCAGGGATTCATGCGGGATTATTGACGTATAGCAATGTAGTTCTACATTTCTAACCCGATCGGTGGTCCTCACTTTCCCTGTGGGGAATTAATATCGTATTCATTCGCTGATAAGTCGAGGAGGATTGTGCTTCCTGAAGTAGAGAAGCCGGAACCCACCGACTTTCCGGGTTTGTTCGTCGACCGATTTGCGCCAGACGCGGTTGTGGGGACAGGAGATGCACAGTGGATCATTACCCACACCAATTGGAGAAGCCGGAAAACCGTTATTGCGGTGCATGCGTCAACGGGAAAGGTAATCGACCTGTGCCCAAACGTGGAAACCGGATCTTGGACGTTACTAGGCGTGAAGGAGAATTGGGTTGTCGCCGTCAGAAGCGATCCAGGGACACCACATGAAGTGGTGAGTGCCCTGAGCAACATCGCGATGTTGTAACAGAAAACCCTATTCTAATGTTCTTGGCGTGTGTCTAGCACATCGGAAGGTTGCAATTCACGGCAACCTCGGCATCCATCACACTGCACCTGGCGCACAGTCCTTCCCCACCAGTTGAGCCACTCATCTGGCGTACCATCACGTACGATTCTAGATCTCCCATCTTGGAGGCCATACTGCTGCTCCCAAGTTCGACACAGTCGAAAACAGTTGTCAAGGGTGAGAAACCGCCCCTCCTTGTCTATCCCCACGGCGGTCCGCATGGAGCGTTCACAAGTGAATTCAGCATCTACAACTACTGTTTGGTGCAACTGGGGATTGGAATCATTCTAGTGAATTATCGTGGCAGTATTGGGTTTGGGAAGGATGGCGTCGATTGCCTGGTTGGTAGAGTCGGTGACATGGAGGTTGAAGATACGCAGGTGGGTTCGGAGGATACACCCTATGCATGGATCCTTATTTACTTTGTTCTTGGCCGGTAGTTTGTTGCCGAACAAGTTCGGACGTCTGGAGAGGTGAGTCTGCGCGTTTGTACGACTTTGCTATGTTATAGAACTTAATTTCTTGGAAAAAAGGTTGACGCAGATCGTGTAGCAATATGGGGCGGTTCTCACGGGGGTTTCGTCAGCGCCTGGCTCATAGGGAAATATCCTGACTACTACAAAGCATGTGTCCTTCGCAATCCGGTCATCAACATGGGCTCCAATCTTGCCCAGTCTGACATTCCTGACTGGTCCTTGGCTGAAGCGGGTATTACCTACAACCTGGCCCAGCCGCCACTTACAACTCCGGAAATCTATTCGAAGATTTGGCCCAAATCTCCTATCTCTGTTGCACAGCATGTTAAAACGCCTTCGCTCCTTATGCTAGGAGAGAATGATCGGCGTGTACCACCTTACGAGGGAATGAACTGGTACTACTACCTGAAAGGGCGAGGCGGAGTTGATATTAGGTATGTGATTTACCGGTTGCTGCTGTTTTTACACCGATCTGCAGTTGATCGCTAAAGTACCATGGTAGGGTAATGACATATCCCGATAATGGACACGCTTTAGACGGTGTGGAAGCTGAGAGATTTGGTTTTGAGGCTATAGCTGAATTTTTGGTAGAGTTTATAGGGATAAAATAGATAGGACGGTTAAGTAAATAAGGGCACTCGTGAATGTAGAGGTCATGACAACGGAGGAAGCAAGTAAATGCTGAAGTGCACGGCCGCTGATAATAGTTGAGTCTGTAGCCCATGCTGGCTAATAAGCCTGATGTCTGACATGTGCATGATCAGCTTACCTAATACTAATCATAGTAGTCTCAGAGGCCCCTTTCAACGTTGGCCTTCTGCTTTTATTCACGTACCCAGTGCAATTAGCGGCAGAAAACTCGGCTCAGTTGGGAGTAGACTACTAACCAACGTGCCCACTATGGAGTTTAACTTGACACTGAAAACGCCCTATCGGCGCTTTATGACGACCGACCGGTTCCGGATAACTGCTTCCCAAGGCTTCGCCCGAATTCAACACACACGTTACGACCAAGATGCACTGGGAGTTGTCGTCCCAATAGGTGGAGACCCACCGCCCACTCCAACCACCGCTAGCGCCAACCTCGTTGTCGACAGTGAAGTCCTCGTTCCAGACCAAAACCGCAAACTCGGTACCGAAATTACTTATATCACCACAGGTGCCCTCACATCCTACGTCCTTCTCTTGGCAGGATCGCAAACATGTATTGACCGCGAAGTAACCCTTGAACTGGTCCGGACATCGTCCAAAACGTCAATACTAAAAACGATAATGTCGCTGTCCAACAACACCGCACCTAATCCGGAAGTTTGGTCCAAGCATCGGGACTGGCATTTGAGAACGTTTGGGCTAGGAACGGATGTACAACCTACGCCACAGGAAGTTAATGTCCGAGGACGGTTGGCTCGAGGGCAATTTTTGGCGGATGTAGATGGATTTATGAGTGTCGCCAAGAGTTTTGAGGAGGTACGTAGCGTGGACATCATGTCTGTGTATGCTATTACGTGCATCTTGTCTCAATATCCTGGCATCTTACTTTTGTTTTAGGTAGAGCAGTTTCTGGAACGCACAGTTGATCGGTATGTCAAAGTCTTCCGGTCCGTGCTAGATAAGCAAGATGATGGGCCACTAAGTTTGAAGCAATTGGCGTATGCATCGTGCCTGGCGCGGGATCGCCGGGAAATTGACGGTATGGTGGATGAGGGACAAATGGGACCTGTCTTTTGAATATTTTATCGGCGTAAGAATAGAATAATTTGGGGTGGGTATGAACATGGGCAGAATATAGTGTGGAGGTGATTGAAAATGGCACTAAGACCCATTATTATCCGGATAATCCAGTTAATCATATCGCATAATCAGCACCCCCTCTATCGCTCAAAACGGTGTGGCATGCTAATGTAATGTTTTTTTTTTTTTAAACTGCGGTGAGGCGCATGCCAAAGGTCTATAAAAGAGACCTGCTCCCTCTTTCCTCTTTACCCATCCTCGACTCTCAAACCATCTGTGCAATCATCACAACCCACATCGCAACCCTCATCGCGACTCGGTCAACCATGAGAATGCAGATGTGGTGGTGCCGAGGACCTCACCCTCCCGATGACTACAACCAACTGGAACCAGCAACAATCACTCGGAACCAACAAAGCTGCTATTATACTGCCACATTAGTTGAGCTTGGTTGGTATGTACTGATTGCATCATTTTATTTCTTGTCATTGGGTCATCTTCTGACATGCAGTTTTTAGTCTCCAAGCCTTGTCACTGAACATCCTCCAGCTTGTGATGCTGCCCAGTCGATTCGCTCCTGGATGCAAGAGTCTGGCTTCAATGCCATCAAGAGTTCTGGATCAAGGCCTAGTAAGGACCGTGTGTGGTGGTGGGCAATTATCCGGTTAGAACCAACCGTTACGTATTGCGTGTATAATTGCCTAGTAGTAGCTTAGTTGGCTTTTCCGAACCAGTTGTCGCTGGTTTATTCCCTGGTGTAGTAGCTAGTGCCATTTTCTGTCACCTCTACACTAAATAAAAAGGGGGACATATGGGCTTCCCTGAATGACACTGATCACGTGCGGAATGATCTGTCCGCAGGTCAGCACAGCTGTCCTCCTATCTTTGAACACATCTTCCTCATCTCAGACCCAAAAACCCGGCCCACAATGGTGTCCTTAGCGGTTGTCACGGTTCTCGGAGTGATTATGGGCGTTTTGAGCGCGTACTTGTACCCAACTGGTATGGGATCTACAAAGTGAACACAATGCGCCAAGGTTGACAGTCCAAAACTCTGATACAGGCAGAGCATTGTACAGCATTTACCAGGTTGGAAACAACCTCGGAGACGTTGGAACGGACGGTTGGAAGGTGTTGGATGGTATGCTGCTGCCTTGTAAACTCGTGGGCCTTGGTCAATCACCGCACTGACTAACTATCCTGGTGTGACGGGTATTCAAGATCCTGTTCTGAAAGGGTGTGGAGCAGCAGCAATTTACCAACCTACTGGGCAGGTTTTCTTGGGTATGTCTGAGCGCAGCTAAACTACGGTCAATTTTCGAATGTAGTTTGGTGCTCATTGAAGTAGCCTGTAGTGAAAGCCTCCCAGGGAGCTACAAATGGTTCCCACCGTTCTCTAGAGTTCACGAACAGTCTGCTGGGAATAAGGATGCGAATATTGTTGTGCTTGATATGAAGGTGCGTTCTCCTTTATGCGGTGATCTGCGCAACCATCAACTGATTTTACCTAGTAGACATCCAAACCCACCCTTCAAAACACGAAATTGCACTCCCCTCCCCCCTTCTCCATAAGCGTAACACCTCACCCAACCAACTCCTCCTCCCTCATCCTCATGACCCTCACTAGTCAGCGTACAATCGAAATCTTCTCTCACACCTTGACTACCACCCAATTCGTTCATTTGGAAACCATTCCATGGGACGAGATCGGTCTTACGCGGCCTGGGGGAATCGCCGCTGTTGGTGAAAAAAGCTTTTATGTGACAGATCAGGCACTAATTGGAACAAATGGCCGTGTGGTGTTTCGGGGTGAAGATGGTACGACGAGGTCGGTTTCTTCTAGTTGATGTTTATTTATGCATCGTCGACTTATTCACGTATGCTTCCAGAGTGGCAACAGAAGGACTCACCTATCCAACAGATATTGCGGCCTCTTCCACAAGCATATACGTAGTAGACCCATCCGGTCCCCATGTCCTTATTTACGAACGTAAACAGAACAATCGGTTACGGCTGCTCGAAACAATCGAAGTGGTACGTCCGTCCATCCAGGAGACCACTATTGTGACAAAAAATCCTCATGTATCATATAGCCCATATGGGGTGAGCAGATTTCTGTCGATCCTGAGTCGGGTGCCGTGTACGTGTCCGGTATTATGGATGTCGTGAAGGCCGGCAGGGCTTTATTGAATAAGGAGCAAGGCACACCCTTTGCGGTAACGTTTCTCGTCGGTTGGGAGATATGCCCCTGCGTGTTCCTAATCATGAGGTACAGGTTATGAAAGTTGTGAACAACACAGCTCAAGATCGGTACTATGGAAAAAAGGTCTTGTCACCTCTACTCTACCAATCTTTCATTGCCCTTGATTGACATCCATTCATACACAGTTTAAATCGAAGGTCGTTTTTGCGGATACAAGCTTATCCATGTATACCCATGCCGCTGTTGGGGTGCACCCGTCGTCCTCTAGAAGTTTTATTAGTGGGAATGGGGTTCGCGTCATTGATAAGGTCTTGTAAATATCTCTTTCATAGTAGGACTCGTTAAAATATAACAGGATGCACGCCATGCACCTCACCACAAAACCGCATTTATAGTGTATGCCACTTGGCTATAACGTTTAGACCGGGATCTTACCTGTCACGGAAGTTGGCCGATACGATCGCTTATGATGCCCACTATCTTCTAATTCTGCTGTCCGAAAATTTCGCCACTTGTTAAACTGAAGTCAATAATCAGGACAACTGATCAGTTTCCTTTCTTGGTTTCATTTTTGACTTGGTTTCCCACCTTGAACAGCTCACTCATGACGCTTTGTCTTATCTGCTGCTCAACGGTCGCATAGTAGTATGCCGATGCAGAAGCGACGCTGCATCTTTTGTCGTTCGCCGCATCTTTGAAGGAATTATTTGACTAGGAGCACCAAGCCGCATGCGCCAAATAGGCACAGGACGATTCCCCATCTTGCATTTTGGTAGAAAAAACACTATTTGGAGAGTGGATATTAAGTCTTCGCTTTTTTTAGGGTCCTTACATCATGATAAGTCCATAAATCCAAAAGGAACAATCGTCCAACAAACACGCAATAGTGCAACGTTGTGCACCTCCCATGGAGGTTTTAAATGTGAGGATGGCGGAGAAAGTCCACTCGCGCATTTTATTTTTACTCTTTTGCTGCACTGTGCATTGTTGTCAATTCGTCCAACACACATACTGGACCGACGTTCTCAACCTCCAAAAGCTTACCAGGCATAACCGGATACGGAGAGAACTGTATCACCCAAATAGCTATTAGGGCTAATTCCATCGGATCTATGATGGTCACTTTTTCTTCGCACCATCGCGGGTTCTCCCTTCGTGGAAAGCAACTACCATTTGGATCATAGCTAGGGAACAACAATAACCTTATTTATGCCGCATATGTGCTTCATGAATATTAACGGTTGCGCTAGCTATTTTCATTATCTGCACCGTTCCATGAAGTTACATCCCAAAATGTGTCAGGCGAGCTCCAACACCTAAATGGCCTTTCCATTCCAGTCTTCAACGACAGAAAGTCCAATGAAACAAGCAACTACAAGTCCCAGATAGTATAATGGTTAGTATCTCCCCCTGTCAGATGACAGTTCGGGGAAGATCGGGGTTCGATTCCCCGTCTGGGAGTTTATCTCACTTTGAGGGTCGGTATTTTTTTTGCAACCGTCATGTATATTCCCACCAAGCAGAAAACTGCAAACGCAGAATATTTTCGACTCTGACTGATTGGCTGCCGTTGAATTCATGTCTAATTCGACATAAGATCCTAGAGGTAATTTGCTTTACAACAGATTCTCAGTTCAGCCGTAAAACGCGGACAGTGTACTTTTAGGACGATCCCTATTGAATGAGACAAAGGAGACAACTTCAAATACTCTGTACAAAATATGAACGGAATTTTCCGCAAAAAAAATATGCTGGGATAACTAGCCTTAAGGGCGGGGGAATTCCTACTACAGACTACCAAAAATACCCTACTTCAAAACTTTTATATATATATCAAATACTTCAAAATACTTAAAATACTATGGTGCGAACTTTGTTAACAAATCTCTTCAAGGACGGCTTCTTTTCTGGTGTGTGTTTGCGAACAGTTAGCGGGGAGGGTGGCGATATAGGTTCGACTTTGAGAATTGAGGGCGTAGAGGAGTACGAGAATCTTCCAATAATGGGTTGGGTGTCTGTCGTCTCTAACGTCGGTTTTACTTCCATGGCAGGCTGCTCACGCTTCCGAATCACTACACGGCGGACACGGGAGTACACGCGTCGCATGCCTTTCTTCTTGGGCCGGGTCTGGAAAGATTCTGGGTGTAGGTGGTTGTCTGATATCGATGCCCTACAGTTAATCTGAGTCGAATCCTCCTCTGGTAAAGATTCTTGAACGGGTGTATTCTGCGACAAAGCATCTGGTTCAACCACCGATATCGCCCTCGATGCCTTGGTGGAGCGGGAATCGTTGGAGATTCTTGGCGACGAGCTACTGGAAACGTCTGCCTGATCAGAGCTTCCAGAATGGGTATCTTGGGTTATGGTGAACACAAAATCTGAATCGTCTGACCGGGGCGGGGACGGAGGCAGGTCCACTATTATGATCGGTTTGCCAGTGACGGATGCACTATCAGTTGATGTCGGCGGTGAAGGTAAGCTGCAAATATGAGGTATCGTCTGCTTGTCGACGATTTCAGAGGTATCTCTTTCACATGCTGTAGAAGAGGAGCAGGTGTCGGCTATCAGGGTAGGGACCATCTCACTTTGAGCGGGAGACACGGCCTCGTTTCCATCCTCCAAGATGGATGAAACGTCCCCTTCCGGATAGCCATCAGCTTCCCAAGCATACGCGTCGTCCAAATCTTCGTAAATGGCAATGTTATTAAATGAGTACGCGGCAATGTCATCCAGGAGCTCGTCCAGCTTTTTGATACTGTCGAAGCGCCGGTGCGATATGCGCGATATGCGCCGCGACATGCGCGAGGCGCGGCGGTTATTGGTTACAGGTTGCACCTCGCGTGGAGATTGTCCTTTTTCCTTCGCAGTATGTTGCGCAATCAAATGATCGTAAACGGACAAGAATGCAGGGAGTTTGGTTGGTTCAACCGATACACCAGTCCCTGCACTACTCCTTCGACGTGAGGCGAATGAAAGCCGCGACCTGTGGCCAATACTCTGCCGTGAGCGTCCATCCGGCTGTAACTCCACGGCAGATGACCTAGACTGCTTAGTAAAGTTACTGGAGTGTCCAATTGAATCATGTCGCTTTCTTCTCCATCCTTCTTCGTCAGCCTCCGAATATAAGACAGAGAGCTGGGATTGCCTTCGTGTGTCACCATATACGCTGCGTCGATACAAAGATTTGTCGATGGAGATGCGCGAATATCGCTTCGACTTACGCTTATTGAAATCGTTTGCATCGGCTCGTGGGATGACTGTCGAAGTGATAAATTTGCTCGATGCGGTACTCCGTCGACGCATAACCCGGAAGGTTGAAAATCGTCGAGTCGCACGTTGTGAGCGTCGCCTTTTGCTTTTCGGTGGCCGGTGTGGCAGCACTTCAGCATCGCAATGCGTCGCTTCGTCACATTCATCTACCCACATTCCCGAGACGCTGCCAGCGTCTGTGTAAATTGATCGCATGGACTTCCTTCGCCAAGTGAGACCCGATCGTGCTTCGGCATCTTCCCAGTCCGCGTCTTCCCATTCCACCTCATCATCGTAAGCTAGGGCATCCTCTTCAATGACAATGATTACCTCATCATCATCGTTCGACTGCGTGGGGACATCCACCTCGGTGACCTCTTCAGCGTCGTGCACACCCTCTAGGGAAGCTTCTGATTGTCTTGCCGAGTGCTGTGGTAGTATATATATTTACTTTGTTCAGCAACTACAGTCATATGCTTTGGGCAAATCATCGCGAACTTACAGATAACACTGCAACTGGGGGAAGAATAGCTTGCGCTTTTGACTTGGCTTCATCGATCAATGATTCCAGTTCTTGAATTATTGCCTCAGGAACGTTTCCCTCTTCATCACCGCGTGTCGCTCTACTAATATCGCTAAGGGAGCCATTTGATTCGGCATCTTTGCATTCAGAAGGGTGAGGAGCTACTTCGCATTCCTCGTCGTGCTCGAGGTCGGAACAGGAAAACGCATGTCGTAAAGAAGATGGCTTCGCCTCCGCGGCTTCGGTCTCAGCAATGCTGCGCAGGTTCGAAAAACTCGCCCGGGGCCTGGTAACGCGAAGGACACTACAAGCCCAACAGGTAAGATGGCAGTCACCATGTTGAACAGAGGAGGTGAGCGGTTACCTATTTCGCCATATTTTTTTAATAAACGCGGCTGTGGCCGAGCGGTGCTTTCGGGCAGCGACTTTCGGAGTTTGGGGACCTGAGGTGATCTCGCTTGATCTGTTCGCAACTGACATGTCCCTTGTACTTTTGCAGCTCACTCCATTCGCAAAGTACAGACAGAGAGCGAGAAGAGGATTGAGAGCTCTCAAGTAGTCCGAGACTTCCCCCACGTGGAATTCCTATCCCTTCTCCACGGGCCGACAGCAAGTGTTGATTGGTGTGAAGTCTGCAGGGCTGAGGGACAAGGCGCGACGGATGAGTTGAGCGGCACAGTCATGATCGTGTCACTTGGATCAGGGCCGTTTGAAGGCACTTGTCTGCGGCTGTCTTCAGGGCAGGACTTTAAAAGCTTTCAAGGCTTCAAATCCGCGGTAGTCGGCAAATGACTCGCTGCCACGCACAAAGATGGCTTATAAACAAACTCTACAAAAAGAACAAAAATGACCGCACATGGTGTGTTGACTCTGTGCAGTCGCGGGCCTTGCGGCATGATTGATGATCTTTTTTGTAAAGAATTCAGATGCCAAATGGCCTGGCTTTCGGACACCAAGTAAAGTGACCAAAAGTTCCAAAAAGCAAACGATCATCAAAGTTGGATTGTCCACAGCCAGAACAGGTGGGGCAGAACCTATAGTACCTGTTTCATAGTCTTTTGTACCAACGATCAAAGTCCAACAACTCGCAAAGTCCACAACAAGCCTTTGAGCCCAGGGCCTTTTAAGATAGCCATCCCAGTCATCCTGCGTGGTCGTCTTATCGTGAGACAGCGTTTAGGTCTCAAGAGGTGGACTCTATAGCAATTCCAGGGCAAAGTGTCCAGTCAAGTCACTAATTGAGGCACTCTACTGTCTTGTTGCCTCCAGAACTTGGTACCCGCACACGTCACGACCTGCTCAAGTGTCCTCCTAGCTCTCCACCAGATATCAAGTGACGGCCGCTTTCGCTATCCTGTAGGTCGCTTAGTTTCGCCTTTTATTTACGACATCTCTTGCCGTTCTCTCGGCACGAGAACCCATAAACAAAAGACTATGAGGTCTTCCGCGGGCTGCAAAGCTCCGCCTCCTACACCACGATCATCGTCTCTTGTCCACTGAATATGGTAGGTGTAGAAAGATGAAATCTGAAGGATGCTAATCAGTCTCGGTTGGCGCCAGCAACATCGACCATCCGCCTTGCATGCAGAGATTGATCGAGCGGCCAAACCGAGCGATGTCCAGTGATCTTGGTTCGTAAGTGTCCTGGCATTCATAGCGTTGAAGACCTCCTTTGGCACCGTAGTAGGTTCGATTACATTATCCCTCTCGATAGAAGCAACAACATACAGGCTGATAATACCAAGGGGCCGACAGTTGCCTATCAATCCCTCGCTTCCCATATGCGACCCATCCAAGCTGTTCCCATAAGAACTGGAAAGGAACGGCAGCAACGGCCCATATTGACATCCATTTTTGACAGCTTGGCTCACTGCATAATGACCTTGTAGTATCATAATTGTGCGCGATCAGCCACAAGAGCTGCGACGCTAACAGTTCAATTCCAGCGTTGACTCTTTCATCTCGTTGGCAGCCTTGGGCTCCTCATCGTGGTGACTGAAATCTTCCCATGAAATCCCTTCGTATAATGCCTACTGCACCTGGGTGTGTCGTTGCACCCATCTGAACGCCACTGTGACCCGATTCAAGTTACGAAAAACACCGCCCACGCGCAGATTCATTTATGATATTCAAAAACAACAATAATACATGCGGTACTAAAATCATCCAAAGTTTGATGCCCAATAACGGCGCTCATTGTAGAAATTCTAATAGATCAACGTTCAAATGAAGGGAATCCAAGGAAGATACATTTCATTGTCGCTAGACATCGCTTGCAACACCACTGGTAGGGTAAGCGGCGCGGATCTTTTCATACAAATCCGGCTTCGTACGAGCCAATGCGATCGGATCTTCAGCCCTGCATCGAAGGGAATACACCAAATCAGCAGCTATACCCAAAACATTATCCAAAATGGGAAAAAAAGTAGCAAGTACTCACAGGCACACAAAGGTAGTTGCCACTCCACTCCGAATCGTCTCTGCCAAGACCCAAAACTGCGCAAACGCCACTACAAAGGCAATAATCGCCGCGATCACCTCCAATTCTTTCGTCTTTGGTACCGATGACAAGTACAAGAAAACGTAAGCCACAAAAGCGTTCGCCAAGCCAATAAGAAGCGCGCCCATTGTAAGTACGCCCGATGTCAGATCATCGTTGATGATGAGATCAATGCCTCGGGCACGGATAAGGGCCCACGTATCGCGAGCAGCCTCGAGATAAGATTTGCCGTAGATGGCCACTTGAGTGTAGGCGTAAACGTTAATAAATGCGACGAGGCCTTCTAGGAGGGACAGAATACACTCGGCGCATGTGGCAGCAAGAACCATAATACTATCCAACATCAGTGAACACATGCTTGCGATATGTTATTGAAAGAGACCAGCTTACTTGTTATTCTCCTCCCGGGCATTCCGACGAATGGTTTGGAGTACGCCACGGAGGGTTTGAATTAGGGCAATAATAAGAGATCCAAACGCAATTGGACCGAAACTTGTTGTCAAGGCACGTTTGGCACTTTTAAGGGTCGGATTGCGGACTGGGACAACGACGGCACCATCCGCGGTGGAGATGCCGGTAAAGTAAAACGTTGCAAACACTATATTGGAGAGGTCAGGTCAGCCGGCGCAATTCCAACCGATATGCGGCGGACCGCAGCCACTCACCTCCAGAGACAGTGACATGCACCACGTTCTTAATGATTTGGGACGTCCAGTACAAGGAAAAGCTTAGATAAACGGCAACAGCATACTGTATAGTAGCCAGCAATATGTTAGCCTGAATATACCAATCAAGAACGTCTGTATAAAAGTTTACTGACCTTTACGCCGTCAGACTCCACCGTCTGAATCACCCTGGCACCGCCGATAGCTGCAATAATCCATCCTATGCTCCAAACAGTCTGTCCAGCAACACCCAGAATACCCGTTATCACTGTGCCGGGATACATCTTTGTGACTGTGGTCACATTCTCCAAAATCACGCGCGCGAAATCCATGCGAGACCGGTAAGCAAAGTACATGAAGATGTGAATGCCTGCATAGAGTAAGGCGAAGAGCGCGGCAATGAAAGCACCGGACGCAAGATTAAATACGCCGATGACAGCTGAAATTGCGGTATTGAGAAAGAACGAGGTTTGGATCATGTGTCGAGCATATCTTGTCAAAGAACCATGTCAGCAATAATTCATCATCAATCGTCAACTGCAATAACCCTCTACCTTTCCAAGGCCATAAAGTAGGCAACCGTCAAGCCCAAACCTCCAAAAATCATTACTGCAATCAGGCCATAAAGCGTCGATAATGGCAGGTTGTCCCCGACTGGAACAGAAGGATCGGCGCCCTGTACCGCCCTTGCGGACGCCGGAGGAAGGTCCACACGGAAGCCTGCCACAGCCAACAAAACCAAAACAACAAGGTGGACAACGAACAAAACTGTCGCCCAGACATCTTTGTATTTGGGGCTTCGATTAAATTTCTCTGAGTGGCCGTCTGAACCTATCAGTGCATCCCCTTCCTGTGGTGCACGGTCATAGGGAAAATGTGCGGAAGAGCTTGTGGCATTGTGGTAGTCTGGGAGCGACTCATAAGGCATGGGTGGGGGAAGCTGCTTCTTGTCGCCGGGAGTGGCCATAGTGAAGGAAGAAGCAACGGGTCGATTATCTGGTAGTGTCAAGGAGCGAGAAGTGAATGAACGTCTTGTGCCAGGGCTATGTGGACTTGGCGCCTCAAGTTTGTTGACGTGTCCCGTGATTATCAATTATCAACGATGTTCGATATAGGTTTGTAGGCAACATTCTTTTGATGCTTCTAATAGAAAATATGGATTTACTGATGCAGTTGCCAACGCTTCCAAGCACTTTTTATCTTAGCAAACCTTAGTATCATCGGCAGAGGCAACCGGTTTGAGCGTAACGCAGTGAATTTGAAAGATTTAGTTTAGAACTCTTAATTCAGCCTTTGATGTTATTTTCTGTCTCTCTTTGGGATGCTCTTTTATATCTTTCTTTTTCTTTTTTTAACGCCAGCTATATGGATCGCCTTTGTAGTTATACGTAATTCGTTGGATATATTATCCTTCATCTTATGCAAAATATCACAATTCTGTAACGAACACCATGCAAGGAAATTGCTTATTAACCAAATTTCGCAAGCATGATTCTATCCCTATTGTACCCTCATGCGCGGGAATCGGAGCTTTCGATGTTTACTGGTATGGTCCGGGAAGTATCTGTACAGATTCAAGCTTTAGACATCAGTTCTTCTCGGCTATCTTCCCAGTTCATCTTATGATTGCTAGCGCTGTTTAGAGCTGGAATATTAACTACTTTGGATTCTGTTAGCCAGATCTTTGTCCAGCTTCCTCTGGCGGCTGTGGACCACTCTGGTAACTGAGCCAATCATACAATGATGCGCGCAAACAAATCCTCGACATGGAGAGGCTCTAGCAGCGATATCGGCCCACCTCCGGTGCGGATCGTGATGGATTCACAAGAGATGCTCGAAGAAATGGTCCGTGCGAACGCTGCCAACTTTGGATCTCGACAATACATACCTGGCACCTTGAGTCCCTTGAGCATGAGTCCTCGTACAGGAAGTCGTCGCGCATCCTGGATGACTCCTGTACATTCGTCAAAAGGGTCAATGTCGAGTCGAGCAGAACTGGCCGAAGCACTCTTTTGCAACGCAGCGCGCCGAAAGCTTGTTCAAGAATTCATCGAGGTGTTAACAAACGGAGAGAGTGACTCTCCTGCGACAGCATCAAATCCCCCGAAAAAGGAGGACAAAAGCATCTCAGGACTGATACATGGGAAGCATACCCAAAATATTATAGAGGCCGCTTTCGCCGCAGGTAGATGGAGCGTCGCGCGATTTCACAGAATTGTCAAAGATTTGCGGGAACCTGTGTATCGGGATCGACCAGCGGAACCTCTTGGGTCGCACCTCGATGGACTCCATTGGGCCTTAGCTGCAAATGCCGCCGCAAATGAAGGCCGAGAAGATGAGTTCGCGGACGCGGAAGTGTGGCAACGCTTTTCGATCGACATCGAGGGACGTTCGGGAATGCTTCCTCAGCCGACGGATCCAGAAGGTGTTATGGAATTGGTGACGATGAGAGAAGGGGCCGAGGAGTACTTTCGAAGGGAGGTAGAGCAGGGCCTTCGCAAGCTGCATGGGAATGAGCTTGAGACAATTTTACAGTATATAACACAATATGCTAGTGCTCCCAAACTCATGGAACTGGTATGTCCGCTTATTTTCAAGCGGGTGTCGGAGGAAGCCATCACTCGCGATATCATACCAAGATTTATGGTACTTGCGGTATTGCAGCCCGACGCAATCGGTTCCGCCATTTTGGAAACCTTACTGGCAGATTACAGTGCATTTGTCTCGCAGGACGCTGCAAACTCAGCATTAGAGTATTGCGCTCACTTGCAGCGTGCCAACTGCTGTCGGGTGATCTTGGATAATTTGGGACACCTTGTCGCACCTGAAGGTGTTATTACAGCGTTAATACCGATTTGTGCTAGGGGTACAGATCATTTACTGGCGGTGTTGGAGCTGTTCATCATGGATAAATGTCAGACAACGATGGACCGGAAGGAGGTCGACCGTCGTCACATGGAAGAAGGTCGCGGAAACCAACTTGAGAACGACTTTCCAGATATTGTTGCACCCTGCGTCTACATGTTCTTGGTTCTTGCAGCTGCCGGCGGATATGCGAAGCCGAGGACGGTTAAGGAGTTGATCGAGTTCTATGAAGATCCTTGTGCACCGCTTTTGACTGGACGAGTTTCTACTGCTAGACACAATCAGTTTGTGCAAGATCTATTCCATCTTGTCTGTGAGCTGAACTTGACCGCCATTGTCTGGACATTGATCGAGAGTCACTGGATTCCACCAGACATTACACCTACTTTACGTCAAGCAATCGAGCTTGGCCACCAGTCTCTTGTCCACATATTACTGGATAGCTTGTTGATTCCCGATGAAAAATTGGAGCCACCATCCGGGCAATTACCTCTGGTCTTTCGGAAATCTCGGGCCCTCACCTTGTTACCGACAGTTGCTCAGAGATTCCCAGCTGAAGCATGCTGGTTCCTCCAGGAGCTATCTAGCATACCGATCCCGAGCTGCGTCCCAGTAGGTGAGACCCGAGAGGCTGAAGTGCGAGCTGCACCAGTTCGCGGAACGCGATTGGGGACAGCAACTCTAGCAGAAGTGACACGAAGAACAGATAATATAAATCCGTTCATGCAGATATGGACTCGGTTGAATATTGTCGCACAATTACGGGGGGCCACCATAGGGACGGGCACTCCCGAAGCTGAATGCGTTATATGTATGGCACCCGAGGCGCTTCTGACGGAAGAAGCCTATCACGATTCCGTAGGAGGGAAATTCTTCCGTCAGCCAAGTCCTTTCATCCGACTTCTTGGAACCGGGGATAAAGAAATCATACTGCAGCCGGTTATGCAAGCGCTGATGGAATATCATTGGATAGCCGGGGGCTTTTGGTATCGTTTTGCATTGCATTTCATCATGTCCTTGTCTTTCATTGCCTCGATCTGGGCCATGTTTACCTTGACGGTTCAAGAAGAATTTGGTCACTCGTCAGAGGGTACGGCCAAAGGACTTTTGCCGATCACCTGCATCGCACTCTTCCTCTGTGTGCTTTTTATCATTCAAGAGCTTCGCGAATTCATGGACGCCCCCGGAGACTATATCCGCTCTATGAGTAACTTGGTGGATACCGTCGTCCACATATCTGTCCTTTACTGTGCCATTCGAGGGGCGCTAATGCACAAATATGTTCCACCACTGTTAATGGGCTTCACCTTGGTGCTGGCATGTACCCGCCTTTTGATGCAGCTACGCATCATACCGTCAATTGGACCCATCATACGGATATGGGTTTCTGCGACAGCAAACATTTTCCCAGTACTGGTTCCGTTCACTGTGCTAGCGTCTAGCTTTGCTGGAGGTTTTTATTTTATTCAATACCCCCTCGCCCTCCAAGCGCCCGCCACGGCCGATCTACATTTTCAATCGATGACGCAAGCTATGCAGAGCGTTTTGACGATGACAGCCGGAGACTATAGGTTTGTACAATGATTAATACAACCCCCAAAATGCGGGATAACTAAGTGCTCCTATTTTAGTGTACTTGACTACTCGCAAGAATCGGAGGTGTTCGTACTGCGTCTATTATTCCACGTCATCTTCATTATCTTCCTTGTCAACCTCATCATTGGTTTGATGACAGTAAATGTCGCCAACGTCACTGTCAATACCACCAGCGCATGGCTGGTTGAAATCTCTCAGCTAATGGTGGAATTGGAGCTCTACTGGCCATGGCCCATGCGATACCAAGTGAAAACACATTTCCGCCATCGCCAACCATCATCACGCCCCGACTCTGAACCTAAATATGATGATAATCCCAAGCTCTCCAACAACTCTATCTGGTCGAGAATGAGATGGTGGCAAAAACCAAAATCCTCACGTAAAGTGACGCCAGACGACTTTGGGTCGCATAAGCCGCCACGAATTTTGGCAACAGCTGTAGATCATCCATCAGAGCACCCGGACAGAGACAGCGTTTTAGTGGATACGCCAGAGTTCTTTAGCATGCTTGAACGTGGTGTAGTTTTGTACACATGTCCGGAAGAGCAGGTGGCGAAAACCCATTGGTGGAAGGAAGGCGATAAGGAGACTGATCCTCGCCTGGCCGGCAGAATGCCTCGCGAAGCACCTATATTCGATCATATGCAGACGAACGATAGTCCATGGAATAAAGCTTTGAAAATCTTTCACTTTGGCTCATCCGGTAAGGACATGCGGATTCCGTCGGTCCCATCTCTGGTAGGTCGGTCACTCTCGTCCCTGCCACCAATGCCAAATCCAGACGAGGAAGGGCAAACTGTTGATCCAAATCCTCTCGAATCTGTGCGTTTTGGTCTGGACATGAGACTCTTGGATGAAGTGGAAGAACAAGACGAGGCTGGACCTGCTGATGACACCGGGCTATCTTTTGTTGACGTCCGAAATCGCAGGCAATCCCGACTGACCGAAGGAGCAGAAGCAGCTTCGAGGGCGAGCGTCGAGGGGCGAAGACCTGCCGCTAATGTTGCCGACCCTGTAAAACCCCCTGTGGACAAGCCCGCGTCACCACCACCAATGCCGCAACACGACGCAAACTCCATCAAAGAATTGGCAGAACAAGTGCAAGGAATGAAAGAGGCACTCAAGACTTTGGAGCGTATAACACGATCAGAAACCCGAAATCAGCGCGAACGTACCAGACGCCTTGAACAAACCCTAGAGCAAGAACGGGCACGCGCCAATGAGAATGCAGCCAATTTCTCTCGAGATCTTCAAAATCTGAGCAAAGAAATTAGAGACTTATCGCGGATGCTCATGCCTCAACCAGAACCAGAAGGACTTTTCAGAAGGGTTTTCAGTGGCCGGACAAGTAGCAGACGGAGAAACGAGAGCTGGTCCGCGGATTCCTCGGAGAGGCCGGCCCCGGAACCATAGTATGAAACGTACATGTATTTTACTGTCACTTTGTCGGGCTTGTTAAGAGCCAAACTTGACTGGATAAGTTAGCTAGCTTCGTTTGCCAATCTAAGCGACAATCTAGGTATCGTTCCGTAATATATATTAAACATCACGAGCAAGTCTTCCTCTGCGCACGCCGCTGGGCGCTGAACTGTGTGCTTTCGCGATCGGAATAAGCGTGCATCGTTCATAGAAGTTGAAATTTACATACAGTCTCGCTACAGATTTATACACAGCTATCAAGACTATTTTATCTTTCTATATTCAAATATTGGCGTACCATCAGCCAATTCCGATTTCACCCTTTCGTACTGGTAACCGCCAAGCTTTGGCAACAGAACCCACCAAACAGCCCAGTACAGAGCCCCAGCTACCAAAACTAAAATTCCTACAAGTGAGGGTAACCAATACACATATCCGATGTCAGGTGCTCCTCCCGGTGGGGACAAGAACGGGAATATTACGAGGAGAACATTACACGCAAGGAAGAAGATGATACACACAAGAGGCGCATTGAATGGAGATTTCCACTGGAAGCGATCGCGGTTAAATCGAAGCCAAAGAAGACCAATGGCGATAAATACATTGACGACAGTGAGCGGGTAGGTGATAACGTCGACTATGAAATTGTATGCGCTACCCGGCGGCGGGGCGAGCATCATGATGACAGAAAAGACCCAGTGAAGACCTAGGCCGGCAAAAGGGGCTTTGAAGGGCCAGTTGGAGGCCCAAACGCGGGAGAATGGGAGGACACCCTCTTTGCCGAGTTCTTGGTTGATCCGGCCCTGAGAGAAGATGACCGACATCACGTTTCCAAGGGCAGAGAGTGCGACAAAGGCGGGAAGGACCCGACGACCGAATGTTTCGCCAAACACGTTGATGAAGAACTGCCCTGCGATAAGCACCCCAGAGTTTCGAAATTGTTCCAACGGTACACCAGCAAAGTATGCAATGTTGGCGAACATGTACAAAGCAGAGACAATCCCGATGGCGAGAGGTGCCGCGATCTTGATCGTGCGAATGGGACGCTTGACTTCGCCCAACGCGTAGTTTGCGTTGCTGTATCCGATAAAAGACCATATAACCTTGTAGAGGCCAGAGGCGTAATTATACGCATTGTCGGTTGTGCCATCAAAGGCATTGGAAAAGTTATCCGGCTTTGGTATCTTCAGGTGTCCACCGAGAGCCGCAAATCCAGAAAAAACGACAATGAGGAGAACGATAATCTTGAATACCCCGAGGGCATTCTGTACCCGCACTCCCCACTTGTACGCTACAGCATGGATCAAAAACGCAAATGTTACGCAAAGAAGACCGAGCGCTCGCGAGTTCCAATCGCCGGGTTCAACATTGAAAACGAAAAGGACGTATTGACCAAATACGATACTGTTACTGCCTGCCCAACCCAAAAGCACCGACTGCCATGCATATACGCAGGTCGCAAGCAGCTTTGGCCGCCGATACACAAACTCGAGATAATTCTTTTCGCCCCCGGACTTTGGTATCGCTGTCCCATATTCGAGATACACGGTCATACCAGCAACGGCGATGAGAGTACCAATAACCCAAAAAATAAGGGCCATGCCAACACTGCCAGCAGAGAGGAGGACTGAGGCAGGGGTCGCAAAGATGCCCGTTCCAATCATCCGGTTGAAGATGAGAAATGTGGTTGACCAAAGCCCAAGCCGCCTGCGGGGATCATGGTCGTCATCGTTGATAGCTTCGATCCGGTACGGATCCTCTTCGACCGCAAAGGTCTTGCTTGACGACGAGGCAGTTTCTTGCTTGCCCATTTAAAAATACAATGGCGAAACAAGAACTTGGCGTTCGATGAAAATGAGGATGGGATCTAGCAAGGTTCTCTTTGAAATCTCAACCCCTCTTTATAGCCAACCGGCCTGGTGAGCTCCGATCGCTCATTGCGTCTCCGATATTACCAAAGGGTGATGAGTTTCCGATTTTTCTTTTTCTTTCCCGCTATTTTGACCATCTTTGGTTGCTCGGCTCACTGCAACGCCGACACATCTGGAGGAATGCGCAAGTTGCCAGGAATATGTCGCGATCGGAGTTAAAAAAAAAAATAAAAAAACCAATGACGGAGATCCACTGGACAAAAACCCAAAAAAGGCAGTGGAGGAAGGCGCGCCTTTATTGTGGTGAAGCTCGGATCAAAAAGCAAGCGCGTCGATTGCGAGATCACGTGGATCACGCAACTTTTTAAGTTTTAAACTTATCGATTCCCCACAACTATCCTCATTTGTTTATTTGTTTTTTTCTTTTGTAGATTATCCTCCGTTGAGGTCGTGGGCAGCTGCTCCAACTCTTTGCATTTGGTCATCACAGTTTGTAGATAAAATCCAGATATGTTTCCTCTCTTTTATGGCTTTGAACGCGGGAGGAACTGAGAGGATGTAGGGCTCGCTTAAATACTCAGTTCAAAGTGCTCACAGATCCAATGCTTGCCACCGTCCAAACACAGCAGTACAGCTAACCAATCTGTAGGTTAAAACCAGGAATGGCGACTGCCAACCTGTGGAAATTGTGAAACTTGGCTCTCTTACACCGATTGCGATTAGAGTTTAATGTCACGGTTCTGTGTACAACCTATGCATCAATTAATTCAGTGCCTGTTACTACACAGGCTGCTACTTCTACGACCATACTATAGGCTACCTGCGGGGTACCGCGTACTACATTTTGCTCTTTTACCGTGCGTCAACGCATGGTATTTTATTCATGCCAACAATACATACATACGCCACCTTCATCCTAACAGTGCCAACGTTCTCGTCGCAAAGCCTCCATGTCCCCACGACGTTGATGTTGCCGTGGAAGTGAGATCATTCCTCCATACGTTGGTACTCCTTGATGCCTGTGATGATGGTCCCGACACATGGCCTTCACGACGATCCCAAGAGTTCCTTCCCAAATGAGATTCATCGCACACCATACCCACCTTCCAACCAGAGTATGCAGTTTTTGACAATTTTGTTATCGATGCACAACCCACATGTTCCACATCATGGCCGCAGATGCTTTCAAGAATTGCTTTGATGCCGACTCCATGCGTCACAATGACAATCGATCCATTCTCATCATGCATCTGCCCGAACGCACAATCGACAATTTCATTGAAAGCGTCTGTGAAGCGCGATGCCATTTGGGTGTAAGACTCTGGGTAAGATGGTGCAGCGTAAGGTGAGGAATGTGCCGAAACATAAGGTGGATGGGAAAAGTAGGACGGCGACATCCATTCAGACAATCGATTGTCAATGTTGAAGATGGGGGCGGAGAGAGAACGGGGCGCCGGACTTTGCGGGCTTTGCTTGGAAAGGAAGGAGGAGGAAGGGGCTGGTACATATGGGACGGTGGAGATCCTGCATTCTCGATTCGCGTGGCTAGTAAGAGCATGCAGGATTTCTTCTGCCGTCTCGATACATCGTTTAAAAGGCGAAGAAAATATGTATCGAATCGGAGAGGTTACGAGCCGCGTCGAAAGGTGAGAGCCTGTTCGACAGGCTTGTCTAATGCCGCCGGGAGATAGAGGCGGATCGTATGGCTGCGAAGCTGTGCAGCTCCAGGAAGGGTCAATGTGATCTATTCGCTCGCCATGGCGAATGAGATAGACTGTTGTCGACATGCGGAATCCAGCCGCTGTGGAATATACAGCGAGTCAAGCCCTTCTATCGGTGCTGCCGTGGGTGCAGTCTCGGTTTCTGCACGCAGTTTCCTTTGTTGCTTGCCCTGAGGGTTTCTATTGAAGGAAGGGTCATTGAAAAAGGTCTGGCGCTTTGGGGCAACTTTCGGTGGTACCGCAAGGGGAAAGTTCCGATCATCAGGTGACACGAGACCTTCCATTTTGGGTTTTTAATTTTATCGGAGGGCTTAGAGTGGCTTAGTAAGCACGGGGTTTTTTGTATCGATGGGATGTGGTATCGAAAAACCTCGACATATTAGTGTATTTCTTTTTTCAAGAAGAGGTCAATCTACAAGAAAGATGGACGTCTAGCAATCTCTACACTACTGAGATGCTAGTCAACATAGAAGTACAACTAAACACTCGCCAAGAATGCCTATCGGTACGCCTCCTAACCGCAGTACGCGGGTGTACCGTTGAACTCGTCAAGAGGACAACCAACAGCCAATCCGACCTTCTCTCCCTCAAGACCAGACATCTGGAAGATGGCATTGATGAGACCACCAAGACCTTCACCAGCGATGAAACCTGATGAGAGGGCGAAACCCCAGAGCATCCAGGAAGCAGGGTTACGCTTCTGCCAAACAGTCATCACGAGAGCACCAATCACCATGGCAGTAGAGTACACGGTCGTCTGCAAAACCCAGGAGATACCAATGGCGGAAAAGTTGGGAACCATCCAGGCGTACTTTGAGGGGAGCTTGTGACGGAGAATCACCGAGAAGATGGCGACAATACCCATGACAATGGCGGTAATACCGGAGGATGTTGGAATTGAGGGTTTGGGGGAAGTGAGGGCGACGGCGGTTTTCTCCCAGGCGGTGACGGAGGGAAGTTGAAAGCTGCACTTTTCAATCTCTGGGTCGTTGATACACGGGTAGGCGCTAGAATACAAAATGTACAGCCCGACACCGATGAAAACCGCAGCGAATGTGCCAAAGATTTGCGCGATAAACTGGGTCCTTGGAGACGCACGGAGAAGGTGACCAGTCTTCAAGTCACCGACCATATCGACAGCTTGGGAAGCCGCACCACCTGCCACGGCACCAGCAAGCAAGTTGTTGAGTTGAGCCTGTGGGAGAGTGTCGGGTCCGGTCATGCCCTTTCCGCGAGAGATACCACCGAACACAAACTGGGACGTCTTTGCAATGGCACTGTAATATCACGGTAAAGATAGCGTAAGTACGGCACAAATATCTCCTGAACAGCTTGCGACACACATACCCAACGGGGTTGATGTCGGTTTGACCACTGGCTTGAATTCCAATGAAACCAAAGATGAATGCCAAGATGATCGAAAGGATACCCTCGCCAACGTTGACTTTGAAAACAGCCGCCAAAACAGTGATAGTAACAACGGATGACAAGGCCAATCCTCCGCACCAAACGAGTACGGGCACTTGTTCGTGGGGCGGGGCGGGGTCCTCGTCCTCCACGTTGGTCAAAGATAAGTCAGCACGGTTTCCGCGAGCGCCCCTAATTTTGCCGATGAACTCATTAAAACCGCCTTTGATGCCGTTGTAGATACTTCTCCAGTTGTAGAACAACTCGGCAAAGGAAGCGCAGATCATGAGCATGATACCAGGCCACAAAAGCCAGTAACGGGGAGTGGGGTGGTTGGCGGGATCTGCAAGTTTGTTGAGGGAGAGGAAGGGCTCGATTGCCTTGCCGGTGTGGAAGAGAACCGGTCCAATGACACCCCAAGCGAGGAATGATCCCAACCACATGGAGCAGGAAACGTGAAGGCCTGAAAGCATACCAGCGCCGATGAAAGCAGGAGTCCATTCTAAGGTCAAGAAAGCGTGAGTTGACTGACGTTGACTAGCACCCAACGACTTTGAGCAATCTTACCAATGTACCAAGACCATTGCTCAACCTCGAAACATTTGGCACATCCGGCTTGGTGGAACCAGGCTGGATTTACAACGATGAGTCTGATGCATATTGAGATGCTTTGAATGAAGTAAGACTACTCACTGAAGACGTGCCAACTTCTGATACCCGGGAGGAAGTATCCAAAGACGTTCCAACAGATAGCAAATAGCATGGAACCCGCCATGATTTTAGCCTTGTACACACCCTCAGCCTCACCGCCGACTGCGTGGAGGGAGGCGATCGTGTTGGCAGAAGCAAATGGAGTTGGGAACACGAGTTTCTGCTTGATGATGAAATACTTGCGAAGCGGAACAGCTGTGTAAATAATGGTAAGGTGGCTGTCGAGAGATGTAGAGAAATACTGGGACCCACGTACCAAAGAAAAGACCATAGTAGGCGGTAATGAATGTCAAGGCAAGGATTTTGCCAATGTCATCTTTGGGTTCCTTGCTCAACAAACCAAGGCGATACATGGCAGGCACAGCTGCTACGAAAAGAGTCCCAAGCCCACCAGCGGCAGTAGCCGCGGTTTGGACGGTACAATTCTCTTTAGGACCGAAATAACCTCCACCAAAGGCCTTGGGCACAATCACGGAGAGGGGCTTCATAATAGCGAAACCAAAGATGGCACCGAAAAGAGAGGCACCAAAGGTAAATCCTAGTTCATTGTTTTAGTAAGTTGCTTGCAACCGAATAATAGAGACAGATGTGAAACCTTACCAGTCTTCAGTCCAAGGTAAATGTTGGAAGCCGCAACGACGGATCCCAGAATAGTACCAATGATGATAGCACGAGCGGTCAAGGCAGTTCCTTCATCGGGCAATCCACTTGGGAGCTCAACGTAGTCTCCGTAAACGCGGGATGGCTCAAAGCCATCCTTCTCTCCCGTACCCACGACGGGCTCGAGATGCTCTTTGGTGTCTTCAGGCTGGGTGGACATGATGGCAACTAACTTGTTTCTTGTATGAGGTGTCGCACTCTAAAGTGGACGAAAGACTGAAAGAAAGTACGACCAGCGCACGAAATAAAATGCGACCAGCGCGAGCGTTTCTTTGGGGACGGTATTAGAGTGAGACAAAAGGGAATGGTAACCGCAACGAGAAGCGGGAGCCCTTGACCTGCCCCCCTCTTTATATCACCCAAAGGTAATCTTAATTTCAGTGGGGGCATTCTCTCCAACTCAAATTTCCACCACGAATACAAGTAACTATTTGCCACACAACTTTCCTGAATCCAACAATTGGATTGTAGCAAAAAAAAAGGATATCACACCAGAAAAGCAAAAATCGGCAAACTTGTGACTCAAATCTACAAAAAGCTACCAGCAGCCCATAATCATAAACAAATTGCTATCGGAGGGAAGGACATCCTCCACCCCTTGGTAGCGTCACACTAAAACCTAGATTGGCATTGACTTTTTGAGTTAAAGAAACGGTTTCGGTTTTTCACGGATTGGCAGTTTTGTTTGCGCTTCGTGACTGCGATCTTGTAGGAATTTTTTGCGCTTTTCCATTTGCAAACATTCGGGGGAGAGAGATCATGATCAGAATCAAGTTTACAAAAGAAAAGGATGGGATATGTACCACCTCACACATTTCTAGTGATAAGGCGCTTCTTGCCCATTTTTTTTCATGAATCTTTACGCAATGAATTTTTCTGTTTTCTTGTGTGCGAATAGCGGTATCGGCCTTTGTTGCCCGCAGCAGTGGGTTAAAAATAAACAATATCATCCGCCATAGAGTACAATGGGCATATCGTGCCGAGCCGAATCCCAACCGCTACTTTGCCATAAACACATGCCACTATACACACTGCCTGGGCACACCTGACAAACAAATGATCAACACGCGAGGTTACCAGTAGTGCGTTGGAGAGCCACGACAAGAAGGACGCGGCCTGAGACCTTGTGTCCGTTCGGTCAGGTTTAACGCCCAGAACTTTTTTGTAGATTTTTCCTTGTCGTCTGCGCGTCTGGTGCACTCGTGGATCTTTCTTACTTGAAAAAGCGCAACTGGACAAGGCTTCATCTACCGTTTCTGGCAGCAAGCGGACAAGCGCAGATAACAAGTCGGCAGCCGTTCCTTGACCAATATGAAAAAGCCCATTTTGTCTGACAGCATGTGGGTAGAGCCATTATGACAACCTCCTATCGCAGGCAGTGCTGTCATTTGAGGTTAAAACTTTACATTGCGCAAACAGAGCATCCGCCTGCTGTCCAATCTTTGATAGTTATTGCGGGGCCTTCTTCGCCTTCGATTTGGCATGTGCAAAATCCAACACAGTTACCCAAAGCCTCACATGATCCCCCCTATGACCCCAAAGGGATGCAAATTTATCGTATTTAAGGTTAACTTCATTTGGGCGGGAATTGCGCGGGGCAGCAGGGGGTTGCCATGTCAACATTCGGCCCCCCATGGTTCCATGGTTCGTAGCATGGCATCTGCGGTAAAAGCTCGGCGACTCTTATTGCACACGGCCAAACAAGGCAAATGCAACTGACTCGGCTCTCGGCGAAATATAATATCTCAAATTCCAGTGAATAAAAGCGTGCAGAGTATTCCTATTTCCCAGCTTAAACTTCAGAAAGTTCCAAAAACATGTGCAAGTAAAGGTTCAAAAAAATATTACACAATGCGAATCACCCGTTTTACAAAATGCAAACCAGGATGTATCGCTTAATACACTGGGTAAAAGTCAGCAACGAACTCCTTCAATAGGATAAAAAAGTCGTGTGCCATAATGCGTGAGTGTGTGGTGTCCCAAAATCCTAGCCTATTACCTCTTCATCCCAACAGATCCATATCTCAATTCCCTCCCCGTCGTCACCATCCGCCCAGTCTAAACCTCCTTCCCCGCGTCCTCCGATTCGAACTTTTTCAAATTTTCTTTGAGAAGGTTTCTCAGTATTTATGTCCTTCCGAAAGTCCCACACTAAAAATTCGTTCCGTTTCTCAGGTAGCATCAAGTCCTGCCGACGCCTGCGCCTGGACCTGTCTGTCACACTTGCAAAAACCATGCTTCCATCTCGGCTAATTTCAGCAAACTTGATTTCTGGAGGTCGGACATCGCGGCGGCGTCTCCAACGGGCGTGACTTGATCGCCTTCGTGCATCATCGGGAGAGGGAGCGGTGGAATCGGATTGCGTTGAACTTAGGGTATACAGCGGCGTGAGACCTCTCAAATCCCATACAGCTAGTTGATGTCTCTCGGGTCCATTGGTAAGAAGAAGATGGCCATTTAAAGCCAAAGTCATTGGGAAAAGTGTAGGCTCTGCTGCTGCTGGAAACACAAAAGGTGGAGGTATCCAGCCATGCAGACCAGGAGGCCCTGGTGGCCCTTCCTCATCATCTTCCGTATCCGTTTCCGAGTCAGAATCGAACCAAATCGTCAGATCACCATGAACGCCTGGTGGAACTACAACAGCGACATCGGTGCCATTGCTTGTCACCCCGTGAGCAGCATGTTCTGAATCGGCAGGGCCGTCCTGAGGAAAACTGGCTGACGAAGGTATATCATTTGAAGTGTAAGAGGGGGTTTCCGGTATGGAGGACGGCCCTGCCGTATCATTGGTCGGCCCATTTTGTTCGACACGATCGGAAAGAACCAAAGACGAGTCACTGGTGGTATTGTTCGGGTTTTCGTGCAAAGTCTCTTCAGACGCAGACGTCGTCCCTTCGCTCACGATACCATTACCACTTCGAAGGGCCATTGCTTTCCTCATGTCCTCGACCTCAAACGTGGCAATTTGCCTTTTCTCCTTCATGTTACCCACCCAAAAACCCCCTTCCCATACGCCGTACGCTACGAGATCCTCCCAAACCGCTACATTTAGCAGATTCTGGACGGAGAGACCCGACAAATACTTTTCTTCGACGTCGACTGTCCAAATAGCATCTCCAGTATCCGCGTCCCACACAATGACTCTTCCATTCTTCCCGCCAGTTACGATGCGACGTTTATGAATGTTCATGGAAAAGATAAATCCGAGTTCTTCGTTGGCATTAATGGCACGCTCGAATTGCATTGTCCGTATGTTCCAGACAATGATTGTGGAAGAATCGTCAAAGGAGACCAACGTTCCTTCCATGTTGGAGAGAATAAGTCCAATGGGATTTTCGTGTCCCTCCAATGTGCGGTGAGGCGAGAGGCTCCCATCTTGATTGATAGATGACACTCTAATGGATATTGGATCGTCGGCGTCCACCCAAGCCAACTTGGCATTATCTGAATCCAAGGCGACAATATATGCGTTGTTTGGATCCGCTGGCCAAGCTGCCACGTACCGACGCCGAACATTGCTTGGGACTGACAATCTACTCTGGGAGGATCCAATCATGTCCATCGACAGCGGGCTCTGAGCGTCATGGCCATCTTCCGCAGGAGAAGTCACACCTTGTTCAATCCGGCGTGTTCCTCCCGGTCCGTCCGCCTGGGTCTCTTGTTCCTTGAACCTTTGCAAATCAAAATGTCCAACTTGCACGTTCCAATGCATCTGGAAATATTCCTTCCATGACATTCCTAGTTGGTTCGGTTCTCCCACTCCCCATCGTGACCGAGTAAGCCGAGACCATACCGACGTCTCGAAGGAACTAATTAATGCATTCCAATAGCGACAAGACTGGGAGGAGCGGCACAGCGAGCGAGCGTCCAGGTGAGAGAATATGTACAGAAGAATATCTTCTGGACAATGTTGCAGAAATCCGCCGGGAAAATCCTTCGCCAGCGACACAGGCATTTTCTCAACAGATTTAGGGACCACTGCACCTGTCTTACCATCTGTTGGTAACTGAAGAGAGAACAGGAAAAGGGAATGAGTATCCGCGCATGATAACTCATTTCGGTCCACGCACAAAGGACCAGGCCCATGATATCTTACCTGCACGCTTTCCTGTGTTACTAGCTGCTCGTCTAGCCTGGTACGCTTTCTAGGATTTCCCTCCCTTACGCCATATAGAATGGCGTGCTTATCGGAAGTTATAATATCCTCCGATTTCCCTGCCTCACTAGCCCTGATCCCATCCATATCCAATTCTTCCCCAATGTCAATGTCAGTTCCCGACTCCCAGCCACGTCCTAAACACATATCCGCCAACTCTGTAGCCCCATCTATCTTGTCTGCCAGCGGTATAGTCGAGTCCTCTATCAGCCGCCGTAGTTCAGTGGAAAAAAATAAACGATCTGACTCTGGAAGAGAAGTAGCAGAATATGAGAGGGTATTTTGTACTAGAGTGTCCAGAACGGCTTGAAGGTCGGGAGAGTCCTCAAGGCCACCGGGATGACTCGGCGACAACAAGGGAGTCGAAGGAGAAAAAAGGTTGACAGGAGACGGTTCTCTTATCTGTAGCGGTAGAGATTGTGGACGAGTATGGTTGCGAGAATCGGTCGAGTTCAGGGAGTGCAGTTGTGGGGTGGCCATGCTCCGTAATAGCCCGATGCGGAGAGTACCCTGTGGGTCTCAAAGAGAGTGATGTATGTGTATACTGTTCTAGTAGGATTTAAATGTACAGATAACTTTTGGGATATGATGGTTAGATTGAACCAGCAGTCGAGTTGTAGGCGCTGAAGGTTTGGTCGATGCGAAGCCCAAAGAACGTCAGCGTCTCTGGTCGGGTGTTCGAGTGGAGAGGAATCCACTCCGCCTTCATAGGTTCCAATGTCAATTCATTTCAATGACTGCGCCATAGCATTTGATTGGCTTGATGCAATCGAATGTCCAGAGAAATATCCACCAATGCCTTAATATCTGATGCAGATCATGTGACTCTCGTAAGTCTTGGAATCGGACAAGATTCCTTTGCTGGTTCTCACGATAACCGTGTGGTCGGCCACAATTAACACTTTCATGCCTTCCTGGCCCCAAATAATATTGCCAAAGAACTTTGCAGGTCGCAGGACTGGAAAGAACATTAGGTCCTGCAGGGATACAGACGACTTGGGCAAAGTCGAAACTCAAGTATCTGTAAAGCGAATATGAACAGCGAGGATGTTAATGGATCAACGTACCAGATTGAAGACCACCCTACAACGGTATCTACCCATATCGTTGACCTCGTTCCCCGCGTACAACGCCCTCGAGTTCCCCCAGAAACGATAGACCTGGTTCACATTGGTGAACTGTCTGCAACTCTTGCGCGTCTCCGCCGTCGCCAGCCTTGGGACCCTGCGCAGGAGCACAGCACAAAGTTTTCAGAGTACGGTCAAGTGTCGCGCACACCTAGGTTTGGGAATTCCTGGGAGTTTGCTGGATGGGGCAGAACGGTCCGGGTTCGTCTCGAAGCGGAGAATTCGTCGACGGTTGAAGCAATTGGTAGTTTACATAACAAGGCCACCTTGGGGGAATGGAGTTCGACTGCTATTGGTGAGTAAGAATCTTCAACTGCCGTGTTATATATGCTAATCATGTTGTGCGTTTGTAGCCGCGAACGATCTCATTGGTAGCGTATTGTATACAATTGGGTTGGCAATCATTGCCGCCGGGCAGTACGCACCAATTTCGCTTTTCTTGGCCTGCTTGGTAATTTACATGTACCGTTTCATATTTGCTGAAGTTGGTTCTTGTGTCCCCGTGAACGGCGGATGCTACAGTACCATGCTCGCAGCGTCCTCAAAGGTGGTCGCAGCCATCGCTGCCTGCTGCTCGATATTGGATTACCTTGCGACCGCAGTGGTCAGTGCCGCGTCTGCCAGTACCTACTTTTGGAACGAATTTGGAATCATCAACGTGATTGGGGCAACGGTGGGAATCCTGCTGTTCTTTGCCGCTTTGAATCTGCTGGGAATAAAGGAGTCGTCCTATGTGTCTTTTGCAATATGTGCAATACATGCGACGACCTTGGTTTGCCTAACTGGCGCGGGTGTGGTGCAGTGGATAAAGAATGGCGGAGACATTCTGCGTGCTAATTGGAAGGATCCCTCGCCTAACGAAAATGCGCCACTGGACATTTTCTTTGGCTTTTGCGTCGGAATGCTTGGATTCACTGGATTCGAGGACTCGGTCAACTATATTGAAGAGCAAAAGCCAGGAGTGTTTCCGAAAACCATGAGAAACTTGTCAATCATGGCTACCATCAACCCAATTCTGACCTTGGTCTGCTTGGCAATCGTTCCTCGTAACCTCGTGGCCTTATATCCCAACAGCGCCGTAACCCTTATTGCTGATGCAGCCGGTGGCAGACCTTTGAGGATCATTGTATCCGTGGATGCGGTTATGGTGTTGTGCGGCGGAGTGTTAACCGCCTTCGTCGGTGTCGGCGGTCTGCTGGAACACATGTCGGCCGACCGTCTTCTACCCCGCTTCCTTCTTATTCGTAATCAGCTCAGGGGATCTCATCATTGGATAACATTATCATTCCTTTCCCTCTGCCTTGTGCTCGTCGGTGTTACTCGTGGAGACACCACTCTCGCTTCCCTTTTAATGGCTACTTCATTCATAGCGGTCCTTCTGGCTATAGCCGTGGCGAACCTCCTCTTGAAATACAAACGTGGGAGGCTGAAACGCGAAGTGAGGGCGTCTTCTGGAACTGTGGTAGCAGGAATCTTGGCCGTCCTGGTAGCCATTGTCGGAAATGCAATTTACGATCCGCCGATGATTGGAACTTTTGCCACGTTTTTCGCCGTTCTGTTTTTGGCCATGTGGGGGGTTCTCAATCAAGTGCGCGTACTGAAAGTTCTGATTTTCGTGGCTGATGCATATCCAAAATTGAGGAAACTGGTCAACTCCTTAATCTCTGCAGTTATTACGATCCGTTCACATCCTGTGTAAGTGGACAGTATCTTGCATAGAAGAGCTCACAACTAAAAATGCGTGCTTGGATATCGCTTTTGCTCCTTTAGCGCTTTCTTCACAAATCACGACGAGATTCACGTCTTGAACAAAGCCGTCCTATATGTCCAAGAAAACGAAATGACCATGTACATCTACATGGTCCACTTTTACGAGCAAGAATCTGAGATTCCACCTAACCTTGAAGCCAACTGTCGTGCGCTGGACAGGCTGTATCCAAAGATTCAAATTGATCTGATCCTTGTGAATGGGAAATTTGGACCGAGATCCGTCGCTGTGTTAGCAAAACAAATGGGAATTCCGCGAAATCAGTGTTACATTACGTGTCCTGGGGAAAAGATGAGTGGAATTGGACGTTTTGGGGGCGTCAGGGTTATTATGTTGTAATTCAAAAATGATGATGATGCGTATGTAGCGAAAGCGATATTGCCTCAATTTGCTAGATAGGCACTGGACCGCCGACTAAACTGCAGAGCAGTACAAGGTATACAATTGGAAATTTTAAAAAGCAACCAAGAAGTGCAACCAGCTTCAAATTGGTGACTGTGCCTCCGGAACGGCGGCGCAGCGAATGTAACTTTGGTGTCGGTTAAATGAGGCTTTTGTCTTGTGCTACTCCAAGGTTCCGGGTTTGCGGTTGAAACCCTGACCGCCGCGGTTTCGGACGGCCTCCGATTTCCGCCTCAAAGTGCCACTGGCACTGCAAGTATATCTCAAGGACCCAAGCGGGAACGTCCTCGGTCCAAAGGTCAAGAATGCTACAGACGTTGGAACAAGCGATATATCTAATAGGTGTCATAATCTTGCTGAAAACTACCTACGCTTTCGGCAATTGGGTCAAGGACACCTTCTTCGTTAACAAAGACTCACTCCTAAAGTACCAAACTGACTCCAAAAATGCTTATGCGGTCGTTACTGGTCCAACCGGTGGTATAGGACAAGCCTTTTGCGATGAACTGGCGTCAAAGGGTTTTAATTTGATTCTCGTGGGACGAAACCAGACCAAACTCGACAAGCTCAAGGAGGGTGTAAGTAGACGGTACCCAGCCATCCGCATCCAAACTGTGATATCCGATGCGAAGGATACCACACCAGAGAACTTTTCTCGGGTCGCCGAGGCAGTTGCTGCCGCTGGTACTGTCAGCATCCTAGTCAACAATGTCGGTGCGATGAATAAGCTCTATGGTACACTGGAAGAAACGTCCTCTGAGGAACTGGAGTCTATTATTCGCATCAACTGCACCTATACAACCCTTCTTACGAAAAGTATCCTCCCAATACTCAAGAAGAACCGCTCTTCACGAAGCCTGATTCTGAACGTCAGCTCTGCTAGCAGTTACGGACCCGGGCCACTCATGTCGGTGTACGCAAGTTCCAAATGGTTTATAAGCGGCCTGTCGGAAGCGATCCGTTTGGAACTGCGCGGGTCTAATGTTGATGTTACCTGCGTTTGTCCTGGTTTCGTCAAATCGGACATGTGCCAGCTTCCAGATGCTGCGGATCCCGTCGTAGTCGCACAGCAAACCTTTGGAAAGGTGCACTTGAAAAACTTTAGTCCCTACTGGCAGCATGCGGCCACATTTGGTCTTTTGGCACAACTCCCAGGTTGGCTCAAGGATCGCTTGCTTTTGACGGTCGTCAACCAGGCTGGAAAGGTGCATAATGCGAGCGTTCTTGAACGCAGGAAACACAACTGAACTGGGGTACACCAAAGCAACTCTATATATGTAGTTAATGTAGACAAAAAAAAACACTAAGAACTGAGAACTGTAAGAGTATTCACTCAGCGTTAGCCACAGCTGGCCTGTAAATCAAACAAATGTCAAACTTTTAAATTCTATTGTCGCTCATTTTCTTCTCAACAGGTGTAGATTCGCAGCCGGCTCTCTCCCTTTTGCTTTTCCATGGTGACCTTTTCGGTGAAAGGCAACGCTGCTCGAGGTGCATTGTGCTGTTAATTTCCATTACCTTATTAGACAAAGACAAGCATCCATAAAAAAATGTTGGAGAAGCTCCGAGTTCTCAAGGGGTATTGATTTTATGGTTTCCTATTGTATCGAATAGGCAAGCCTATACGATAGCCTTGCTGGAAACAAATGGAGCTGTGGAGCGCGTTTCGTTAAACCCGAATCCTGCAGCAGTACGAGTACCAGTGGCCCTAATTCAACTGTATGGTGCCATCAGTATTGACATTGGGTACGAAACAACATTATCCAAAAACAATCGAACGTAGTGTTTTGCAATATGTGCAATACACTATCAGAATTGAATGCGGTAGCTCGAAAGATGTGATTGACCAGTCTAATCACCTATATCATGATGTACAAGAAATGCACAGGATGTATTGCACAAGATGTATTGGATTACATTGCTCAACAAACTCTCGAGTATACATGTTTTCCATCAGGTTTTTTGTCGCTTGTGAAGGCTTCCGCTCGATTGTGAGAGCTCGGCTGCGTGTGCTTCGAAAGGAAATGTTGACCTTCTTCTAGAATACCTGTATACCAATGTATCGTTAGCGATGATGATACCAGGAATCGGCTTGTTGCATTCACGTACCGTTCACGGCCCAGAGGATGTCAGTCACTTTATATGAAATGGGATGCGCGTGAGACTTTCCGGACGGACAAAACGAAATGTCGACTCTACAATGCTTACCGAGCAGCTCAACAAGCTCTTCGGTCATACTCTCCCTCACTACCACGCGAAGAATTTCAATGTTTTCACAGTCAGGTGGGAGAGGGTAACTGGGTACGATCCATCCACGAGCGCGAAGCAAGTTGACGACAAATTGTTGTTCAACATCCGGATGATCTTCTTTGAACTTTCGGGAGAAACTGAATGGGATACGCAAGACATCTGAGCATCGGAGAATCGTAATAATATACGGGAAGAATTAAACGTACGTGAATGCAACCACTGGCAGGCCATCATTAAAAGAGGAATTTTTTGTGTAGTCACTTGGAGGACTACACTTAGCCGTTCCGTGTGAGTTATAGAATTGCCCGCGAGGACGATGGATGTCGGAAACGACTTCAAAAATTTCCGTCTTTTCGAGCGCGCAGGACTAACAAACGGAACATTAGATTCCAATTTAGCAGACATAGCAGCTACCATTATTCAAACAGCGCACCAGTAAGCGGGCATTGGTGAGACAGTTGGTAATAATGTCTGTGTACCCTTTACGTCCGAGACGGATGAGATTGTAGTATTGGGCGATCATAGATGATGCAGGACCTGAAGAATCCACGCAAGTGAGTGTACAAAAGTCCCGTATGATCGCAAGCGCATTTACTTACGACTAAAATTGAGGGTATAGGTTGCCTCGCTTCCTCCAAGATAGTGTAGCTGGAACACAAGCCCCTGTGGGAGATACTCTGAACTTCTCCAGATGATCCACCCTGTGCATTGCCAGAGGGTTTATACCATTTTCATACAGATGGGTATATGAATCGTACTCACCAATGCCGGCATAGCATAATCCGTACTTGTGTCCAGACGTGTTGATAGAGACAACGCGGGGGAGATCAAACGCCCACTTGAGGTTGGGTGATGCAAATGGTGCGACGAATCCACCGCTGGCAGCGTCGACATGAATGGGAATGTCAAGACCGGTGCGCTTTTGAAGGTCATCTAACGCTTTGGACATAGCCTCAACATTCTCGTAGTGGCCAGTGTAGGTGCTGCCCATAATGACCTAAAACAAGCCGGTCTTTTAGAGCTGTCACTGTACGTCATGTTGCCGCATTGAAAACTCACGTAGATGCCTATGGTATTCTCATCGACCAATTTGATTGCTTTCTCCACATCTAAACAGAATCTGCTCTTTTCTGAGACAGGCACCACACGCGCCTCAACGTCAAAGTATCGTGCAAACTTCTCCAAGGCCACCTGTTAATTGTTAAAATCAGTTATTGTACACAACACTGTGCGAACAGAAGATATCGCATCGTACCTGTGCATTAGAAGCGTAGATAATGTTTGGCTTGCTGACATCCTTGCCAGCCGCCTTGCGTGCATCCCTCCATCGCCATTTCATCGCCAACCCACCCAGTTGCACGGCTTCCGAAGACCCTACCGTGGCAGTGCCGACAGCTTTTTGGCCACTTGGAATCTTCCACATATGAGAGAGAATTGAGACGCAGCGATCCTGTATTCTCATGGTCGCTGGGTATTCATCCTGTACACGGATTAGATTGCAATTATGGCATGATGGATTATCATAGGTTTTGTTAAGCCACCTGGTCCGCCAAGTTTTTGGCCAGATTTTCTACCATCAGCTTCTCTGCCTCAGGTTCCATCCAGGTGCTGACTACAGAACAAATGTGAGCCCTGGTAAAGTTTTCTAACAAGTAGGATTGCAGTTTGCTTACGGAAAGATGCAAGGTTTTTGGCAGGACTGCCATCAAATTCCAGCATGTCGTGGATCATCTGGTAGGCTACCACGGCCTCTGATGAAGTCTCGGGTAGAGTGTACTATAGAGGATCAATACCTAATGAGTGACAACCGTTTTCAGTCCAAGCGAAAGGGTGAACTCACTTTTGGGATATCTTGCGTAGCAAAGCGGGACGCATAGGCTAAAAGGTAAAAGTGGTGTTAGGCTAGCATATTCCGCTGAATGATGCAAAGCCGTCAAAGTACCGAGAGAATGAATATGGGATTTCTTGCGAATGTTCAGACGTGCAAGAGTATCCACGATGGTCTCTGGATCGGCATGTTCAGATAAAACCATTTTTGAATTTGATAAATGTTGGTTGCGTCTAGAAAGTTGGGAAAAGACTGATTGGGGAGAGCAGAGAGCTTCAAGTCTGTTAAATAACAGCAACTTGTTGGTGACGTCACGCTAGCAGAGCACGCGCTATGGGGAACGAGAAGAAGGAAAACATGCTCAACGGAATGTTCGAAAACAGAATTTTCCAAGAATTAAAGTATAGTGATCTATGGCAACAGTAGAACGCATGCAAAATTCCACCAGCCCTTTCGATTTAGACAAAGTCCAAAACTTGGGAAGGTTAAGGTTAACTTGAAATTACTAAGGGTGTAACACACCGAAAAATGTTACAAATTGAAAATAAAAGATGCATACGAACAAGCAGACAGAATGAGATGACATGGTCTATAGACACTGACCTTTTTGAGCAGAGATGTCTACTTCTTGTTTTCTTGGAAGATATGGATTGAATTGAACAGTTTTTGATTTAGGTTGGTCGTCATATGGTTCGTTCTCTTGGAGCTGGAAAGCTGTTCTTTGACGAAGACGTGAGTCCCCAGTATATTTGAAAATTTCCTTTAAACTTGAGGAATCACACGCATACATAAACTATCCAGCAGAACGAGTATCGGTGGCATTAATTCCACTGGATGGTGCCATCATTATTGACATTGGGTACGAAACAGCATTATCCAAAAACAATCGAATGTAGTAAATCACCAACACATAACTATCCATTAATTTTCTAACTTTTCATAAACCACAGTCTGCTTCGTCTCACGCATGACCACCTTGGCCCATGACTTCCATTTGCGTCACTCTCTGTACTCCGAGATCATCAGAATTAGGAGGCATGAAGATGACTTTGGTGCCCGCCTTGGCGGCCATGCTGTTGAGCGTTTCAAGATATCGGATTTGCATGGCCTACAATTGTGCCCAAGCCGAGGAAAGATTGTTAGCAGCAGAAAGGTGATTTCCACTCGGGTAATACAACAACATACCGCAGGCGTATTAAGAATATCGGACGCCTCCCTCATCAGCTTCGCACTCTCGACCTCAGCCTTGGCAGCGATAATTTTACTCTCACCCAACCGTTGCTGTTTCGCAGCAGATGACAAAGTCTCCTGGAGCTCAGTACTGAATTGCATGTCCTTGATCAAAATACTCTCGATTTTAACACCCCAGGTGGAAGCAGGGCCTTCGACAATGAGTTGAATCTCGTGCGCAATGCTTTCTCGCTGTTCAACGCAGTCTTGAATTGTACGTGAGCCGATAATCTGACGAAGAGTAGTTTGTGTCCGTTCAGTGAGGGCTTTTCGGACATTGTTGACGAGGAAGGCGGCCGTGTAAGGGTCAATAATGTGCCAATCTGTGGGATGGATGGTGAGAATTCATTAATCCGACATCCCAAATAGAACAGGGGTACATACAGAGGACTGAATCAATCATGACCATAACGTTGTCTTTGGACATTACAGACTTGAGAACATATAGCGGATCAGCCTGTACTCCTTTTAAAGAAATGAAATGTATATCGAGAAATTACCTGAGTCGGAATATCCTCGACTTGAATCTTGATATCCAATGTTTGCAGATTTTCAGTGGCGGGATTGATAGCGTGCAGTCCAGGGTCGACGCTGCAAAAATTTACAGTGTGATGAGGAACAAAAACTCTGGCAGCGACATGTACGTCACATCCTCACCTTTTGTAATATCGGCCGAAACGAGTGACCAGGCCCACAGTTCCTTGCGCTACCGACTTGTAGGGATTGGGACAACAGCAACAACATGGTATGCTGCCCAATACCCCGGCGACACTGCCAAGGCAACTCATCATGCTTTCATCTGAAATGTGATCCATCAACCACTGGAAGAAAACTTTATTAAATTGAGATTACACTGCTACTTACACCATCCGTACGCTTCAGCAGGCAAGGGAATCTCCTTGGCGTACGTAGCTTGAAGAGGGAACATTGGAGGCGGAGTTGCGGGTTGCTCGTCGTGAACCCGACCTTTGCCTTTAGGTTCGGGCGTTGTCATTGTGTAGTTACTGGGAGAGGTCGTATAAAGTGTTTAGGAGGTTCTTGAGGAGGAAGAGGGTCGCTGTTCAATGCTTGTTATTTTTAAAGACGAACGAAAATGGTGTGCCAAGTTGTCCCTGATTATGCAACTTTTTACGGCAGCAAAGGAACGCGTTCGGAGCACTTGAAGGAAGGCTTCTGTTTGCGGTTTATTTCCTGTGCGGTAGGGGCTGGGCGAAACTTTGAATTCATGTGGTTTGTCAAAAGGAAGGGGTTAGTTTCTAGCCAAGGCAAGAGGAACTTTTGCGCTGAATGCAAATGGAAAAGTACTGCCAAGGCAGAGGATCATGGGATGATTTTGCCACTGAGAGGACATTGAACATAGAAGCATTGTTGCAAACTGGGCATCAGAGCAAGTCAATGGCATTAACACACATGGTAGTTGAAGGTTTGACGAGAAATCCAAAGAAAGGTTGCGACAATCGGAAACCCATATATGCGCACATGCTTACATTGCTGGTAAATACCCGTGCTTGAAACTATATGAATACGAGGATTAGCCCTGCGATCCCTGCAGAATTAGATCATGATTGTCTCTATTCGCAGAAGAAGACCCAGAGTTTCAGATAGCGTCTTTAGGGATCCTCAGTTTTACCGGAAAATGTAATTCACATATTTTAGAATCTTGCTTATTCTGAGGATATTACGTAGTTCGCATTGCTTTTGATATACAATTGTAGCCTGTGCACAGGCACTTTCCGTCTACTGAACCGTATGAACCCAACTGCGAGGCCTGACAGATATGCCGAGTAGTGAGTATTGGAATTTAATTCAGCAGAGCACGGCTAAGAAGGAAAACCTCCTGTTCTGGAGCATCGCAGGCACATATTCGGCTGCCGATTTGCTTTATGACTTGGCGGCCAAACTTACCTGTCCATTTTTGCAGCTGGTCCGGATTCTGAAATGCACGTCGTACAGGGGCGATGCGGACATTCCATGAGATTACAGTGCGAACAGCTACCTGCACGCTCCCGTTGAGAGTTGAGGTAGGGTGACTGCCCATAATGCACCAACCGACACCAAAGTTACATTCGCTGCGCCGCCGTTCCGGAGGCACAGTCACCACTTTGAAGCTGGTTGCACTTCTTGGTTGCTTTTTAAAATTTCCTATTGCAAAGACAATAAAAGAACCGAAAAGAAAAGGAATAGAACAGGTTGATTCGGTCCCATATGCGTTAAGAACTTAAGAAGGACAAATTGGATGAGGAAGTTAAAAGCCTCTTGTAGCGTGGATGCAAGGGTGAGGCTCATAGATTACCCTAAGGTGCTTCTGGAACACTTCAACCATGGAAGTATGAGATGATGGCGACCCCAAGCGATAGTTTACAAACTGGGGCTACTAGTCTTTGCATGGAAAGACCTTTGCAACATTCTCTTTGTAAAAGGATTTTGCCCTTTTTACCATATCTATTACCATAATGCGGATATTCATTCAGAATCATCGTCAACCACCCGGCCTGCTGCGGCTGCTCTGGCGACGAGCACCTTACCTTTTGCGTAGTGCCAAGATGGGGCTCAGTCCCAACATCGATGATGGCTCCAATATAGGGACATACATCCAGCTTCAGGGTTTCCTCTCCCGCGAATGCGCTTCAGTTCTCCAGCAGAGTTTGCTTGATTATCACACTTTGCTCTTCGAAAGCGTCGCTTGTCTCCTGAAACTGATAACCACCCACTCTGAAGAGGCAAAATTGGTAAGATGATTGCAAGACTGCTTTTCAGTATTGGACAACTTTCATCTTGAAGAAATAGCTGTTGGTCTCGGAAGCCGTGTAAGGGTCAATGATGTGCCAATCTGTGGGATGGATGGTGGAGCTGTGGAGCCAATGGTGGAGCTGTTGTTAATTGTTAATTTCATCAAGTGGAAGAAAGTGTAAAATCGTCCAATATCTTTTTACTCTAATATACGCCGTTTTATTTCAGAATCCGCTTGGTGGATATAGGCAAGCCTATACAACAGGGAATGAACTGGGGTTGCCGCGGAGGAAGGTTTGATTGCCATCGGATATGAGCGTAAGCTATGCCAGTTCAGCAGGGTTTACCAGTTTGCAAAGCTGTACGTCGCTATGCCCAGCATGGCAATGTATACATGAACTCCTCTTTGCATATCAACGACATATGAAAAAGCGCCAATATGATGAAGCGCTTCAAGCCTGAAGAATGCTATGAATGTGATGATGGCGCTCGATGGTTTGGGTGAGGCGGGTGGCTTAGCTACGCGTCGGGCCTGAAGATTCAGACATGGGATGCCAGGATTCGACGCTGGTACAGGCATGGAATGTAAACAATGACTATCCAAAATCCTCAAATCTCGCCCAAAAGACACTGGTAAATGCCTCCACTGAAAGCTACCTAATGAATACCCCTGACCCCCTTCGGTGACCACAATAAATAACCCATGGTCACATGACATACTATCAAAAATTTTCATCCCAAGTGACCAATGAAATGTTGTCCAATATCTATAAACCCATATCTAGTCTAATGAATAATAGATCTATCCAGTATTTAAAAGATGAGTTGCCCATTTTCCCACAGTCTTCATCTTCAACGATGCCTCCAAAGAAGAAGCAGAAAGTCAACCAACCTGCTATCCTCCATTCATGTCACAAGACATCTTTTGAAAAGGCTTTTGCTGCAAATGATACCTACCGAGATCGCGTTCAAAATTATATCTGAATCGTCCATGAACTAGCAGCCCATGCTACTCATGCACTCAAGTTCTACATCCTATCCAGCCCACACTTTCTGATTATCAATGAAACTGTTGTGGAGGCAATGCTTTACCTGCTGAATAAAGGTGCAGCTTGGCAGCCAGGCAACATGGCAAAAAAAGATTGCCATGATATCCTCATGCCCCATATTGATCAGTACTGTGATGTTGTGGGTTTTACTCGGCCCAACCTGAAATACGATCAACAGTCCATCAACTACCTCACCACCAGTGTCATAACAAACATTAAAGTCAATGTCCAAGAGCATTTTGTCAAAATGCTAGTTAGATTCATCAATTATTGATTAGATGTCAAGAACCAGCAGAAAAGACTATTGGGAGCAGAGAGAACATCATTTTTTGCCAGATTGTGATATCTGAAACAATTGTTCTTATTAGACGACATTCCACAAACCGATGATCTAGACCTGAGTGATTTGGAAAGTGCATTATTAGAAGACATTTGGAATATTTTGCTCGATCGAGTAATAGGAAAAGAAGGGACACTCACATATCTTGTAGCATGTGATCCGCTGTCATTTTTTCTGTCTCACTGTGCATTATCCCGTTTATTCGAATGATGCGGCCTGCCCTTGTTTAATGCCATCCCATTGCAAAGATCGTTTATCCAATCCCATGTTCGCATTGATACTATGATTCTGTATCAACATGTGCTAAAAGTCTCACAGCGAGAATATGACGCTGTTGACAAAATGGACTTGTGGTTGCGTGTTTGCAATCTTGGCAGTAAGGTGTTCATGACACGTAGTGGAATGGCATTTGATGGATCAATAACAATGGATGGGACCTCCATGTCAGTTTGCCTGAAGCATCCAGATGCAGCAAAATATGGCAGACACAAGCATCACAACTCAGAACAGGCAATTGAAGCAGATATCAAAAGTCAATATATCGAGAATAATCTTACGGCCTGTCGCAGTGCATCCAATGTTGTCACCATTGATCCCAATAAGCATGATATGCTATACTGTCAGGATCTTCAAAATGGGTGTATGTTTCACTATACTTCCATGCAAAGAACCAAAGAGATTGGAAGCAGGAGGTTCAACAAATCCCATGAAGCAATGAAGCATGAGAATGGCATTGATGTCATCGAGTCTGCAGTGCCTTCACATAAAACAATGAATCTCGATAGCTACATTCATTACCTGTCATGGCGCCATGACAATGATGCACCCTTGAAGGACTTTTATTCACATCCCACCCATACTAGATGGAGATGGCATACCTACATGAACACCCAAAGAACTGAAGCAAAGCTGATATCTAATATGAGGAAATGCTTTGGTAGTAGTTTTGCTGTAGTAATGGGTGATTGGAGCGATGGTGGGCATACCCAAAAATACCAGATATCATCGAAAACGACTGGATGGCAGAATTGTTTCAAATGCAATCGCATCGATTGCTTCCTATTAGATGAATATCGAACCTCATCAATATGTCCAAGATGCTTATCAGGCGATCATTGGCAAAAGGGATTCAAGATACGACCACACTCGAGACCCTGGCAGCATCAGAAAGGATGTAGTGAAAAAGTGCATGGCTTGCTAGGTTGTACCAACCCAAACTGCATAGAGCAAGGATGCACTTACCGTTACTGGAATCGAGACAAATAAAGGACGTCTAATATGGTAACAATCGTGAAATCGTATTTAGATCATGGTGTTAGACCAGCCATTTTCAGTAGACATGTCCCTTTGGTAGCTTAGATTGTCTAGTAGCAGTTAGTTAACTTTTCTGAACCAGTTTACGCTGGTTCATTCCCTGTCGTATAGGCAAGCTGGCTCGGTAACTTTGACGCGTATCAACTCGGAGACCCTTCTTACCGAATGAGTGTAATTATGGGGATGCGAGCGATGAAAACAGAACAAATGCAGGGAGTGAGTCAGCTTGACAGGTTTGGCACTTATCGGTCAAGCTCATCTGGTGAATAATGGGTGGATTGTTGTAAATTGATAAGTTTTGGCTGTTTCCAATGGTCAACGTTGAAATGCTTTACGTGCTCAGCACGGGTATCTAGCATCGTACCCGACTTTGCTTTGCATTGAGCATCCGCCTCCAGTTCCAATCAGGCGTCGTGGCTGCACTCTACAGTTCAGTTCATGGTAAATATATGCTATATTCATGGCACTAAAAAACTATTTTGCCGATGATCTGCACCCTGATTCCAGTGGAAGCTCCTACACCCTATTTGTCTCTCCACATGCCTTCACAATAGTGCTTCGCTTTTGCAGCCCAACAATGAAGATTTTGGATCCAAAACAGCGATCTGATTGCGTTCTGAATACAATGTTGCCGTGCACCTGTGCGAGAGCTCTTAACAGCCTTATCGACATGCTAGAATAATCGTGGCGTGCTTAAACCACTGGACCCAGTTCCCAGTTCCGATCGCATGCTGCGTGGCACGATTGTCGCCCGCGGGTGGATAGCATTGTGTCTCGTTCGCTGGAGTCCTGGGTCTTGTGCAACACTTTTTTTACCACAGTTGAATTCCAGTTACCAAGAGGGCTCTACTCAAAGGTTTCATGTTACCAATTCCCTATTGTTTAACGTACGCAGTTTGTTCCGCAGCACATGTTTTCAACCTTTGATGCTTGTTTTATCAAAACACCTTTTGGAATAATGACCGGTGCAATGGCTGCTCACTACCATTGTCTTTTTTTTATGCCACTCTGGCTGGCTGGCTGGGAGGGATGGAATAGATATAATTTGACCTTGTCTGTTTCACCTCATGCGCATCAACCTTTAACATTCAATTGACATGTCATTTAACACGACAAACAGCACTTTGAGTGCGGATCCGGGGACGGATGATGGGCATCATGTTGCAATTGTCGTATCCAAGATCTTTCTCACGACAGCGGTATTTTCTATCATTTCCTCCGCTGCCGTTGTGTATTCATACTTCAGCAAGCGTGAACTTCAAACCGCATCGCTGCATTTCGTCGCTGTAATGTCAGTTTGTGACATTGGGTTTGCTACAAAATTCTTTGCATCGGCAATAAGTACCTTGCAGGTGGGTCTGGTTTGACCAAATACACGTCGAGAGTAAGGAATTTAAACGCTTTTTTTTAGGGAGACGATGCTGCCTCATATACCGGAACTCCTCTCTGTGAATTATCTGGGCATGCGGGACAGTTTTTTGCCCTATCAACTGTTCTTTGGTACGATACACACGAATGGTCTAAACAAATGCAGCTTCACTCATCATCGAACATTTAGGAACGGTGTCTTGTCGGTAAACTTGTTCTTCCTCCTGTACCAACCACGAGCCTACAAGCCAGATATCTGGATTAAGCGCTATCACATATTTGTTTGGGGCTTTTGTGCCCTGTCTGCGGCGATCTTGTGGGGTGCAAAGCAGATCGGTTTTACTGAGGTACGTTGTTCCATTCTACGGGCAGAGCAAATCGATTTGTTAACATCGGCATCGTGAACCAGGATGGGACCTGCTGGATTGAGGGCAAACGAAACTCCTACCGGCTCATCTTCTACTTGCCTCTCTGCATTAGTTTTCTAGTGTCCATAGTATCAGTCGCTTATGCGACTTATCGGCTGAACGCATGTGGGAGCCCCCGAGTACTGAAAGCAGCTCGTTCAGCCAAGTCTGGTAGAAAGCGCAACCAACTGATAAGGATCTACTTTATCACCATTGTGTTTATCACAGTGTGGAGCTGGTAAAGTTTAAATGGTTATTCGTTTTATCCAACGGGGAATTCCTTAATTTTTTCTAACAACTTTCGATTCTGGTCTCAAAGGTCCATCATCTTTCGAGCTACCGCATTCAATTCTGATAGCCCACCACCATTGTGGCTCATTTACGTTCAGGCATTCTTCCTCGGCTCTCAAGGACTGTTCAATGCCGTAGCCTGGGGAGTGTCGCTGCTGTTCGCACGTGTCGGTCGTAACAACAACGGTCAAAATAGTAGCAGTAAAAAAAGCAAAGATGGTCAGCCGTCAGCTCCTGGAGGCCAGACTCAAACTCAGATGCAGTCAGTGGGCTCTCCTATCAGTAACCAAGGAGGACATCTCAGCAGCGTAGAAATAGACTCTGACGAAGACATCATTTGAGGGTCATGAGTAGTCATAGAGGTTCAAGCTAATATAAAAGTAAAGTACCAAATTTTAGGAGCTGTTGAAATCGGCTGGGATACAAATATTTTGTACCAGAGAGCTTCAAGTCTGTTAAATAACAGCAACTTGTTGGTGACGTCACGCTAGCAGAGCACGCGCTATGGGGAACGAGAAGAAGGAAAACATGCTCAACGGAATGTTCGAAAACAGAATATTCCAAAAATAAAACATGTTCTATGGCAGCAGTAGAACGCATGCACATCATGATATAGGTGATTAGACTGGTCAATCACATCTTTCGAGCTACCGCATTCAATTCTAATGTGATGACGGCGCTCGATGGTTTGGGTGAGGCGGGTGGCTTAGCTACGCGTCGGGCCTGAAGATTCAGACATGGGATGCCAGGATCGACGCTGGTACAGGCATGGAATGTAAACAATGACTATCCAAAATCCTCAAATCTTGCCCAAAAGACACTGGTAAATGCCTCCACTGAAAGCTACCTAATGAATACCCCTGACCCCCTTCAGTGATCCACAATAAATAACCCATGGTCACATGACATACTATCGAAAATTTTCATCCCAAGCGACCAATGAAATGTTGTCCAATATCTATAAACCCATATCTAGTCTAATGAATAATAGATCTATCCAGTATTTAAAAGATGAGTTGCCCATTTTCCCACAGTCTTCATCTTCAACGATGCCTCCGAAGAAGAAGCAGAAAGTCGACCAACCTGCTATCCTCCATTCATGTCACAAGACATCTTTTGAAAAGGCTTTTGCTGCAAATGATACCTACTGAGATCGCATTCAAAATTATATCCAAATCGTCCATGAACTAGCAGCCCACGCTACTCATGCACTCAAGTTCTACATCCTATCCAGCCCACACTTTCCGATTATCAATGAAACTGTCATGGAGGCGACGCTTTACCTGCTGAATAAAGGTGCAGCTTGGCAGCCAGGCAACATGGCGAAAAAAGATTGCCGTGATATCCTCGTGCCCCATATTGATCGGTACTGCAATGTTGTGGGTTTTACTCGGCCCAACCTGAAATATGATCAACAGTCCATCAACTACCTCACCACCAGTGTCATAACAAACATTAAAGTCAATGTCCAAGAGCATTTTGTCAAAATGCTAGTTAGATTCATCAATTATCGATTAGACGTCAAGAACCAGCAGAAAAGACTATTGGGAGCGGAGAGAATGTCATTTTTCGCCAGATTGCGATATCTGAAACAATTGTTCTTATTAGACGACATTCCACAAACCGATGATCTAGACCTGAGCAATTTGGAAAGTGCATTATTAGAAGACATTTGGAATATTTTGCTTGATCGAGTCATAGGAAAAGAAGGGAAACTCGCATATCTTGTAGCATGCGATCCGCTGTCATTTTTTCCGTCTCACTGTGCATTATCCCGTTTATTCGAACGATGTGGCCTGCCCTTGTTTAATGCCATCCCATTGCGAAGATCGTTTATCCAATCCCATGTTCGCATTGATACTATGATTCTGTATCAACATGTGCTAAAAGTCTCATGGCGAGAATACGACTCTGTTGACAAAATGGACTTGTGGTTGCGTGTTTGCAATCTTGGCAGTAAGGCGTTCACGACGCGTAGTGGAATGGCATTTGACGGATCAATAACGACGGATGGGACCTCCATGTCAGTTTGCCTGAAGCATCCAGATGCGGCAAAATATGGCAGACACAAGCATCGCAACTCAGAACAGGCGATTGAAGCAGATATCAAAAGTCAATATATTGAGAATAATCTTACGGCCTGTCGCAGCGCATCCAACGTCGTCACCATTGATCCCAATAAGCGCGATATACTATACTGTCGGGATCTTCAAAAGAGGCGTACGTTTTGCTATACTTCCATGCAAAGAACCAAAGAGATTGGAAGCAGGAGGTTCAAAAAATCCCGCGAAGCAATGAAGCGTGAGAATGGCATTGATGTCATCGAGTCTGCAGCGCCTTCACATAAAACGATGAATCTCGATAGCTACATTCATTACCTGTCATGGCGCCACGACAATGATGCACCCTTGAAGGACTTTTATTCGCATCCCGCCCATACTAGATGGAGATGGCATACCTACATGAACACCCAAAGAACCGAAGCAAAGCTGATATCTAATATGAGGAAATGCTTTGGTAGTAGTTTTGCTGTAGTAATGGGTGATTGGAGCGATGGTGGGCATACCCAAAAATACCAGATATCATCGAAAACCACTGGATGGCGGAATTGTTTCAAATGCAATCGCATCGATTGCTTCCTATTAGATGAATATCGAACCTCATCAATATGTCCAAGATGCTTATCAGGTGATCATCTGCAAAAGGGATTCAAGATACGACCACACTCGAGACCCTGGCAGCGTCAGAAAGGACGTAGTGAAAAAGTGCATGGCTTGCTAGGTTGTACCAACCCAAACTGCATAGAGCAAGGATGCACTTACCGTTACTGGAATCGGGACAAATTAAGCACGTCTAATATGGTAACAATCATGAAATCATATTTAGATGATGGTGTTAGACCGGCTATTTTTAGTAGACATGTCCCTTTGGTAGCTTAGATTGTCTAGTAGCAGTTAGTTAACTTTTCCGAACCAGTTTACGCTGGTTCATTCCCTGTCGTATAGGCTTGCCTAATCGATAAAGTATGGTTCATTCCCGTATAGGCAAAGTATGGTTGATGCATTAACAGAGGCGTAAGAACCAGCTTTGTTTGATATCGGTATCCCTGCCGTAAATACACTTTTATGATATTGTCATGTTAAATCCATTGAACGCTACAGGCGTCGGGGCCGGGCACTTGCTCGTATTCCAAAATAACGTCACTGTCGTCACCACACATCCAGCCATGACTCACATCATTCTCCTGGAAATGATTGATTTTGTCCTCGCAATTGGCACTCAAAATATCCTTCTTATTCTGTAGCAGAACGTCTGAGCTTCGATTTTAGAATCATGTCGACCAGCAAACAAGAGGTGGGATTCATGGGATTGGGTAAATATTTCGTGCCAGAGATGGTGTCGGTACCTTGATCCAAGACGGACCTCTAAGCGTCCTTCTACAGGTGCCATGGGAAGTGGTACGACTTGTTCTTTTACATGTCTTCCTAGCACATCCATTAGGTTAACGCAATGCAGGCATGGCATTCAACCTCCAAGCTTTTCTCCAAAAATCCGGGCGATCACTGCGTGTTTGGAACCGCACACTGTCCAAAGCCTCTGAGCTAGAGTCTGTGGGAGCTGTAGTCGAAAAGAATGGCCCTAAGGCATTGGCAAAGGAATGTGATGTTTTGTTTTCGATGATGTTTGATGATGCCGCTTTGAAGCAGATTTGTGACGAGGTCGCTGGTGCGTTTCTGTCTTGAGCACGACTACCTAACGCGCCCCACAAAAATCGAATTGATGTTTTTTAGGCGCCCCGCCCAGGAAGGACTTGATATGGGTTGACTGCAGCACAGTCTACCCTGCCTCCACCAAGGAAGTAGCTGCAAAAATGCAGAGCCATGGAGTACGGTTTGCTGCCTGTCCAATGTTTGGCAGACCGGATGCTGCAAAGGCAAAATTGCTTGGTAAGCCAAGCAATGGGATGACTAGGTGGATCTCAGCCAAACATAGTTGAACGGTTTTCACAGTTGGAGCATTCGCGGGAGAGGAAAACCTGAAGCTGGATGTCCGTCCCTATATTGAAGCCATGACCAGAGCCATCATTGATGTTGGGACTGAGCCCCATCTTGGCACTACGCAAAAGGTAAGGTGCTCGTCGCCGCATCAACCGCAACAGGCCGGGTGGTTGACGATGATTCTGAATGAATATCCAGCTATGCGGCAACTTCTTCATCGCTTCATGCATCGAAATGATCTCCGAGGCTGTAACCCTTGCCGACAAGAGTGGATTGTCGAGACAGAACGTCCTCGACTTTATTAACACGTACGTGTCACTACCTCTTTTTCATTTCCAACGTGGTCTGCTTATGTGGCAATCAGTATGCTGCCATGCCCTGTGATTCAAGGCTACGGAACCCGAATCTGCCAAGACAATCTCGCGATTTCTCCCAGCAACCCTGGTTTTCCAGTTAAAGGCGGTTTAAAGGATGTCGGACTGATGCGAAGGTTCGAATAGTACTTCTAAATTTTTTGTCAAGTATTGAAACTGAGCTTATGATTTAGACTCGCTGATGAGACTTCCACCAAACTGCATATCGCCGACGTCATGTACGAACATTTGGAAAAACAGCTAGAGAAGGGGCACGGAGATCTGGATTGGGGTAGCGTAGTGTTGAGTGTTCGGGAGGAATCCGGATTACCTGGTGAAGTAGACAAGTGAGGAGTCTATCGATTGTTAGTTGATGGTGTGACTGATGTATACCAATACGTTTTGGCACTTCGGAAGAATTGAAAATGCATTACTCCTGCCAATGTCCTTATCTACTCGCAGGGTGCAACCGGATAAACTCGTGCTCTGAACGTTCTCAGATTATTCCTCTACTCTCCTAGTATTGAATATTGCGCATGGCATAGCATGGCTGCTGACTTTTTGGCTGAAAGCTACAAAGTAGATTATCCAACGGATCGATACTCCTCGCTTATCCAATCGGCAGATCAATGAAATCACGTGATGTCTCGTTAGATCTTTGCTATCCCCTTCCGACTTTCCTGTGGTTGTAATTTGACACAAGATCTCCCTACAATGTCTGTCGTAGCAAAGTCCGAGCCAGCCTCAATTCAAAAGGTACATTGCGAAGGTCGGACGTAACGAAATGTGGCGGGAGCAGGAAGTCAGTTTAGTTAAACGTATATTAACAACATGCTCGTCGCCCAGAAACCCATCAGTTATGTCAACCTTCTTTTGGGAGGCGCCATTCAGACCTTCGAGGTATCAACGCTTGGACAGCCCTTTGAGGTCGTTAAGACACACATGGCAGGTATGGTCCAGCCAAATCCAGAAAACTCGCCAGTCCACGTTATTGAGTTCTCTGACAGCCAACAGGAACGACTCGCTGGTAACAGCCGTCAAAAAAACGTACCAACGTGGAGGTATTGCGGGATTCTATCAAGGGTTGATTCCCTGGGCGTGGATTGAAGCTTCGACGAAGGGAGCTATCCTTTTGTTTGCCGCGTCCGAAATCGAGTATCATGCAAGGACCAAATTGGGGCTCTCTGGTCCAACCGCCGGAATATTGTCCGGAATGGGAGGAGGCGTTGCGCAGGTGAGGTTTATACAGCTTTCGCTCTGAATACTGGACGAGTGCAATGCGACGTTGACATTACTCCGCATATTTAGGCGTATACTACCATGGGATTCTGTACATTTATGAAGACAGTAGAGGTTACTCGCCACAAGAATCCGGGAGCGGCTGTCTCTACCTGGAAGGTTGCAGGAGATATTTTAAAGACCGAGGGTATCAGGGGATTGAACAAAGGCGTGTCAGCTGTAGCTTTGCGACAAATGACGAACTGGGGCAGTAGAATCGGAATTGCGCGTATCACCGAATCTAGCATCCGCTATTTCCGACCTGAGGGAGAGAAAGCCAACCCTCTCACTGTGTCTGAGCGACTCTTTGCTTCAGTAGTCGGTGGTGCCCTTGCATGCTGGAACCAACCTATTGAAGTGATTCGTGTCGAAATGCAGTCTCAAGTGAAAGACCCCAATAGACCTGCCAAGATGACTCTGTTGAACACGGCCAAGTGGATTTGGCAAAGGAATGGGTTCCTCGGCTTCTACCGTGGAGTAACTCCTCGTATTGGCTTGGGTGTCTATTTGACGGTGCGTATAATCTTTAAATCTTGCCTAGGTTAGCGGCAGTGAGATTAAAATGACCTGTCTCCATAGGTGTGCATGGTATTTGGTGGAGATAGCTTAAAAGCCTGGGTAGCGCAAAAACAGGCAAACAGGCTCGTTTCATCAACTGCCTCCCCAGCGCCCCTCTCCGCATCCACGTCAACCGGGGCTAAACCCGAATGCAAACCTTGTTGTGCTTGCCCGGACACGCGGAAAGCGCGAGACGAATGTGTATTTGAGCACGGAGAAGAAAAATGTGCAGATCTAATCAAGGCGCATCAGGATTGCATGCGGGCGCAAGGTTTTAACATTTGAGCGATTACATATCTATACATTTTTTAGCATGCTTTAGATAGAACCATCGATAGCCATTTTCAGTCGTAATGCGCAGAGCGCGGTATACATGGAATACTCATTGCATCCCTATTCACATATCTATTTGCACCTGGTTGACTTATGCTATCTGAATGTCACCACCCGCTTTTTCACTTCAACAGTACTCGTTGCAGGCGAGTATTTCTCATCTGATGACAGTGCAGCTCTGTATTTCAAGATTCCATGTGGTGCTGAATTTGGTCGTCTGTAGGACGCAGCGGTGGGATGCTTGTTTTTGCCTAGAGTCGATACGCTCAAGTTGGCATCCTCCTTGTTTTGAGTATTCTTGACAAAAAAGGGTTTGTCTTGCCGTGAATCCTTTTTTGCACGCTTTCGGCTCATTCGTCTCCGATCCCGCTCTTCTCGGTCCTTAGCCTTCTTCTCTTTCTTAGCATTTTTCCTCTCTGCATCCTCAGCTTTCCAGTCTACCCAAATCCGCGTCCAGTGATCCCTGGATTCCAACACAGCCCTCCGCTCATAGTCCTGCAAAATTCTGAAGCAAACAACAGCAACATCTTTGTTCTCGTTGTCGGCTTCCATTGGAAGAAGGAGCGCAGGAAGACAGTCAGCATCGTAAAACGTGCGTTTATGTGCGGTATCTCCTTTGGTCAAATAACAATGGATAATATCTACCGCGCAACGCTGGAGGGTTGAAGTGTACTGCGATGAAAGATCTGCCACCAGTTCGTCGATGAAACCATCCACTTGGAAAAATTCATCGAAACAGTATCGATTTTGGAGGATGAGATTGCGTAGGACTGCCATGGCTTCCGCGCGGAGGAATGGTGAGCCTGTGAAGAGGAGTTCAAAGAGCTTGGGCACACCCATACTTGCAATGAGAAGACAAGAGTCTTCGTCTATGCAAAGATTCCGGAGACATGCTAGTGCGTCCAGTCGAAACGGTGTATCGGGAATATCCCGGTCGAAGATGATACGATAAATGTGTGAGAAAAGTGTTGATCGGCCTGTTATTGAGATATCTTGGGCAATAGTATCTGTTACGGCGAGATTACAAATGGTGCAAAGGGCGTGGTGGGTTATCGAGAGATGGATCTTCCATGCTGGGGCGGTTTTATCTTTGTGACTGAGAAGATGAAGAAAATCTGGACAGAATTTCGCTACTTGATGCCGGGCTTCGAGTGGAACATCTAACAGCGCTACATTCCGTAAGCCGGCAATGCTATGTTGCACTATTTGAAGGTCGGTTCGTCCCAACTGTTTTCCTAGAATGGCAACACCTCCTTCTGTTACAAATCGTCGTCTGACCCCTTCTCCTGTCCGTGCAAGGGCATTACGGAGTGCTCGTAGGGCCGCTTCTTCAAATGCATCGGTGCTTTCCGCCGCGACTTGCAGTAGAAGCGGTATAGCTTCTTCAGCTTCTCTGGATGGCGTTATGACAACATTCGCGAACGCGTAAATCGCCTGGTAAAAAGCATTGAAACTTCGGTCAGGAGATCTGCAATACACGGCGGTTTACGCTTAGGGAACCTTACCTCCAACTTTTGGCTGTTGCGCCCCTCTTGTCGTAGCAACCATACAATAGATGGGATGACCCCTTCCGAGACCAACAGCTATTTCATCAAGATTAAAGTTGTCCAATACTGAAAAGCAGTGTTGCAATCATCTTACCAATTTTGCCTCTTCAGAGTGGGTGGTTATCAGTTTCAGGAGACAAGCGACGCTTTCGAAGAGCAAAGTGTGATAATCAAGCAAACTCTGCTGGAGAACTGAAGAGCCGTCAGAGCAGATCAACTTCATATATGTAGCCAGAGGTTTCAGAATGCCCGCATCTAACATTAGGGGTCGCATATCCGTACAGATAGCGGCTTTCTTCAAACACTCTCCAGCCCAATACTGAAGTCGAACGTTCCCCCCCTCCGCTTGTAGAGATCGAATGCATATGTCCATGCCAGTGACCGAGCCGGCATCACCTTCAGCATATCCGCAGAATTTTCGAGCAGCTGTCTCGCCGCCCTCATTCAAATATTCTGAGAAGAATCGTAACCCAGCAATTTGCGGATCTGGGCCGTCGCGTGTATCTGCGGCAATTGATATGATCTTGCTGTACGCACCAGCGGCGAGCAGCGCCGCTGTCCTTGCCGCTGTTGCGGGAGAAGAACCACGAATGATGGTGGCCAGTAAAAGAAGAGTGGCCTCTTTTACGTCGACGTGATGCATGCCTGAACGCAGAAGGAGCATGATTTTTAGGGTTTCCGCCTTGCCTATTTCAAAGGACGTTTCGGCGATGGGTGGGTTGAGAGGCGACCGCAGAAAAGCCAGGATTTGTGATGCAGCTTCTCGTTGACGGGCCGCATATGAACGACTTGTCAAATGCGTCAGCCATGTTGTGATCTGGGAGGTGCTGAGTATCGGCTGTTTCGACGGGGCGTTCTTTAATGGTGAAGCCAGATCGGACACTGTTGGACAGAATGTGGATATTTAAGCAGTGCACGGAATCATCATTAGAGCATACTTGCTGGGCATACTAAATTCTACTGCAGCAACTGCTAATCCGGTGCGTGGCGAACGACAACCATGACAGTTAGAAATAAACAAAGGACTAGAGGACTTCATGTGCTTACATAAGCATTTAGTCATGCTTCACATGACTTGGTGAGTCAAGGGCGTAAATTGCTCTGGGAGCTGCGATTTCACACTTGCGAAGGCAGGAATAGCCCATGCCCAGGAGGACCTTTCACACAATCAACCTTCTCATTGGCTTTGTTCGACAGGTTTGCAATGATATTTTTTTGTGATATTTATGGCCGCCTGCTCTGTGGTCTGGGCCAATGATCTCTAATTTCATGAATATAATAGGGCTCTAGTTCAAACGCCCGCCTTACGACTACATACACCGAATGCAACATCACAATCCGCAACCAGTCTACATTCCGCCTCCTTCGATACTTTCCGATCTCCCCTACTTTGATGATCAACTATATGCCTATCTCCATGAGTCGCCGTTCCGCCATACCTACGACCTCCCCTTACCCGATGACGTTGCGGAAGAGATCGTACTGTCGCTGAACAAGAGAATATGTGCGGGGACTAATGGCTCACCGGAACTCCTCTTTGGGACTTCGTCAATACCGGGTGTGTTTCAAGAGACGGAAACGGGGGCGGCTGTGACGTCGAGAGTAGCGGTCGAGCCTTCAATTACGGAGATCATTGGTGCAAATGCAACTGCGAGTTTACCACCAGAATATCAAGAGTCACAGAGAGGGAAAGCTTGTGGGCATGTATTTAAGAGGGGCGAAGCCGTATATCGATGCAGGTTAGTTCCTCGGTTGAAGCTCGCTTGTTATATACCAGGCGGTATGCGCAAGATTGCTGAACCTGCAACTCTTGGATTAGAAACTGCGCCTTAGACGAGACTTGTGTATTCTGCTCTCGCTGCTTTCATGCGACTAATCACGAGGGACACGACACGTCGTTTTCAATTGCGTCGGGTACCGGAGGTTGCTGTGACTGTGGGGATCCAGAAGCGTGGAGGGTGCCCATCAATTGCACCTACCATTATTTGCACCCGTCTGTATCATCACTTTCTCCCTCTGACCAGCACAATGTAGCAGATATAGCACCTTCCTATACTCAAGTACCTGAGGTATGACTCTGCAAAACCTCCTCTGATACGCAGTAATTGAGACGTATCGTTGATTCCCAATAGGAAGTCATAGCACCAATACGGTCCACCATTGCCACGGTCTTCGATTTCATTCTTGACACTTTGATGGAGGCACCAGTCGACCTAACTCTGCCAGCATCGACCGAAGCAATTGAAGAAGCAAACCCACCCGAAACGCAAGAGCAATCAACTCCAGATGGCTTAGGCCAACCTCAGCTTAAGTTTGCCTGTGTCCTATGGAACGATGAAACGCACTCCTTTCAAGAAGTCATTGATCAAGTTATGGAAGCTGTTCGTGTGGACGATGATGAGGCTAAAGGGGTTGCGGAAGCGGTAGACTTCCATGTAAGGCGATGTTATGAATTGAAATGCCAGATATCTGATACTCACCCTTGCAAATTGAAGGGGCGGCAAGTGGTCAAAGTATCTTCACAATTGCCGCGCCTGCTGAGTATAGCGCGCATCATATCACAGATTGGGCTGACTGTATCGATCCGATCCGCCAGAGAGACCTTTCGGGAGGAAGTAGTGGGGGTGTTGATTGGATGGCTGAAGAACTTGCCGAAGCAGGTAGTGGGAGTGAGACGGATGACTGATGTGACTTACGAGCCTATTGATGCAATGGTCCGACGTCTAATCTGTGAAGAAATGTGTGCAAATCGAAGACAAATCAAAGTCCGATTCACTGGGCGTATGATTTCACCAACTCTTTCAGAAGAGGAGGATGATGTTGCTATTCTGGATCCTGCGGAGGAGGCACATGCGATGAATGACAATATAAATAACGAGAGGCGGGATGCTCAAGTCGAAGCACGACGATATTTGGCGCGGAGCCAAGAAGGGCAACGATTGAGGATCGACCACCTTCTTTTAGCCGATGTAAAATTATGGAAAGAGGCTCGAAATTCCTTACGTGAATTGTATATAGGAACTATGATTGTGAGTGGGGACGAGTACAAGAGAGTCATGGGTGAGTTTAGGACCTTTAAGAAACTCCGTTTCCACAATCTCATCTTTATTCTTAAGGATTCCGATTCGCCCGCAATTACCTGCGGATCGCCAATTCCTATCTATTCCACGACCGGGAGTACGAGCTTTCTATCATAAACTTTTCTGTGCAACTCTTCACCGTACCCACCATAGCACAATATCTGGCAACACATACCAATCTGCTCTCAACCCAGTTTCTGATACTCAAAGCATTTTACCTCTCTGATGTCCTTCCATCCCAGTATTCTTTGAAAGACTTTAACGGATCGGTACGGCTGGCCCGTTACGATATCCGCCCGCACTATCCTAAGCTCAGATGTGAATCAGAGGCCGCAAGGAATAGACGCTATTGGCATCTTTTTCAAGACATTCGGTACCTCCTAACGACTCATCGAGCAAAAGACAGTGTATTTCGCGGAAATCCCGACATTGTGCGCGGCTTCCTCGATATATGTCGGGTCTGGCAAGGCATGCATCCACAACAACGTTATACGAGACAGCACGTGGAATATGAGGACGAACATTGGGTGCATGCTTTCAACCTTAGTTTGCAAGTTGGACGACAAATCAAGTTTGCTGCTGATTGCCTGGGACCAACTGGGAACTCGCCAAGGGATTATAGTGAGCTTCAGACTGCGACAGCATCCACTCTTGCTGTGTTGACTGTGTGGTGCGAGATGGAGCAAATGGATGAGATTAAAAAAGTCCTCTTGCAACAAGGACAAGCTGCGGGACTTGGAGTTAACCACGACCGACGAATACCTGGAAAAGATGGATTGCATTTGGTTGAAGTCGTTCCAGGCAAACCTTTCAGAGTTCCCTTTTTTAGGGTTGCTTCGCAGCCTATATCTTTTCACCACCCCCTACATTGGTTCTTAGCGCAACTCCTCGCTCACGTTCCCAGGGTGCTCCAGGAGATTGGAAACGCGGAACTTGCTGCGAAGGCATTGTATCACCTCTTCGATGAGACGAAAATAGTTCCATTATTGAAGAGTGTAGGCGCGTCAACCAGCGAACACCCAGCGCCAGCCTCGGGAGTCGACCTGAAGCGTGTTTGCAGGATAATGGACTTTCCCTTGCGAGTAACGGTGCTACTTGCACAGATTCGTGCTGGAATATGGGTTCGTAATGGGTTCAATATTCGTTCCCAGGCCCTGCATTATCGTGAAAACACGCTTCGAGAATCGTATGACCAGGATTTGTATCTCCTTCAAGTCTTTTCGATTTTGGTTGGGCCGGACATGTTCATCACGTCGGTTTTGGATCGGTTTGATCTTGTCTCATGGTTCCAAGGTCGCGTACGGGAGGCAGCAGCTCTCACAGCATTGGAACCTGGGCAGCTCACCAATCTTGCTGAGGATCTCTTGCACCTCTTGATCGTCTTGTTGACAGAGCGGAGTAGAATCTGTGCCCATTCACTAGAGCAGGAGATGAGACGAGAGATTATACATCATCTTGCTGTCCAGCCTCAAGGTCTTGCTTATTCTGAACTTCAAAAGCGTATACCCGAACGCCTAGTAGATAGCGCGCCGGAGAGTCCACATGGGAAGTCGTTCGATGATGTCCTCGCCGAACTGTCGGATTTCACGTTTCCAGAAGGGATGAGTGACCATGGAACATATGAACTGAAGCCAGAGTATTATGAAGAGGTCGATCCGTGGTTCTGGCATTACACCCGCAACCAACGCGAAGAGATGGAGGAGCTTTTAACAAAACGAGCCGGGAAACGTCCACAGCGCGGTCCACTGGCGGAGGAGGACTATATCCGACCACCTCGCTTGCAACCAATACCTATAACTACCGGGCATCAGGCTCTTGGAAACTTGGTAAAAGGCGAAGCTTTTGTTCGAGTTCTGTTTTTCGCGCTGTGGAACACATTAGGGCGACCGGACGATAAAGTCATCGATGTGGCTGGGGTTAAGAGTGCGACACTGGTAGCTGAAGCAATTCGATTGTTGATGCTGGGAGTACAGGTGGAGAGAATGGAGAGGGGAACCGGCAGTGCCGACATGCAGCTGCCTCGGTTCATCGATCTTGTTACCGAAGTGCAAATAAGTGTCCCTATCGGTACACGGTCAGGAGAAAGCAGAGAAGCTAAGCAGATGACCTTGCTACAATTCCTGTTGCACATAATGGATCGGGTTACTGAAGAAGAAATCAAAGAGCACACTGCCCGGCTGAGATGGCTACTGCGAAGTTTCGAAGAATTAGGGAGCGAGCTTACGCGAGGTGTCATTGCTGAATATCGCCAACATGCCATAAACGAACGTGCAGGGACCCCAGTTTCTGATACTGCCAGCGCCAGTGACGAGCGCGAACGCAAAAAGGTGGCCGCCAAAGCTGCGGCAAAAGCGCGGCAAGCTGCAATTATGGCACAATTTGCACAAGCTCAGAAAAGCTTCATGGAGACATATGGCGATGAGATGGAGGAGGCGGAAAACGAAAATGATGAAGGCACCGGTGACTGGGACACTGGTGATGATTTGTGGGTCCAAGGTGGCAAGCAGGAGTGGTCCGTCGATAGATCCTGGAAGTTCCCATCTGGACCGTGTATCTTCTGCCAGGAAGACACGGACAAAGGCACGGACACCTATGGTTTACTGGGTCTCGTACAACCTAGTCAAATTCAACGGCACATTGACTTCGGTGATACAGAATGTGTCGCCGGTGTGCTGAGGACGCAGTCTTCGTTAGATGTAGCATGGAGTCGACCCACATCGGGAACATCCTCCCCAAGTAAACAGTCACCCCAATCGTCGTCAATCAATGTGGCCGCAGGGTCGCCATCGAGCACCTCCCCCGGGATGGCGTCGTCATTACGTCCTCTGCTCTCTGGGTATCCCATCTCCCACGATATATTCTCACCCGGTTTGCACATTTCGACCTGTGGTCATGTAATGCATGTAAACTGCTTCCAGCAGTATTATGCATCTGTGCAAGCGCGTCAAACGGCACAACCAACACGAAATCACCCGGAGCAATTGGATCGCCATGAGTATATGTGTCCGCTATGTAAAAGCTTAGGAAATTGCCTTGTTCCTGTACTGTGGACCGCAAGGAAAGAAAAAATCAATTGGGTGCGCGTTGAGAGTGCTCATAACGGGTCCGGTGCGCTGGACGGGTTGCAAGGCTGGTGGGACAGTTCAAAGCTTGGTCAATTTGCGCGGAGGGTAAGGGAATCAATTGTAGCAGGAACGAAGCGAAAGGCGATGGACATAGATAATACGGATGAAATGGAGTATACATCGAGCAACATGAGCATGTCGACCACAACTCCGGAGGAATCCGACGAAGCGCTTCTCCATGCATTAGAACCAGGAGGAATTGCTCAAAGATTTCGCCAGACTGTCTCTCCGTTCATAGCGGACTCGCTTCCACGAAACCGGCGGGACATAGGCGGGGACCATTCTACATATGTCGCGCATTCGGCAAATTTGAACGACTTCCGACCTGTTTTCGTGCGATTCCTCCGTGTACTTCGGCAAATGGATCATCAGCTAGACATCGAGATCGAAAATGCAGAACCTCAAATGCAAGGACTCGATGTCATGTGGGATGCATTCGCATACACGGTTTCCGCATTGGAGATAGGGAGCCGCGGTGTTGTTTCTAAAGTGGAACAGCGTCCACCAAACGGTCAACCGCGAATAGGTGTTATCGATGCAATGAGTCCACACTCCTTGACGCTGCTGAGAGTCTTTAGCGAGTGTATTCTAACCTACACAAATTTGGTAATTCAAGCTGAAGATATGGAAGCGAGGGTACGGGAGCGTGGAGCGGATCTTGTCCGAGACGTGTTTTACGGGTTTGTGGAGATCCCTTGTGATGCGTCAGATCTGGTGAAAATGGAAGATGGTGACTTGGCGCCATTCTTACTCGCTGATCTCCAGAACGCTTTTAGTCAACTGTGCTTTACCACTCTCCCAGCTTTCGGAACTTGTGAGATGGAGGATGTATTTAAGTGGTGTGGAATCTTTTTTGTGGCCAAAGTGGTGAAGGCCATCAGCGGAATTGTGGAAAGTGTAGGGATGCGAGGTGAGAAATGGGCGGACGTGGCAGACTTGGGCCGGAGAGGGAGGGATGAAGGACAATCTGAATCGGACGAAGAGATTGAGATGCGGATGTTTGTTCATTGGATTTGTGAGAATTTAAAAATGCGTGGAGACATAAGGGATGCCGTTATGGCCAGACTTAACATGGGGATGGTAGCTGGCATCGTACGCAGAATCGCCCTAGTATTTTTGCGATTCCTGGTGATTACAATTTGGGCGAGATTTGGCATTGTGCCACCTGATGCCGAGGACGAAATGAGCGATGTTACAACAGGAGAAGAGGAGGAAGAGTTCGAACGCCTGAGAAGATTTCTTCATCTGCCATCTTTGTGGGAGCTCTGTTCGAGAAGGACAATCAATGACGGATTTTTAAACCGACTCATAGCGGGATGGTGCACGCATGTAACGCACTTTGACGATGATCTGTTCGGCGGCCCTCCACATCCATCACTATTTGGTGATCCGTCCTTCGGGCCAAGCCATCGCGATAATATGTCTCAGCCGAACTATGATTCCCGGATACTTCTTCTACCTGATCCCGCAATCCGTGAACTTGTCTCACTTCCATACCGCCTTGACACCTTGTTTGAAGAGAGCCTGCGCCGTGTGTGTCGCAAGTGCAGTCAAGTTCCCTCTGATCCCGCTCTGTGCCTAATATGTGGGCTGTTTGTGTGTAGCCAAAGCTTCTGCTGTCAAGAAGATGACCGGGGCGAGTGTAATACACATGCCAGGATGTAAGTGTTCATTTGCCTCTTCTTATTTTGCCCTATACTGTAGTTTATACATATATCCTTAGATGCGGCGGTGGCATCGGTATTTACTTCATCATCAAAAAATGCGTCGTCCTGCTGTTGCACTGTGACAATGGCTTTTTCATCAATCCTCCATACTTGGACGCACATGGGGAGGTTGACCTTGGGCTACGGTAATGATATGATCTTTTTGGCTAGATTGCATCACAGTGTCAGCATACAGGTTGCTGACATGGCTATTTAATTCTTAGGCGCGGACGTCCACAATATCTCAACCAGCGACGGTACGACGAAATCCGTAAGCTGTGGTTAGCTCATGGCGTACCCAGCTATGTGGCGAGAAAGATTGAGCAGAGCTATGATAGAGGCGGATGGCAAACTTTGTAAATTCATTTGTTCATTTCGTCAACACTGTAGATGTAGGTAAAAAAAGCTTACCCCAGCAGCCCAGCTTACCCGAAGTTCACTTAAGCGTTCCATATTGTTCACACATACAAACTCAACATCATATTGTTATCCATATTGACACCAGTGCGAAACGAGGACTTCCGCTCCACAAAATCAAATATGCTGTTCTCCCCAGCGAAAACCCCAATTATTATCACACCATCTATGTAGTCGACTATTCTCCTTTTACAATTATGACTGTCGAGTTCAATTCGCGAGCGAGATAATCGGATACACTTCCTAGGAGGACCCTTCAGGGGAAGCAGCGTCAAGTCAGCAAGAAGGAAGACGGGATTGAAATGATGCATGCTACCCACCTTTTGACGGCCCCAACACTTCCACGCCGACCTACGATAACCGCTGTTGCATTGATATCGTTCGCCAAACCCTTGATGACCTCTCTTGGGTCACCCTTCACAACGGACGCCTTGACTTTAATCTCTTCCTTAGCAGCCGCAAAAAAGTTTCTGCACATTTCCCTCACAACTGACTCAACGTCCCTCTCTAATGTTTTAAGCATTTCTGGGGTCATGACATTGGTGTATCCTGAATGCCCTGCTGCACTAGAGTCAAGCTGCTTTGACGCGTGCACAACGGTAATAGAGTCCCCGGGCACAAGGAACTGGCGGAGAGACCATGCGAGAACCGGTGACGATTGGATGCCGTGCTTGGTTATACTATCGACGCCAATGATGATTGTTCGGTTACCCGGCGTTGCAAACGCTGCCGACATTGTTAATTCTTGGATAACTTTGATGGACGAGCGGAGCGAAAGCTAACGAAAGCGGACATTTTGATTCTGATGACACATTGTGAATCGGGGAATTTCATTGTTAACCGCATTTAATGCTAGAATGTATTCGAACCGCGAGCTGTCGGACGGATGTCGTGATCTCGACAGCTTCAGGATCTCTAGCGCTCCAATGTTAGCTGCAGGTTTACTCAATTGCGTGCGAGCTCTCTATGAACGTAATGTAATCCTTCAACGCCACTTAGCCGACAATGCATAGATTTGTACAAACGTGCTGGCACTCCAGATCTAATGTGGGCTACTGCGATATTAACTCAAATTCGTGCGCCAATGCAGTGCGCTGGTATATTTGACGTGGTGTCTTAAGGCCACGCATTAATGCTGGAGGACGTCACGAAGTACTTTTAGAAAACTGCCTGGGACTTTGTACAATCACACTCTTATTTTGTACAGATAAAAATATAATTTAATACTGGTGAACTGGTCTTCTTCGTTGCATGCTTTACACTGCGTTCACATTTTGCGGTGGTCGTACATTAGCGCTTATCCGAAAACCTTGCTCGTCACCTCTGCCCACCGAGTTCGCGTTAGTGTCGAAGCTGTGTGCATCAGGAGAAATCATCAATCTCACCCCTGTCTTCTGTCCCTTCTCTCTTTTTCTAATGCCGCAGCGAGTTTGTGATTTACTGCAACGACCTCTTTCAGTTTATTTCGGAGGTCTTTATTTGTTTTTCGGTAATTTGCCAAATCATGGGCGAGCTTCTCAGCGTCTTGCGCGTTGATGGAGCTGCAGAACGGACTATCTTTAGGCAATGAGTAAAGAGAAATGCGTTTCACTAGGTAACACTAACCTGTCTGTTTGCGTCTCAATGTCCCGCACAGGACGATTTCTCTGTGGAAATGAAAAAATAATCCATCTTAAAAGCTGGCTATCGAAAGCAAGGCTAGTTAATATGATACGCACTTGACTCTCGGTTCGACCATTGCCCATTTCAGTGTTTCCTTCGTCCACGAGATTCTGCAGCCGTGACAGCTCACGGAGGCAATTGATCACCAGAGACCGAGCTTCAGGCAGCGTCGCAGATTTCTATCGTGCAATTCGTCATTTATGAACGCAGGCTCCACTGTAAAAATCAGAAGAAGTTGGTCCTTACCAGATCTTCACAGAGCTCTACAATCTCCGTTCTGTTTCCAAACTCCCTTACTAGCGCTTTGTAGTCGATATCATCAGGTACCTGTTCGTCTTTTGACTCATCCGTGTTTAGTAACGCTGCGTATGAAGATCATAGTAAGTTCCAATGATGTCTAATCGATGTGAGTGGCGGACACAGGCCCATACCTTCTGCACTCTTCTTTTCCCGTTTAAGGTCCTCCAATTGCCCTGCCAACTCGTCCCTTTCTTGTCTAATTTCTTCCACACGCTCTTCGACGGCCTGTCGCATCTCATCCTACGCCTGTCAATGATAGTACACACGATAGTGCTTGATTGGCTTCACTTACTTCTGGGCTCAGGTCCTCCAAAATTAGCTCCCCCTCCTCCAGCTCTCTGTCGAGACCACCTACAGCGAGTCTCAGCTCTCGAAGCTGTGTGCTGATGGCATGATATTGCTTAAAATTCTACCCGACAACTCAATACAAAGCTTGTGACGATAGATGATCTAAAATTTAAATTACCTCCATTTCTTTTGCTCGCGCCTGCAATGACCGCTCAATCTCCACGATATGTTCCGCATTGACTTCCAGTGGCTCAACAGCATCCTGAGATAATACAGTTTCCTCGGCCTTCTCGTGGCGTGTATCAGCGGCCTTCGACCGTCTTTGAAGGAAGAAGTCGCAATGTTGGCACCACGATACTCTCGCACCAGCGACAATCATATAAAGTCCTTGAACTTACCTCTCCGGCAATTCTGGACCGGCACTCTTTGCTCTGCCATCCTTCCGTCCCTTCAACGCCGACATCTCTTCCGTTTTCCGATCTAGTTTCTTTCGTAAAACCTCATTTTGCTGATCCAATTGCCTGATCTTTCGGTTATCTTCTTCATGTTGTTTCTTCAAAGATGCAACTTCTTTCGCACGCCGAGAATCTAATTCAGTTGCCTTTTCTGATTCTGGAATAACGTGAATCAGGGCCAGTCATGCATAAGGTGCAGCAACGCAAACTTCGAGATGAGTTCTCACCTTCCTTAATCTTCTTTTTCAATGCAGCAATTTGGTGTCCTAATTTGGTCACTTCTTCCCTTAAATCTTGCGCTTTGCGATCCGCAAACTCTTTTTCTTTGCTAAGCTTCTCCCAGTCTTTCTGCTTGGCTTTTAGTTTGGAAACCTAAAGACAACATTTTATATGAGCTGACCTGCATCGTCACAATGAAGATGCAGGGTCCCTACCTGAGTTTCCAACTGTTTAACTTTTCGTTCGTAATCGTCCTTCAGCTTTTCTTTCGCAGCTTCTTTCTCTCCAACTTCATATCGGGTCTTTGTGATCTCCGATCTTGCGTGATCGAGTTCACGTTCAAGTTTCTGGATCCGTTCCGCATGGTGATGACGTAGACGCTCAGCTCTGTTGCAGCGGATGAGATCCAATACTCAACCGGATACCCGACGCAAACAAGATACCCACTGCTTATGAGCTTTCGTCAAGTCTCTTGCTACCTCCACTCTAGCTTTATTCGCAACTTCTAGCTCTCGTAGGAGCTGGGTTTGAGCTTGTGGAACGGGTGCTGCCTCTGCGATCTGAGCATCGGGAACAGGAGGGAACGAGTGATTCTCGCTGGGGACGGTGAACGAAACTTTACTTTAAATTGACCTACTTGATCTCACATTTGCTAGCTCACCTTGTGTGTACAGGGAACATATCCGATCCTTCGTTCTCAGCGTCATATACAGTGTTGTTTTTCGACTGAGGGACGTCTTCTTCGTCGCCGATTTCCGTGCGGTCGTCCTGCAGATATATCGTTACAAACGTTATTGTCCGAATGAGGACCAGCGTGGACAATAACAAAGCGAACCTCGTCAGCATCTGAGCCTTCGTTCATGAAGGCGTCAGACTCGGTCTGGTCGTCCATGTCCAGCTCTCTGCTTAATCGTTCGTTCTCGACCCATATCTCATCCATCAGCTTTTCTGGGTCTAGGGGCCAGCGTCTACTAGCCTTTTGGATGCTCTCGTCATTCACGGTTTCATCCGGGGAGCGGTCAGCTTCGCCTGGAACATCAGTTATCTTAGCGTCATCGGGAGGATGATCCTCGTTTGGAACTGAAGCATGGTCCCGCGATCTCCGCAACCGTTCAACTTCAGCATGTAAGGCATCGTTTTCCATGATGACTTCAGAATTAACTCTTTTGAGCATGTATTAGTTTCCAGCATATATCTCAACGTGCCTGGATCGTTAAACTCTACCCACCTTTCCATTCTCTCAATTATTCGTCCTTTTTCTTCCCGTAGCTCGTCCAAGCAACCTCTTAATCGTTTTACCTCCGCCTCACTATCAAACAACTCGTCTTCTAGCCGTCTGATAGCCGCGTGCTGGCGATCGATGAGCGCGGCATTGGCAGGATCTGGCATACTGTCGTAGCAAAAGCAATAAGCCACGGTGTATCAGAACTGGTTAGGTACAAAGGATCCCATACCTTACTTTCCGAATTCTTCGCCTTTGATACCCTCGGCCAGATCCAGATCCGGCAGATGACGGGCGTGAGATGGTTATATCTGGCGTCTTTTCAGTAGCGGTTAATGTAATCGATGCCGGCGAATCGAGAGACTCAAAATACGTTGAGCGTACCTCAGGGTTACTTTGACTCAGCGGCATCAGGGAGCCTGGCCAGGGAACGTCGGTACCAGCGAACTGTGCATTCTCCGCATCGTTGGGCTTATCGAATCTCTCCAAACAAATCCTTTGAAGATGCGGCCAGTATTAGACAGCGTTGCAGTCATGGATATTCCGCCTAATGCCATAAAAATACGGACATACCCCGAATCTGGCCTCCATCTTTTGACTACGCCTTTGACACCGTCCCCAACTTGAACATTTTGGCCACTTAGGATCCCCACCACCACATCTACAAGTAAGCCGGCATCGCGAACGACCTCATTTTTCTCCGTCCTTAGATTCTGTGGAGCGGGCGGGTAAGGATCTCAAGAGTATAATTGTGGCGGACGTGGCGCGTATTCACCTGCGTCTCTGTCTCCAATTCTGCCACACGTTGATTTAGAACCTCGCGTTCCTGAAGAAGATCGTCTAATTCTTCCTGATGGCTTGCTTGTAGTTCGGAATACTCATCCTACAATCCGTCCAAGCATGAAGCCCATTCTGCGATGTAGGTGTCATGGTTATGCTTACGCGAAGATGGTCCTCTAACTCTGTGATGCGCTCAGCTAATGCATCTCTTTCCCGAGTAACTATTTCCAGTTCCTTAAGAGCGCCTGATACAGAGAAAGATATAATTAACTACACGGAAGATGGTCTTTTGCACCAGACCAGTGCTTACGATTTGCTTTGGAGGTGCGTACTCTCAGCTCTTCGACAAATCCTTTCATCCACTCTCCGTCCGTATCGTCTTCGTCATCATCTACGAGAACATCCTCCGGTTTTGCCTCTTTGAATCCCTTCAGACGCCCTTCAAGCAAGTCGATTCTCTCTTGCATGGAGACCATTTTAACTGCCTGATGGTCAATGACATTGATGATTGGTTTGTTTTGGATTTTCCGCGCGCGATGGGCATATCTAAATTGAGGAACAAGCCAATAAGGGAACTGAATCCGGAAGTTCCTATTGGTGAGGTACCAACTTGAGTGTATTTAGAGTTTCGTCCACATCTTCAACCGCCGGACTAAAATGTGCAAAAGGAAATGGTATATTAGCAACCATGTAAGATATGGTGTAGAAACATGCGAGTGGGCGCGTTTAAGACGAAGAGCGGTATTGCCACTATTTACCTAACGCACGCAATCATCACCGTCTGCAGGATTACCGAATAGAGTGAGTACAGTCCTCGAAAACCATTTTAACCCGAGCGGGAAACAAACGAACCTTGGCATTTCCACCAAGTGAATCCTGTAGCAGCCTAGCATGAAGAAAGGGTTAAGTCTCCAATCACCAACACTTTCCCGCTTCTCATTGACCTTGTTAGCTTTGATTCACGGTACGGTACGTGTCTGTCTTTGATCGGACTCCCGTCACCCAACCTACTAATTACGTTTCCAAGGGCAAGGAGACCAGTGTTGATCTATTGGAGTGATGGGGGTTTATCAATGTATAAAAGGAGGGATGTGGGGCCACTCCGTTTTACCTTGACAGATTCTTTGAACCGTATACCCGCTGCTCCAGTACGCTTCAGTCTTTCTGACCCTATCACAAGAAGTAATTGACTTGTCGTAAGATGACCATCAGAAGTAAAAGCCTGAGGAATGGGTTCCCTACCAGCTAGATCTACAAGGCAGAGTTTTGATACCCGCAGGGCTGCGCCATCCGGTGCCAGCTGCTCAACCATCAGCATAAATATAGCGTGGGAGCGGCTAGATTTGAGATGCATTTGCGTGTCTCCTGTAGTACGCTCGATGGCGCCCGACTCTAAAAGCCTGTTTTTTCCTTAGTATTGAGCCTTAACTGGAGAATTACCGCAAATTACCCCAGCGCTTCTTCCGCCGTTGATACAATGACTTGTGATAGCCCACTAACTATTGTGACGCCATGTTTATCTTTTCGAATAGATAGATCTTTTGGATCACTGGATGGCATGAGAAGGTCACGGATCTGGATACGGTGATCCGCAATACAGGATCAAAAGCGCCCGGATTAACCACTGATTCTAAAACATCAACTAGAAAAATACGTACCTGTTCCTGGTATATCTCTAGAAATGAAACTCTGACTGCGTAGTTGACCATTGCATCCGTGCGCTTTCTCTCCTACGTTTCACGACTTTAGAGTCATATCTACATGCGCGCACTGGCAGTTCTAATATACCTCAACTCGATCAAATATCCACTCAACAGCCCTTGGTATGATACCCTTTCTCTCATTTCCCACGCTACCAGTGTGATCCGATCCCATCGTAAACGTTTTCCCGCTACTTGTCTGCCCACTTGTATATGAAGTTATGCAACCGATCCCAAGTATATGGGACCCGATGTCGAGAGACTTACTAAGCCAAAATGGTTCCATTTATTCCGTCCAACACCCCTTCCACGGCCCCCCGCACCCCGTCCCAAACGTCCTCTTGGCCCACAGTGGAGTCATAAACAGCATCGTAGGAAAAGGTTCGGAGCGCGGGGGTACGGAGAGTTAAACTAGAGGGGGGGTCAACGGAAAGTGCGGTTTCACTTTCTATTGGACGAACCTAAAAGTATGATGCTAGATATCTTAGAAAACAAAGTGACAGCAAATTGCCGAGTCGAACATACACGAAGAATGACCCGAATGGGGATAGTTGGAACGATATCCGAAGAGGCCATAGAAGCGATATTGTAAAGGGACCCTTTAACAACTTGAGTTCCAAGTCTCAAGAGTGTTCCTATGTGACAATAGGCATTTCCCCGGGACGGGATCTACAAAATGTGAGCTGGTGATCTCCAAATGCTGGACAAAGGTCTGAGCACGGAAACGCGTCCAGACAAAATGCGGACATCATCACCCAACTCCGAGAAGTGTGGCTCAACCCTGAAGGGAAGTGCTGCATTTACAATCGTCCATTTATTGCCACGCGCGCGGAATTACTGCGAATATGTCAGTGCAAGCGATATCGTCTCCGAATGCTCGAGTACCTACAGACGTACTCAAAAAGGTTCTGGAAAGCGGTATGTGAAAGGGCATAACGAAGAGCAGAGGTGACATTTCAAGAACTCGAACGCGCAGGTGAGCTCACACAAGATCTTGAGAAGAGGCTGTTTGAATTAGCGAGTGTTGGTAGGTACTTCCGTGAATCATATTCCAGTAAACTTTCATGCGAACGAGCTTTGACCCATATTAGCAAAGACAAGATCGTATTCGCCTTATAGCAAGTTCCGCGTCGGCGCTGCTGTATTGGCGAAGTCAGGCAATATCTGGTTGGGTATGTATTCTAATTCACTCTGGTTTCAACGGTCGTGTTAATTGGAGTATGATTTCAGGGTGCAACGTGGAAAGCGCCTCCTATGGTGAGCGGGAGCCGATTCTTGGCGTTACAGCTGCGGAAGGAACCTGATACGTTCAGATTCATAGGGGCAACAAGATGCGCGGAGCAGACTGCGTTTCTCAAAGCTGTGGTATGTAGGATTTATGGAAGAGCATCCAAGTTCGTTATTGTGACATTGAGCGGCCGTTTTAGAGCGACGGTGACAACAGGTTTATCGCAGTTGGAGTAACGACGTAACGTTTGTCCATTTTCGCTTTGATCACCGAATCCTATGTGCACGCCTGACATCTGCAAAAGGGATACAGACGCATATATATCTCCGTGCGGGATATGCAGACAGTTTATGGTTGAGTGGGGCAAGGAACTCTTGGTGCGTAGCCACTAGATCCCTCCTGAGAATTCCTCGATAGCTCATGCTTGCGTTAAGGTGTACAATTTTAAACCGGATGGCAGCTTTCGAAAGTATAAATTGAAAGATCTACTACCTGACAGTTTTGGGCCAGATGACTTGGATCGACCTCGTGAGGGAATATAGCATTAGTTCTGTAGGATACTACTAGCAGAATACGTTTGCTGAAACTTAGTACGCGGCAGGTATATTGAATAAAATCTTTCACATGAATTTCATCTAATACAAACTATAGTAGTTCTATTTACGTAAAATGTGCGTTAATTCGTTCTAGTGTAGGATGTTCACATATTTTCGCCAAAGTAGACCCCGGGAAGCGAAATTACAGTGCCAGCTGGTACTCCTTTGCTCGGAGCTGCAGGACAATAGTCCACCGAGTATAATGCTCGAAGATCGCGGCGATAGGAATGGGCTCCGGCGGGCACTTCTGCCTGTGAAGACGGAATGAATGAATCCGGTTCAGCAGTGAGAGCTTTTCCTTTTCTATCGGAATATTCATCTGGTGGCTCGCTTGGGCGATCTGGTAGAGGTTTGGCATCTGATCGTACCGCTGAGGGAGCCTGAACGCTTTTCCTCAGCTGGGGAGTATTCTTTCGCGTCTTCATTCGTGTGGAATGAGAAGGCAGCCTGCCATATTCCTCGCTTCGTGCGCGTCTCAGAACCCTTGACGTTTCCACGTCAGGTCCTTCATCCTCGATAGTCATATTCATCCACGCCTGGTCCACTGCCTTCAAAATTGGATCACGTTCTTTGGCAAACAGGTCCGTAAGACGACTTCTCCATGTAAGGTCGTCGACAGATCGACTACGATTACAATCGCGCCGTCCTGTGGATGATGGCACCTTCTTAGTGAACAAGCGTATGGAAGATGTTCCTGGTTTCGAAAGCTGACGGGAGCTGACAAAGTCCGCAGGCGGGTATTCTAGCTGGGGGGATGCAGGTAAAGGAGTTGGGATTACTACCACCTGCTGATCGATGGTTTCGAGGGCTTGTTGAGGCAACTTTAATTGCTTGCCCGAAAATTTAGTCGGCTTGCGTCTAAGAAGCGCCGAAGCCATTCTTGGTAGGGATGATCGTTTTTGCTCAGGTGGGCCGATGACTGATGTCTGCATTGGTTGGGAATCCGTGGGGAAAATGCTGCAATCATCCGCCTCTTCCGGCAAAGGCTCATGCTGCGAGGGCGTTACAAGATTGTCAGGCATGTTGCTCACTTCGAAGCTGGTAGCCGGTTGTGAATCAGAAATGGATAGCTCAACCGTTTCTTTCTCTGGTAAAAATTCTGATAAAGGCTGAACTATGTCGTCCACTCCATTGAAGTTGTATTCATCAGCTAATTTACGTTCAATGAAAATCTCATCAGTCAACCGTCCTTCGTCGATTTTGACGCATATGCCTTGAAAGGAACCCCGCGGTGCATTCACCAGAGGTGACTGAATGACAGGCTTCGCTTCAGTTTCACTTTGAAAGGAACCCCGAGGTGCATCCACTAGAGTTGAATGAATGACCCGTTTCGCTTCAGTTTCACTTTGAAAGGAACCCCGAGGTGCATCCACTAAAGTTGACTGAACGACAGGTTTCGCTTCAGTTCCACCTTGAAAGGAGCCCCGCGGTGCATCCACCAGAGTTGATTGAACGGCAGGTTCGCCTTCGGTTCCACCTTGAAAGGAACCCCGGGGTGCATCCACCCGAGTTGATTCAACGACAGGTTTCGCTTCAGGTTCAGACTTTTCCTTTCCTACATTGGAACCGAGACGCACAACTGACCGCCGAAGTCTGTCTATCATGTTTGTCTTCTGAGAACGCTGTTGGTGCCAGATTGATTTCCTGGGTGCGTCGGATATGGACGGCGGCGGCGGAGGAATTGAATGCGATCTTTCACTGCCCTGATATGATACCCGTGAAGGAGCTCTAGCAGCCGCCAGCTCTTCAACAGTTTGTTGCAAAACAGTCACTTGTCTGCTGAGAGTTTCCAAGATGGACAGTGTCGAGTCTAGTGCTGCTGAATTGACTGGTTGTGCGGTAGGATTCACCTCAGCAGCTAAGGCAGGCACCGCTTCAGGCATACTCTTTGTCTCACTCATCGAAGACAGCACCATCGTGGCCACGGTTTGGATGTTAGCGGCAACCATGGTTGATTCTGCAATGGCGTTCGTGTGCGCTTCGGTGGCCTTGTCGAATTTCTCCAGAGTGCAATCGTCTGCATGCTTGGGTGGAATGATGTCTTCTGGTCTGCGGCTTGCCAGTTCTTGAGTATCCTTTTCTGATATGCTAACCGGTAACGTTGTCGCCTCCTGTATCGACGGCGGTTGCATCGCTGGCGTAGTGTTCTCACGGTCATGGGTGTCAGAAGGCAGCGCTTCTGGCGTCTGTGGATCAAGCTTTACTTTCTCATCACGTTTGGCAAATGCGTCGGTCAGGTGCGTCAGGAGACTGTTCAATGATTGCCGCGAAAATCGGTTACGCTTTCGCTTTTGGCGAGTCGCATCCAGATTGGCCGTGGCCGATATCTCTTTCTCTGCGCATCGGGCACAACTTGACCCTGGGCGGTGCGTAACCTCACTGGGTGAGGTCTTGTCGGAAGCAAGCAGTTGCAATGCAGGGATCTTATTGTTCTCTGTATTGTCATCTTCGGGTCGAGGTGCCTTCGTGTCGTCAACGTCATTCGCCTGCTCTTCACAGCCATCCATCATAACCACAGGGGAAATATGATCGACATCGTCATCTATGTGTGCGACACAATTCGTTGACGGTATGGAAGGTTGTGAATTGTCCAATTCTGGCACATCCTGAACGTTGTCGGCTGGCGCCTCCACGGTGATCGAGGCATCTGCAGTACAAGCCTGCACGGGGGTAATATCATTTTCAATGCTATCACACGTCATTTCGTCCACTGCGTATGTATCGGGCGCCGCCGTTTCCACGACCATAGTGCAACCTTCCAACTCGTTGTTGGATTCCCGTACTTGGATGTCCGATACCGCGATCTCGGAGATGGACCTTGTACTTCGACGCAACGTCGAATTAGGGCGTTTTGGTGTCAGTGTCAGACCATCTGAGGCTTCAGACGGATATCCGTTGGCCGTTTGAGCGTCGTTACTGGGAGGTGCTTTGGAGACCGTACCCGCTTCCGTCGTGTTTTGGACAACAAACGAACATGAATCGTCTTTAACCACAGAATCCTCATTGTGATGCGTTTGGTTCATCATGTCCTGTTTCTTCGTCTCTGGAACGATTATACCAGCTTCTTTTCTGCGTGTAATAGACCCAGCAGCTTTTGAAGCGTCCATAGCACTCTTCAACAAGGTATGTAGCGATGTCTTCGACCTTCTCACCCTCTCTATAACTCTGTCGTCCAGTGGGCGTTGGCTGGGGACCGTATCGGATGAACGAGATCGCATGTTGGCAAGGTCGGGAATTTTTTCAGAGAACACTCTGGTCGCAAGTTGTAGAGACCGTCGAGGTAGTTTGCTCCCTTCAGAGATCATTTTGTTGATCTTCTCATTAGATTTTAAGCCAAGCTGGCCCTCACCCAAGGCAGTCTTTGGTGACCCATGTTCTTCAGCGCTGCTGCCCTGGGAGGTTTGAGATTTCGACCGCACGGCAAATTTCCCATTGAAAATGCCAGCAAATTGAGCAAAAGACGGTCGAGAATACCTATCATCCTCCCAGTCAACTCTGGCCATTGTGTCTAAAGAGGCTGTATCGGTCAGAGCAATGCCAGAGTCTGGGTGCGGCCGAGATGGCTTGATGGCTTCTTGTGGCAGACTTGAGTGTGCTCCTTCCGATGTTACATTGTCATTTTGTGGTTTCACCAGAGGGTTTGAGTCCTCCGGAGAGGAGACAGGAATGGGTTCAATTTCTCCTGGTGCTATCTGCCCTGCAGGACTGCGTGGACGTGACTGAACATCAGGTGTAGGTGAAGTGGAGACGTTTTTGGTGGCGTTGGGAAGGGAAAGCGACAGCTCTTCAACATGGTTGTTGGAGCCATCGACGTGTGTCGCGAGAGCAGGGTGTCGTGGAACTTCATCATTCCCGGACTGGAGAAAAGACATTGAAATGTTTGATTCCGGACTTTCCGCACTGCTCAAACCAGCGTCGACGTCATGGTCTTCAAGATTTGTCGCTTTACTGTTGGATGCAACGCCGAAATCGATGGATGAATTATCCTCCACTGTTTGTAAAGGCGGCACATGAGTGACAGAAGGCAGCACCTCTTGCGGGACTGCGGCTTCTAGAGGAGTCACGACCGTTGATTCAGACTGTGTATTTTGCGCCAACGTCACGTCCGCGTGGTACATTTCAATTGACGCTGGGACGGAGACTGTCTCGACTACAGGGAGCGGACATTCATCCTCAGACCGCGTGTCAATGCCGGTCAGAACGCTGTCCGCTGGCGGTACACGGGATGGCATGTTATCCACAGTAGTAGAAGACGACAAAGAAAACTTTTGTACAAGCGTCTTGACTGACACATGCGTCGGGTAGGAGTCCACGACCTTAGCCGCATTGTGGTCAGACAGTATTGCGATTGCGTTAACGGCGCTCGATATCGTCACGGTCTCCACATCCTGCGCCGGATTATGCTCCGCTGCTTTGGCAGCGGTACTTTCATCTATCTCGGTTACAATATGATCGATCGAACGTGGGCTAAGGTCGGTATCATGCTGGAGTTCAAGTGAGGGAGTTGGAAGATTGGGTGTCGATGGGCAGGCTTCACTCTCGCAATGGGCCGTCTCGTCAAGTACAGGAGCCGGTCCGACAGATCCACTAGTTTCACCGACCGCTTCTTGAACGAGCGTAGAGGAGAGCGGAACAGGTATCACCACCCATGATGGCAAAGGAGCGACATCATCCTTTGGTGGCAGAGGGGGAGGGAGATCGCAGTCCCCATTATAATCATTATAACTCTTGCCCTTCTCATGAATGACCGTAACGCGGTCCCGACCGGCTTTGCTCCTTTCGCGACTCAGTCCTTTAAACCTTCTTCTGGTGTGACGCTGTTGGAAGTTTATGGTTCGCTCCCGCAGAATACGAAGACGAGCGCTGAGTGACACTATTTTCCGCGCTACATACTGTTCAGGACTGACGCTCGAAAAGGAAGATAAAAAGGACGTGCTGATCATGACTGGGGAATATTTAGTTGGCTAGACAATCTTCTCAAATGATGTTGAACCGAAGGTGAGGATAATCGGTGCCGGGGCAAGCAATTAGCACACATAAAGGTGATGCTTGCAGATCATGGCCCAAAGACCAGACTGAAAGCTGCTGGCACACCAAACTATCCGACAGGAACAAGAATCGCAAAGAGGGGGGTTTAAAGGAGCTCCGTTGGGCCCCCATTCATCTTAAATCCCTCCTGGTGGGGCGGGGGACGTCGGGAAATCTGCCTACTGGCCTTCATCTGCCCACACGCCGCAATTAGGAATTTCCAGTCTATGAGCGGCGGGAAATTCTTCTTGGCCCGCCATGCTTCTCAAATCATGCAGTAAGAAACTGCAAAAGGGAAGATAGCCCAAACCACCACGATTCCTGCATGTGCTCTTGGCTTTTGCTTCCGATTGCCGCGGATAAAAACAATGGCAGGCGGAAGGGAGAAGGCGAACGGGAAATTGAGCCACGATGAAAGCCTCGCTTACTTGTAACCTAAATTTTATAGTTTTAACCAAAATGTCCTAAAGCCACGTGCCTTTTACTTCATTTGCAGCTCGTTTTCCTGCAGGCCAACTTTCAAAACGTGCGAAACCCGCCGTTTAGGACGGAAAACCCGCAGGCAGTTTTTGCGACGCAGCCCATGTGTGAGCGGCTGACAGATTGTATGGCAAAAGACAAACTCGTACTAGGATATCTCTAGGGTGTGTGTGGCGCGATTTGCGTGCGCGGATGGTGGAAATGGTTGGGCGATCTTCAGTTTTAACCATATGCGTGGCAGCATCGGTTCAATTGGACCACGGATTGCCTCCGCCTCACTAGCATTTTTTCTTATCTCCTTCTCGCTCTTCTGCACGTCCATGACATCATGGTCTGAATTTTCATCAGCAGGTGTTTGCAAGTAGTGGAATGCATGTGGAAAGCAAGCCTACTCCGCAGAGAATTGTCACTCCATAGACAAAGTATAATGCATGCTTCATGCTTGTCCGCTGGGTTGATAAAGTACGTTTCCAGAATGGGAGAGAGATATGCCATGTTGACAATTGTTGGTAACATGCAGGAACGCCATGACACATGTCCAAAGACAATGTCACGCCGCCCGAATTGGAACATTTTGCCTACTGTGGATTGAATCTAAGCGCCAATGAGACATCTCCCGATGCCCGCCCTAAACTAATAATGCCCATGATGGCCGCCAGGGTCTACGCCCAGCTCACAGTATTGGTCGATCCGTTTGCAAGCGGGAAGACACAGAGGAGAGCTTGAGCGCCAAGGCGTCACGACGGACCCACGGGTTGGAATTTTTGATTATCTTTCCTAGGACGAGCACCACAACAGCACCTGCGGGAACCGATTGATTAAATAAAAAGAGGAAATGGCCACCAGGCTCTTACCCAATAGTTGGCCAAAGTTTCATCCGACAGTGACAATACATTGCAAATCACTTGTATAACTTCCTCTTGGCGTCCACCAGAAAGATGACACCCTCCACAAATCGACGGCCACAAAATGGAAGAACACTGGGATGAACCGGACTGTGGTGATGAGCCAATTGTTTCGCCGAGTTATAACGCCATCTGCGGCGGGTCCAATAGTAGTGTCTGATCCAACTTTTCGATAAATGCTGGACAAGGAGGACCACATATCAGATCAGTAGCCCTGTAAATGTGTCAATGGTAGTGGTAAAAGGAATGATCCATTGACCTCAGGCCATCCCAGCAGCGTGCGACCATTGAGTGCCCTTACTGTTCCTGCAGATTCCCGGCACAGGTAGACGGTCGAATCCATCTTTCTGAGCTTTGATACACCTTTCCGGAACAGCTTTGCAAATCGAGTCAATTTAGCCTCGACTGAGACCTTGAATCAGAAAGGACGGGACGATGATGGAATGGGCCAGGTCCTGTATGGTCAACTCACATTTCTTTGGACGTTTCGCAGGTACACACCGGTTTGTGTTGTGATCCCTCTTGTTGAAGCCTCTAGTACCACCATCGGAGCCGAGAGCAGTGCAATCAGAAACATGGTGGCGGACATGATCCGTTTGGTTGGAAATCGCCCAAGGAGTTGAGCGACGGCAATGGCTCGGAGGGCTTGGCAGTTGTTGAGGACAGCAAGGTGGGTCATCTTACCCGCTGCACATCTTTTGAGAGTGTGAGAATTTCCAAAATAACCAGTCAAGAATAAGTAAGTGGCAAGAAAACAGTTACACTATTAGTGGCTACCAATCGTCAACGACAGTCGAACTCTGCGCATTCAACGTGATGCCCAAAGTAGTTTGTTTCCCAATTCCTTTGTACCCATCCTGATCAAGCAACAGCATCAGAAGAATAAGCCAACTGGAACCAAGTTGGGAAGATGTCAAAAAGCAAGTCTAGCAAGTCGAAAACTCAATCCAGCACAGATAGGTGGAACCCAAAATCTTGAAGCCATCGGAGCATGCTGCGCACAGCCGCACGTGGCACAGTTTTGAAAGGGAAAATTTTGCCGAGAGTTTAAAACTTTAATTTGAAGATCCAAAAAATTGCCGGTAGTAGCGCCGTCGCTCGAAGCTCTCTGGAACGTCCGAGTCAACAAGTGAGCAGTGCTTGTCGTAAAATTAATTGTCAAATAGTTTAGTGCGTTAAAGAATTGATCAACGTCATTCTTTAAGCAGTTCATCAAGCCGTCCTAGTAGTATGTCAGATGACTCCCCACAACCTGCTTCTTGGTTTTCACACCATTGGGACTCCGCATCATTGTCATTGTTGCCTTGCAATGTCTGTCCTGAGAAACAAGCCTGTGCGGATTGAAATGACCCAATCTTCCACACACTCTTGCACTCGCTGCGTTGGATTGTCATTCGCATCACGTGATTGGTATACACGTGATTATTGAAAACGAAGAGTTTTACCGACAAAAGTCGAGGGAAAATAAAACTTCCACATGGTCCCCCGACGTCACTCTTCGCCTTACGGCTCCTGCTGGGCTGGGCATCGGCCTCTTTCACCCTACGGCCCCGGTCCTTTTGCTTGGCATTTATGCGACGTTGGCGTCCTGCCAGGAGAGTCCATGCCCTGAGCCTGAAACTCGTCTGGATGGTTGTGACCTGGACATGTCCAACGGCAGCGCCAATTTGAGATACAATCGTGCTGTCCATTATCGTCCACTACCGCGGGTCCCATGGGGGGACACGCCATGGAAATATTTATTATTATATGCAATGGATAGTATTTCACCCGAACAAAACGACGACAAAATGGCATGTGATTGAGTTGAATGGATGACCAAAAGACCAAATATGAAACGAATTGAAAGCATTCCGTTCCAAGTCGGAATGTAAGTGATTTCTTCCTGGTTTGCGATTTCCCCAACTTAGCACACATGAATATGACCACTTTTACACACACACATTGTGGGGGGATATGACAGTTGCCATTGTTAGATGGCGGATGATTTTATATCCGTTCACCTTGTAAAAGTCAACTCCCATCCAACTTCGCATCGTTTGTTCATTATCAATTGATAACAGTATTGACCAAAGTGACATACAAAAGGAAGAAAATAAATACGGATAAAAGAAAGGCGATGGCCGATTGACCCAATTTTTATCCCCACCTTCCTCGATTCCTTTTATTGTCTTCTTTCGCGGTGGTTTGGAATTTCTACCGGCCGCGCGTTTTGTATCTTTTTATTTTCCTACGGGCTTTTCTCAACGGGTCAACTTGCATTCCGCCAACGGCATCGGTCACATATATACGCAATACATTGTCCCCTCTGTCTCATTCGGGGTTGACTACGTATTTGTTTTGAAAAGTGTTTGACGAGGAAAGAGAATTGGTAAGTGGCAGTTTGCTTGACGAGATTGCGACAGCTGTTTTTGCTCATTCCCACTCCAGTTGTTCGCTAGTGTTTTATCGTTTCAACGTCTCTGAAGCCACCATGACCGGCTTGGGAGTTCCAGGCTCTTTCCTTCTTCCGTCAATGTGCCATATCGGATGCAAGGAGGGTATTTGTCGGCTAAAACGTAAAGTCGACGACCATTCTCCGCCGCACGCCCCCCATGCCACCTCTCCTTACGCTTGCTACATGTTGCCACTGCACGGTACTTCTCTATGCGTGCAACATCAGCACAATAACGGACCTCATCATCACTCGCCTGTTGGCCACTGTATTTTGGCTGGAATCCAATATACACCACACCCAAGAGGAACTATAGCAAGTCTGCCCACACCATCACCCGCAGCACCCGCAGCACAACCACAAGACTTGCCACAATCAAAGACGGTCGCATCGGAGCACGCGCCCACAACCCACGAACAAGAGTCCGCCATACCTAGTTATACCACAGCCTATGTGTCCATCGACGGCCGCTCGGAAAAGATGACAAACACCGATGTCGCATTGCTCGGAAAAAACAGATTCGAGTCAACGATTCCTCAAGGCATCGAACTGCCCACAGCTAGAGTGCGATCAGCAAATGAACGAGTCAGATGCGAGGAGCGATCGTTTGTTGTACCCAGTGAGGTGACATTGCGAGCAAAAATATGGGGAACGCCAATGGACAATGAAAAGGGTGGACCACGATGCATATTGGCACTGCATGGCTGGGTAAGCTCGAACCTTGTGAAGGTGCAATTGTCCTTTAACTCACGCGTTTTTTTATTTGCTCTAGTTGGACAATGCGAGCAGTTTCGATATATTGGCTCCTATGCTCGCAGAATCTGGAGCGTATGTAGTTTGCCTTGACCTGGCCGGCCATGGACTCTCTGATCATCGGCAACCACAAGGAGGGTATTATCTGTGGGATATGGTACGTTCCAGCATGTCAAACACACGGCAAATGCAAATGCCCGCAAGTGAGCTTGAATCACTTACCTGAATATTTGCATCTAGATTGACGATATACTCGGTGTGGTAGACGACCTTGAATGGGAAACGTTTACTCTCATTGGTCATTCCACTGGCGGCCATATCGGCGCAGCGTTTGCTGCTACCTTTACCTCTCGTGTTCAGCGTCTGGTCATGGTCGAGTCTATCGGGACCGCGATCCAATTCAAGGACACTGAACCTCGTGAAATGGCCGCTTTTATTCGCCGACGACGAGAGATGAACAAGTGGGGTAAAGCGACAAGAGTCTATGATAGTTTTGAGGACGCTGCTCGGGCCCGAACAAGGGGATTTACCAAAGTCAGTTTGGAGGCTGCTCGTTTGCTGTGCGAACGAGGCCTCGAGCCAGTACTCCCGCGCGCGGACTCTGGATCCTCATCCTCCTGCGTAATCGAAGGGGAGCTCCGATATGTTTGGCGCACCGATCCTCGTCTCACACTCTGGGCATACCTGCATTGCGCAGAATCCGCCATCCATCAGTTTTTTTCAGCGATCGAGTGCCCTGTTTTTGTAATGATTGGCGAGAAAAGTGGCTTGTTCAACTTTGAGACGCCGAAATATGTTACAAGGCTGCAAGCATTCAAGCATCTCTCAACTGCAGTGGTTCCAGGTGGACACCATCTGCATTTGGAGCAAGAGTTTGTTGGAAGAGTGTTTGAGAGGATTGTAGGGTTCCTTGGAAGTTGACGTGGAAGGGATTTGGAGACAAAGGAAGAGCCTCATTGATAATCCTAGCGTACGAGATCCTCATAATTTAGTCTTTTGATTCTGCTCACCTTCTTGTATTTAGCTCCTTATACTCCCTTTTACGTCCCTATACATAGTGTACAAAAAAATATCTATAATATTTCATTACTACTAAGGACTGATCTATCATTTTCATGTTCCGATGAGTGCACTGACGGCTATGTAAATGACGTAAAAGTTCCCGTATTTTGCCCTTTTGCATCGTTGATACAAGCGACCATTTAAGCACAGCGAAAGGACGGCACACGACAGATATTCATTCTATAGGCATACTGGGGTATGGAAAGGAATGGGTCTATTCAAGTGGAATGTGCAAAAAGTCCATAATAAAAAGAATATCTCAAAAAGTGTGAAAATCGATAATAGAACCTAGTAGAAGCATCTCGCACCTGCGGGAATTCGACGCGGTGCGCGGACGTCATGCCCCTCCCAGCAGCTTCCGGGTGGGTCTCTTGACGCTGAGCTCCAAAACGCACTGTTTTGCCCCACGCACTTTGACACCTTAAAAGATTCCATTTGCCTTCAACATACACTTATAACAGGCTACAGACCTTACAGCAAGCTCTTGAATAAAAGGTATATATCACTACATTTAGTCTGCATTCGCATTCGTTCTTGTCAAACGAAACTTGCATTCGACGCAAAAACTCCCTATTCAACCCGTTATCGATATGCCAGTACGCACCAACCAAGGAATGGGCGGAAAAGACTACTACTCAATTCTGGGAGTGTCCAAGGACGCTGACGAAGATACCTTGAAGAAAGCATACCGGAAGGCGGCGCTGAAATGGCATCCAGACAGGAACCCCGACAACAAGGAGCTAGCCGACAAAAAATTTAAAGAGATCAGCGAGGCATACGAGGTTTTGAGCGATAAACAGAAAAGAACAATATATGATCAGTTTGGAGAGGAGGGTTTGAAGGGTGGTATGCCAGAGGGCGGGCCGGCTGGAGCCGGAGGGTTTGCTGGTGGTTTCCCAGGATTTGCTGGATTCGGTGGTGGATTCCCTGGCGGAGGTGCTGGTGGGAGAACATTTGTCTTTAACACTGCGGGCGGCGGTCCTGGTGGTGGTGGTGGTGCTGGCGGGTTCCGACCCTTCACTCCATCTTCAGCAGACGATATCTTCCGCCAATTCTTTGGCGGGGCGAGTCCATTTGGAATGGGCGGCGGCGACTTTATGGATACCGACGATGACGGTGGTCCCTCAATGCCTGGCGGCTTTTTTGGGGCTGGACGAGGTGCACGGCCGGGAGCGAGGGCCAAGGCTCGCCAACCAGCATCAGTGCAACGGCAGCTCCCAGTATCACTCGAAGATTTGTACACGGGCACGACCAAGAGACTTAAAGTTACCCGCCGACATTTGGATGGAACATCAAGCGAAAAGGTCCTTACGATTCAGATCAAGCCCGGATGGAAACCTGGTACAAAGATCAAGTTTGCCAACGAAGGAGACGAGCTCCCAGATGGCAGCGCACAAGACATTGAATTTGTCATTGTCGAGAAGCCACACCCACGGATCAAACGCGACGGTGACAACCTCCGCATCGAGGTGGACGTGGAACTATGGGAGTCGATTGCTGGGTTTACTCGACGTGTCCCGCACCTTGATGGCCACGCTGTGGAGGTCAGCGGAGCGCAAGGTAGTACACCCACTAAACCCGGCGACGAGATTGTAGTACGCGGTGAAGGGATGCCGATCAGCAAAATACCGGGCAAGAAGGGCGACCTGATTGTAAAGGTCAACGTACGGTATCCGGCGGTTGTGACACCGGCGCAAAAGGAAGCCGTCAAAAAGATATTTGCGAGTGGGGCGTGACTAGCCGAGGAAAGCTCGGACACTTTACAAGATGATAGCGATGATGGTGCGCGTCACGAAGCCAAGAAACGGAGAACAAAGCTGTGATGGCGGTTCCCTACTTGATATGGACGTTGAGAGGTGTGCCTGAGACGATATTGGGATGCGCTGTTGGCGTCATTTTGAATCATTTGTTGATTGAAATTTGGGAATTGTATGCTTGTATATCTTACCAATCTGTGTTTTTCTCTATTTGTTGTATTCCTTTGACGTTGCCCTGAGCGCACATTTTTGCATGTAATAAAGTATTGCAATTCCTTTCATGTCATTTTATACTACCGTTTCATAGCCCTGCCTTCTCGTTGATGGGATGGACCGCGCACGTTGATCGTTTTCAAGATAAACAAATTGCTGACGTCGCGTCGGAGGCGCCAATTTGGATCTTAGCGCTGAACAGCCGAACCCCCGCCAGACGTTGACCCAGCTTGACAGGCCCTTCATCTGTTATTCATTTTTATTTGCCCAGTAGTGTGTACCAGTGTACAAGGTACGTATGCATTGTTCACTCGAGATGATACTGCTGACATTGACGTGATGCCGTGCACATGACCTTTGTCCTTATTCCATCCCAATGCAAAATACTCCCATGCTTTTCTGTTCGCAAACGAGTCATTAGCCTGTCCCGGAAGACCATACGTGCGCCTCCAGTAACCCCTATGTACATTCACTATCATAATGTCTTCACTGCTACCAACTGACTTGAATGGACTGCCCGAACATGTTGTCACAGAATTGAGGAATTTGGAGAATGAGCTTGCCGAAGGAGATATTACACAGAAAGGGTTTGAGAAGAAGCGGCAAAAGCTTTTGGAGACTTATATGGTAAGTCAGGTTGTTGAGTGTTGCACTTGTTATTTGTTAATTTTAGTCATATTTTTGAAGACAGCACCGACGGCCGTTTCACCGAGGCAATCGGATACGACGACACGAATACATAATGTCGCCGAGGGTGAATGGGAGGATGAACCTGATGCTGTAACAGATGATCTGGCGAGCATGTATATATCAGAGGAGCATAGTGTCAGTCCGACTTTTGAATCGACGTCGGAGGCAGGCTCACCGATCGGGGAGGAAGTGGCGAACAATAACAAGGATGTGATGCAGTCTGTGGGGATGGCTGGGGAAGATGCTATTGCCGTTACGGGCCAGCGGAGTGCAGAAGGAAAAGCGCCATCACCACCATCAATACGCATTCCGAATGGGCCGACCATACCCCGATCTTGGACCCAGGATGCTAGTCACTCGCCAAGAAGCGCTCCTGCTTATGACGGCAGCCAGCATATCATGCTAGGGAGAAGTTCGACGCATATTGGAATGCACCCTGTCATGCATCTACGCGGCTCCTCCCCGGTGGCTGGTCCACCTCGAGGTTTTGCGTTTCCCCCTCCACCAGCGTTCTCTCCATCTGACTCCCATGCGTTTGGGCAGCGACCTCAAAGCATCTACAGAAAATACAGTTCACCGACAGAGGCGCTATTACCGTCGAATGGACTACCCACAGCAGTCTATCCTGCACGTCCCGCATACGCCCACCATGGACCCCCACATCCCCAATACCACTTACCGCCGTCATTCTATCAGCCCATGCACGGGGCTCCCGCGCAATGCCTGCCGATACCTTCTATCCATCAGCGCTCTCATAGTGCCGGAAGCTCACCAGTCCTATCCCCCGAACACTCTGCCCCGCATTCAAGACATAGCTCAATGTCGGATATTAGTGGAGAGCTCACCAACACAGCGCCCAACTCTGCATTTCATACTCCGCAAAATTTGTCGAGAGAAGGCTCGGTTGGAGAATATCACTCTGATGAGTACTATGCAGGGGAACCTGATTGGGCGCACCCTGAATCCCGACTGGCTTACACGAGACATTATGAACAACAACTTCATCCCCACAGCATTCAACAGTCTCCTCCTCAAATTTACCTGCCACCATCACCGGTTGGCATGTTGCCCGTCGTACCACCATTGGTCTTCCAACCTGGTTGGCGGGGTACGCTTCGTATTGCACAGCAATTGCCTTCGCCAGTTCCACATACCAATGTAAGAACTCTCGAACGGGACTATGAACGTGCGGCTGCGTTTTTGAGTAGACAGGCGCTACCTACCCGCTACCGAGAAAGTCAGAATCCTGTGCTGGATCAGGCAGGAACGTTACTAGATACATTCCCGACGATTGCGGCCATCCTCCGCTACCGCTCCCAAAAGACTCCCAAGAACGTTGCATTCACGGTTTTGGATCACAAGGGACGCGACTCAATTTCGATTACCTACGAAAAGCTAAATGCGCGTGCTGAGAAAGTTGCGCAAGTGATCAAGGAAAAATCCACACTCAAACGAGGAGATAACGTTGCGTTACTTTATCGGCGAACCGAAGTCTTGGAGTTTCTGGTCGCATTTTATGGATGCTTGTATGCTGGCATGGTTGCTGTGCCAATTGTGACCAGTTCTACCCATGTGGATGATGAGCTGACCGAGATCGTATTCATACTGTAAGTTCATTGTTTCGTATACCGTTCCATCGCGACGACAAAGTAGTCTGCATATACTCACTTTCTGCCTCAACTTTTATCAGCGATAACTGCCAAATCAACTTGGCATTAACTACTGATTCTCAGGTGAAAACCCTTACTCGCGAGTTTCATGTACACCGAACCGCCAACCTTCCGCGCATCGACTGGTGGAAAACGAATGAATTCGGCACATCAATCAAAAAGAAAGGCGCAGATCAAGCGGTGACCGTCAACAGTGCCGAAGTGGCTTATGTTGAGTACACTAAAAATGCCGTAGGAGAACTCAAGGGGATTGTAGTCGGCCATCGAGCGATTCTTAGCCAATGCCATCAATTTACAGGAGCGAATGGCTTTGGAGCTGGGGATGTCTTCTTTACCTCTTTGGAGCCTAGGCAACAAGCTGGATTGTTGGTTGCAGCGTTTTTTGGGATTTATTCAGGTGTACATACAGTTTTAGTGTCGGAAGCGGGATTAAGTGTATCTGGAGCTTGGATCATGGCTGCAACCAGACATAAAGGTATGTGCTGCATGCGGTCTGTTTGTGTTTTTCAGGTGGCCATGCCATTGATTGCATCTGGTGGTGTCAAATAGCGACGGTTGCGCTCATTGATAACCCAGGCATGGTGGACGTTCTCTCCTCCCTACCATTCCCACCCAACAAGAAGAGTCCCCCCGATCTATCCCTGCTTCATACATTGTTCATAAATACCCCTGTCCCTCATGCCTCCTTCCAAGATGACATTTTCCGCATTCTCCAGCAATACGGATTACGACATAGTTGTGCGATTTCTCCCTTGTTAACTTTGGATGAATTTGGTGGCATGCTGCTCGGGATGCGTGAGCGAGGCTCTGGTGGTGGGGTGGAAGACAGAGTCGACATATGGATCGACTCGGAAGCGTTCAAAGATAATCGGGTGGAGATTGTTGGGTATGTGGGAGACGGGAAAACGGATGCCAAGGCTAAAGTTCCTGGTACTGTCAGGATGACGGATGTTGGATATATCATACCAGAAGGTGAATGTGTTTCCGGGCAACTGCTATCTTAGAGCGTGTTACTGATTTATGAATTTGGTGGGTAGCATCTGTGGCCATTGTTGATCCGGAAACCAAATCCCTGCAGCCTCCCAATGTACTTGGTGAAGTGTGGGTCAGCGCACCTGAATCCCTCCCCCAATCCTTTTGGGCGTTACCGAAATTGAGTGACCAGATATTTCACGCACATCCAACGATTTATGTGAAAAATGATCCTTTGGGTTCTCAGCCATCCCATCGCCGGACACCGTCATCAGCCAGCGTCCATAGTGATTTATCTGTACCTTTCTTCCGCATAGAAACTCTTGAAAACCAAGACTTCATCCAGACAGGGTTGCTAGGCTTCATCATCGACGGAAATGCGGTTCCTGGCGTCAAAACTCCACGATTATTCATTGCTGGGATTCGACGGGATCGACTTTTACAGAGAAAGCTGCAGGGAACATCACCAATGGAACGGAGACCCAGCATTACTAGAAGCAAAGGAACTGGCGAGGAACTTGACGCCCATTTTGCAACTGAATTGGTGGAGACCATTTTGGCGAATGTCGCTGGCATTGATTGCTGGTAGGTTGGCGGTCTTACTTGTCTTGCACAACACAAGGTGGTTTACCAACCTTCTCTCCTTTAAGCACTATTTTCACAGTCTCGATTCATGGAGAGCACCTTCCAGTCGTCCTTCTAGAATCATCCCGACCTGCATCATCGCCTGGAGCTATGGGACAGGATATTGCTCGAATACTCAACACGCATCATGGGCTGCGAACATACTGCGTTGGCACCTGTCATGCAGGGTCATTGCCGCGATCAAAACCAGATAAAAATACAGGAACTCAGATGCAGACAACATTTTATGGATACACATCTGGGGTGGTCACTGTCAGCCAGGCGAACGATGAGGCGCTGAACACCCTGGCGCGAGCTTCCAAAACGCTGCCAGCGATTGTGATGGATAAGCGGAAACTTGTTCCTCTCGATGTTGACGTGTGCAAGGCGGCCTTCCTGGCTGGACACCTGAATGTAGTGGATATGCACATTAACGTCGAACCGGAGGTCATTAGCACCATATCTTTTTACGATCCTGCGAGCGATGGTGATTTCCGCCGATATCAACATCAAAATGTCGGCCAGGTTGTGGGTGGCATGGCAGATGTTCCACTACTTGACGACAAAACGTCCAAAGATCTCACAGAATTCCCAACGCTGAGTCATCTGTTTGCATGGCGAGCTGAGGCCTTCCCTAATGAACCTGCAATTACGCTGTTAGATCATCGCGGTCGCGATAGCAAGGGACCTACGTTCCAGAAGTTTTCCATGAAGGTTCACTCACTCGCCACTTGGCTCGTCCAAAAGAAGGGTCTACAGCCATTGGATCGTGTTATCCTCATGTACACCCATGGTTACGAATACATGTACGCATTGCACGCCTGTCTGTACGCCGGCATCGTACCCATTCCACTCTCGCCGTTGGACGGCGCAAGGCTCATCGAAGATGTTCCCATGTTGATCGCGTTGATAGATGACTTTCAGGTGAAGAATATTCTGGTCAATGGAGCTGTGGAGGAAGCCTTGAAAGGAAAGCAAGTTGTCAGTATGATCCGAGCTGTACGACAAAGTCAGAGAGGCTTGGGCGCCGAGAAGGACAAAAAAATTGCCTTCCCATGCATAGTGAATACGAGCAAGATCCCAAAGACTACGAAGATGATGAGTTTAGATGACCCGATCTTCTATTATGCACGTGCGCCTTCTGCGGATATTACTCCTACATCCTCAACAATTTCATCTACCGAGCCGTCAAAAGAAGTGGCCCTCATCCTGGTTCATTACACTCCAGATATGCGATCGACGTGTGTAGGTCTGAGCCATTCCACATTACTCCAACAATGCCGCCTACAAGTGATCCATGGCCATATGCTTCATTCAACGATTCCAAACGCACACACCGGTATAGCACAGAAGCCTCCGAGCTATGTCCCGCTTCTTTCTTGTGTGCGCAGCTATAACGGATTGGGATTCCTTTATTCCATGTTATTGGGGGTTTACGTTGGGTCACCAGTTTTGATCCTGCCACCTTTTGAATATTTCATGAATCCTCAAGTGTGGTTTGACGGACTGTACAAGTATAGAGGTGAGGATCGAAGGTCGAAACGTTGGTATTTATTGAATTATCCCTGATTGACGTTATACCATGTAGTCAAGGACGCATTTGCGACGTATCCAATGCTGGAGCATGCTATGGGTAGCATGAAAAATGTGGATTATCGCTCGTTCTCTTTGCATAACGTGCGCAATCTGATGATTACGACTGAAGGACGGACAAGGCCTGATATTTGTAAGTAACCCGTAACAAGTCTTGGTCCCAAGTGTGCATGCAAGCCTCACAAGCGTTCGCAGACACAGCAATACATCAAAATTTCCTTGCCAATCGTCTGGAAGACCAAGCTATTGCCACGGTCTATTCTCCTGTTGTAAATCCTATGGTGGCAACTAGAGGCTACATGCGGACGGAAGTCACCACTCTGTGGGTGGATATGAAGGACTTGGCGAAGGGGCGGGTAAAGGTTCTAAAGGAGACTCGAGGAGAGAGTGGCAAGGTGAAGGAGACTCTCAAGGATGGGGAGGGACGTGAAATAGACGTGCTGATTCTGCAAGATAGTGGCAAGGTAAGTGTGGTTTGATATTCTCGCCAGTTTTGTCAAAGCGAGACTCAACCTTTTGCTGATAGATACCCAATAACACCCTCGTTGCCATTGTTGACCCCGCAACTCGGAGGCTATGCCCGCCAGATCAGATTGGAGAGATTTGGGTGTGCTCACCTGGCAATGTCCAATGCTTTGCAGGGAGCGCTACGGCCGATATTTCTTCAGTCACGCCTCAGCACAATGAAATTCAGTTCCAATCCCGTGTGGAAGGTCTCGACACATCACTCCTTTTTGCCAGAACTGGCGACAAAGGATTCCTATGGCCTGTTCCTGTGGACACTTCGGATCAAACGCCGTTAACGGAAAGCCTCCACCGCGATGGAACCGACTATGTCTCCAACGGGTGGGACAGCTTGGTTTTTGCTGGGTTGCCTTACGAAATGGTGTTGTTTGTTGTTGGAGCCATGCACGAGGAAATCATTGTAAATGGCTACCGATTTTATCAACCGGATGTTGAAGCCACGGTTGAGGGGTGTCACAAGAGTATTCCAAAACGTGGATGGTATGTCTCAACGTGTTGTCTTCTCCCTCGACGTTGTGCAAAAGCTGAACAAATGTCACGTACAGCGTCATGTTCCAACCTGCGCCCAATCGAGTAGTCTGTGTGACAGAGATTATCAGAGAGGCGGACGTGTTCAATGTGGTGCCGAGAATCGTCCACGCGGTTTTGGAAAGACATGGGTTTTTGGTGGATGCTGTAGCATTTTTGGCCGCGGGGACGCTGGCTAAAAGTCGGTTGCAGGAGAAGCAGCGGTGGAGAGTATCAAAGGCATATCGCATGGGGAAACTGTAAGTCGTTTGTTGTTACCTTGATTCACCGCATGTAAGTAACAATTATTTCTCATTTTGTCAATCCAGACCTACTCTCAAAGTGGTCCATATCCGAAATCAATCATGTAGCGAAACTGAGAGCAGCGGAACCGGTGACATTGGCTCGCTTTCACGATCTGACATGTCTATTATCTCAGATCCTGGTCAGGAAATTATGACTACAAAATTGGAATAATTTGCCCTTTTCCAAAGAAACTAACTTGTATGTAGTGGCTCCTTGAGTCTGAACTGTGCTCACTTTATTTTGGGATGATTGTGGGTGGTATGGGTGCACGACTTGTAATCGATTTGATAAAGATATATAGACTATTTTATTAGATGACTGTAGTAGTTTTGTTTTGTTTTTTACAAGTCAGGAATTTCAGCGAGAATGAGCTGCCAAACTCTGAAATCATCCCAGATAGGGAAGCCCATTGAATCTCTGCTCTGGGTGATGTGTTTCTGTTGTGTCGTAGGGTCCATGTATTCTCTGTCTTTGCAATCTACCCTGCACAGGAGAGATGTCTCTCGCTTTAAATACATCCTACATAAATAGTGTCTATTGTCCCCAAAAACAAGCAAGATGCACAATACGAAGGCAAGGAAAGCTGGTGCCACGCCCATCCGCAAACCCAAATGTACAAAACTAACATCTATATCGAGCTCTTCCCATTCCTACTAAGGGGTAACACTTCCCTTACTTTCACCAGCTTCTCCTCCCCCTTCCCAACTTCTCGCTTAGCCCCTTGATAAACCCACAGGCCAAAAAACGTCAATAGGATCCCAGCCCCCTGTCTCGCATCCACCGGCTGCGCAAACCAGATAATACTGGCGGTTATAACAAAAATACGTTTGATGAGACTCGCTACACTGTAGGTCACGGGCGATACAAGCGAGAGGAGATGGAAAGCGATGACATTTTGCGCAAAATGTGTCGTTCCGTTGAGAAGAAAGAGCATGGGTATACGGTGGCTCATCCATGATGCCACCTTTCGGTCCGACGACGGTCCAAAAAGAAAGCCCCATCCATCCGAAGAAAGCCATAACGGACCCATGAGCAGAAAGGCTAGACCGGAAGAATAAAACAGCAAACTGATCTTGTCTAGCTTGTTGCTCCCGCCTCCGCTGTTCTCTGTAAAAATCTTTTTGGAGAATATGTTTTGTACGACAAAGATGAGGGTTGATATCAAGGCACAGAGAAAGCCGACCATATTGAATGTCAACTCGCTCATGCAGACGAGCATGACACCTAGTGTCAATGGGAGCAAGGAGAGGTACACTTTGGGGCCGTAAAAGACTTGATAAATTACACGGTAGAGGAACACTGTGAACAGCGGGGAGAGTGCCTTGATAGTAACAAAATACCAAACTGTCAATGGCGATCCCACAGAGGATAACGGCTTATCCGATGCTACTCACTTTTATGGTATGCGCAAAACTAACAGGCACCCTCGAGATAGCCATTGACGAAAAAATATGGCCAGCAATTTGAAAGATGGCAAGAGGGAGTACTTGACTGATTACTCCACGATTGGGTCGTTTAATGGCTCCCACAGCGCCCATTCGACTCATCAACCAACACAGCCCCGACACAAATCCAAATTGTATGTATGTCAGCGTCACAGGATACTTGAAGTGATTTAGAATCTGTTTCCCCGTGTTATTGGTGAGCGCTGATGAGGAGTACCACAGACTACAGAAGAGACAGAACTTGATAGTGTCCCGATTGATAGAGGGCGTCGCTAGTCGCTGTAGACGAGTGAGCGTACTGCCTACGAAGCTCTTTTTGACCGGTGAGGAAAGGAATGAGTCGAATCTGCCACCTCCGACATTGAGGTTGTAATTTGTGCTGTACGTGATGTTGATATTAACGTTCGGTCTACTGATGTTGGCAGATTTACCCTTCTTGGCATACGAAGGAGTACTGGGAAGTTGCAGGTTAGAGTCTAGGGCTGGTCCCGGGTATGCCGTAGTTGGTGACGGTGAAGCAGGTGGCGATGGATGGTGTGACTGAACGGACACAGTCTTTTGTTTAACCGTATCGTTTTGGTGCACTCCGATCGGAGGAACCTCGTAGGGAAGTGGTCGTGCATCAAGCGAGCGGAAACCCTGTGGGTTATCGCTAGCTGACAACATGTCAGAGGACTGTACGCAGAAACGCAAAGTATATCAGAAAACGAAAATGTAAAAAGAATTCGATACATAAAATCAACGATCGCGCGGTATGCAGCAAACATTACCTTGTCGTTCCCAGTGCTGATATGTGGTCGCTTTGGCTGTTGAATATGTAGACGCTTTGATAGCCCCAAGTCTACCTGTCCTCTTGCCTGTGGATGGGGAAGATATTCCGCCGCCATATCAAACCCAGTGCCAATATCCTTGAAAGGTATCCAAGTTGACGTTTTACTTTGTCACACGTGCTAATACTGCGCACTGTTCGGGCCGCAACTCTTTTTCGGGGGCTATCGATCAAGTTGAGCAGTACCAGCGAAGAATTGGCCTGTGGATGCGCAGCCACAACTGTTCGACAAAGCAGAAAGGAAGCAGCGTTGGAAAAGGCACTGGCACCACCGGCAAACGGAGCTGACTGTGTTATCTTTTTTCCGTTCGACGTTGTCGCCTTTCACAGTCTGCACAGGTTCAAAGGTTTTAGCTTTCAAGCCCCAGCAAAGGTCAAACTAGGGTCCTGGTTTTTGAAACGCAAAAAATCCAAATAGCTCCTTCGGCTTCTCCGTTCCCGCAGCAGGACCCCAAAGCAAGAAACCCTCACAACGTCGACGACCGCGGGAGACGACGGCATCGGTTGCTTTTCAATTGAAACTCCGGTGACTGCCAAAAAAGGACAAATTACATGACTAAGCATGACCGTCAATCGCACGTGTTGCTGGCCAAGGGGAGGAATTGGAGCAGGTTGAATCCATTGGAATCTCATCAATGCAGGCACCAGAGCTACAGCACGACTCCTCACGAAATGGTCAGGATAGTGGTTCAAGACTATATGGCTAGGGAGCACTGGATGCCGACTGGGATGAGCATGCCATGAGACTTGCTGACGGTGATTGTGTTCACTTGTAAGGTGAATGAACAGGGCAGAATAATAGGTGAAAGTTATGATGTGATATACATACGTATGAAGGGTTTGGTAGGCTGCTGGAACTTGCGCAATGACTAGAAAGTAAGTATCCATCTAAAAACATGCGCTGCGAGTGTGGCAAGGGAGGAGACTCCTCCCACGAGTAAGTTTACGACAGTGTACATAATGTCCAATGTTCAGATTGGCGCAATGAATTGGAGGTAATGTTCGAGAATGCACATGGCATCGCCTGCAATTAAAGGAAAGAAGCTTCAAAGGAAAACAAGAGTGCTGAAGGCTGACATATGGTTTAGTAATCATTGTGGCGCGAACAACTTTGACTGTTCCACTGTTCCATCTCTTTCTGAACCGCATCACGATCGCAGCAATGGCAGACTACAAGCGTGAACTGGAACTGCTTAATCTTGTGCAGAAGACTGCGTCGAATCCTGACTCTGTCTTGGCCACCATAGACAAATACTGCTGGGACAATAATCGGTTTGTAATTCATTTTCCCGTGGCCAAACAGTGTCCATTGTCCACTTATATTCAGAGATTCAGGATGATGCATGTAGGCGATCGAAAGGGAGAATACCTTGATAGTGTCATTCAACAGCATCAACCTCGTAGAGTACTCGAGCTTGGGACCTACTGTGGATATTCTGCAACTCGCATTGCACGGCTTCTTCCTGAGGGTGGCCGCTTATACACGGTCGACCCTTCCCCTCTGCAGTCTCTGGTAGCGGACAAGGTCGTCGCAAAGGCAGGGCTATCCGAACGGGTCATCTTCGTCAACAAACGGTCAGATGAGGCTTTCCTGGAATTTGACCCTTCCACTCCATTCGATCTGATCTTCATTGATCATGACAAGCCTCTCTATCTTCCGGATCTCAAGACCATATTGGACAAAGGGTTACTGAAAAGCGGCGGGGTTGTGGTTGCGGATAATGTGATCCTATTCAATAGCGAGCAGTATTTGGATTTTGTCCGCAATAGTGGCAAGTTTTCAAAGAGTGAGCTCTTCAAAGGTAAGCTAGAGTATGATGAGGAGAGAGAAGATGGCATGGAAATCTCTGTGTTGGCGTAGGTAGGGTAGTAGAGTAGTGATTGGCGCAGATTACGCAGCAACATGAGTTCCATTCTTCTGTCTCATCCGTTGTACAAACTTGTAATCGCAACACACACTATTCTGTCTTTCGATGATCCGGCTCTTCAACAAGCAATTTACAGACTGGCATGAAACAGAGTCCAGGGGACACAGGCGGTCATGCATAATGCACGCCCGATTTCGCAACATATCGCTCAGCTGCGTTGCTGTTCTCCAACGTACAATAATCCAGACCCACATTCTCCGGTTCAGGAACAATCGACTTACCATTGCGCCAAACACATCTTTCCAGGATCGAAGCGATCTCATACGACGCTTCCGCGCACATTATATTTGGATGCCTCTCTCAATCGTACAGTGTGCATCGTCAATAATCCATTTCATCCAAATATCCACGAACCGAATGATCAAGATGTCACAATGTTTTGACCGCAGTAGCCCATTTGACATCCATTGATTTACGGTGATGGCGCTCTACTCCATTGCAATAAAAGTATTAAAATGTGAGTAACCATACGGATGCAACCAATCTGTCGAAAACCGAGGAATGAGGAGATGCGAAAGGTTGAAAAGCTGAAGGGGGAAAGAGACGGGCTGCTTTTATAGACCTCGGCTATGATGAGTTGGGCGTTTTTCCATGGCTGGAACTGCAAGGGGTTTATATCCGCGGTCGCTGTTCGCGTCCTATTTATTACGCGCCATGGGCTGTCACGTCGAAGCGACGCGTCGTGTGTTGCTTCCCCTCGCCAGGGGGATCTTCCGTTCAGCAGGGATATCGCGTTTGACGCGACGCGTTGTGTGTTGCTTCCTTCCCCTCGCCAGGGGGATGTCGTGTCCAAGGCACGCGTCGTGCAAGGAGAACTGTTAACATTTCCTCCTAGTGGGATATGGTGCATGGTTCCAGGGCGCGGACGCTGGCATCTTTCTCGTCCTTCCCTCCTCTCAACACTTTAAGCCTCAATACTGTGCAATGGGGAAATCCGTGCCAGAACGTCACCTGCCTTGTCTTTGATTACAGCACGTTTTAGCGGCTCATACAATTTACTCATCCTTGTCATCTTTCATCGCGAGTAAAGAGCAAGGAAGATCCGTACAATAAACGGATTGGTTTGAGCTGCGCTCCTGTTGCCAGTGGCTCTCGCCAATAAATAGCAATTAAGTAACTGATCTGCTGTTTGGCTCTGTGTGCATCATGTCTATTCCCCTCCATCCGTATCGAGCAGGAGGTTGCTGGACACCAGAGTGTCAAACACAACACACACACACGAGCCTTATCGCTTACATAATAATGAAACACGCCAATTGATTGGATGTGAATCACGCATAAATACCTCATGAATGGAGAGGCCAAAATAACGCAATCTGATTGGCTCTTTTCTGGCGCGGCGCCTTGGAGGTTTCAAACTTGGGGATTTAAAAGGAGAGGGCTGAGGGATTTCTGCCCTGCCCCTCCGTCAGCGTCTGGCAAAACGACCTCTTTCCCCCAGTCATTTTCACCATTTGGCCTTGCAGACCATGCAGCAACACATTCTTCTCATCCTTCCCTTCCTGGCCCTCGCTCTCGCGCAAACAGCATGCCCGACAACACCTACAGACCCAAATTGCGCGTCTTTCCGGCTCTCGGACAGCGATGCGACGTCGCTGGTTGACACTCTCTGCCACCAAATGAGTGGGATGCCAGGTTGCACCCTCCAACAACAGTGTGCGTCTGGCAAAGTGCCGCAGCAGTATTGCTCACCAATGTCGTTGTACGCGGACATTTGCGCGTCAGACATGCCGTCTATGGGCTCCTGCAAGACTTTTGTCAACATGTGCGGTAACTCGACTACCATGGCGTCAACAGTCAATGCTCAGTGCAAAGAACCGACCTCGGCCGCACTGCCCAGTATCCCGACTAGTAAAATCGCCACACAAAATATTCGTAGCATTTGCACTGAAATGAGCATGCCTGGTTGTGAACAATGTTCCATTCCATCCGATACCGCTGGTTATGCCCAATGCGATTTGCTCGGAACATATTCCCTACTCTGCAAAGCAATGCCTGATATGAGACAATGTGCAGACTGGAAGCAAATGTGTGCGGCGACACCTGGCTTGTCACTTTGTTCAACGAGCTCAGACGGTGGTAACAACGATCCCCCCGTCATGAAAATGTTCTTCCATACTGGTTCGTTTTTTGCTTTAACATGTTGAAAGATTTTACCACTCTGTTTGACACGTTTCCTTTTACCCACAAATATAGGCATCGTAGACTATGTTCTCTTTGAAAAATGGGTTCCCCGCACCAGCGCTCAGTACGCTGGAACATGGTTTGCCGTCTTTTTCCTTGGCATCTTTTATGAAGCCTGGCAAGCCTTTATTGCAACCTACGAAGCCAAACGTCTCTATGGCCGATCATCCTCGGGTTTTCCTTCATCCTCCAAAAGCGAACTCGTCCTTAGCGCCATTGATGAATCCAGATCGGAACGGGTCAAGAGGGCCCTTGTGCGCGGAGTGGCAAAGTTTGTCACGGTTACGGGAGCGTATGCATTGATGTTGGTGGCCATGACATTCAATGTCGGCTTGTTCTTTGCGGTGGTAACGGGTTTAGCAGTGGGTGCAGCCATATTCTCTGAATGGACAAGAGCAGCTGTGCAGGCTGCTGTACTAGGTGAAGCCAGTGGGGAAGAGTTGTGTTGTTAGGGGCTATGTCGTTCGGCACTAGGAGGTTTTGCTGTTCCTTTGATTCGGTTGTACATATTTGTATGAGTTTTTTTTTCCCCCATTTTTCGTGCTAGTTGGCGTACGCTATATTGTTTAGTGAATATTATACTTCTGCGGCGTACTTGTTGGAAAGTCAAACCCTTAGTCAGGCAACCGTAGGACCAGCAGCTACTTCATTTCACTGCTCTCAAGCACCATCTCACTCAATCGATAGCACACATTCCAGATCCGCCCAAATTGGAACTTGAGTCTATTATCAAAAATAAATTGAAAGCCCCGCTTGTCTACCATACACCCCACGTATCCACTCCGCATTAACATGTGCGTCCGCTTGAGTAATATTTCTACATTTATGCCTCCGCGTTGGATTGGCTGTTGTTGTAATCCTCCACACGCATTGATTCGCTCAGAGTTACCATCCACTTGTACACCCGCTCGTACACCTGACAAGATGGAAAAATCAGTAACCTTCTCTCGATATCCCACGGAAATAGCAACATACCATGAAAGTGATGGCTTGACCTGGTGCCACACGGAGCACACGGGGTGTCAATCCCTTGTAGAAAGCAGCGTAACCCTCATTCTGAGCGATGCCCTTGGTGACCTTGACAAATCGCACCCATCCCTTGTCTTCGGATGGTGCCTTTTGAATACGGGTCTTGATAGTGTCGATGGGAGCGTTGAAGAGAGGACCGCATGCACCAGAGATGAAACCCATGACCAGGTGCTGGTATGCGGGTAGGGTGTCACCGTGCTGCGGTTGCAGGTCGTGAAGGTGCTTCCTCAAGAACTGGTACACCGTGAAGTTTGCAGCTTGGTTCGTCGCTAAATACGGCCATTCTTGTCAGTGATACCATTCATCTGCTAGTCGTGCAGATGTAGCGACAAACCTTGTCGAAGAGCGGTAAGGCCGACACCCTTGTACAAGGACGCGACACCTTCCTCCTTGACCATGACGTATGCACAGTGTGCGGCATTGCGGTACTTTGGAATGTCTAGTGGGTCGGTCATTGAGTGACGCTGTGCCTGAAGACGAATCTTGATGACGTCCATGGGAGTCACAACCAACACGGCCTCTGTTGTACCAGCAGCGAGACCGGCTAATACCCGTAGTGTACTGGTCAGAACTCTATCTTGGCAAATGTCGAAAAATGGAACGTTTTCAACATACCAACAAAGTTACCCGCAGCATTGACCTGTCCAGTCTGTTTGTCGGCAAGCTTTGACTTGAAGAACTCGAAGGAAGAGAATCGGATAGCCATTTTTGGTACAATGCCCGTGACAACAGCTCCAAGACCCTTATACAGTGCCAAAACACCCTCCTTTCTCGCAATATCTACACCAACTGTGATGAAGTTTTGGCGCTTTGGCTATATGGTACAGTTTGTTTAGACACGGGCTTCTCCGATATCCATGAACAAGCTTGCGTACCTTGGCCAACTCTGCGGCGGCAGCATTCATGGCTTGCCCAGCAACAGTGGTAACGGGTCTCTTCGCAGACCGTTCACCGCGCAGCTGCAATCGGACCTTGATGGTGTCCAGAGGATGGCAGGTCAACGCTTCACAGCATCCGGCAACACCACCCGCCAACAAGTGGATCGCGAGATTCTTCTTTGGCTTTTGGTCTTTTGACATTGTGATAGACTATGGGGAGTTGGAAGTTGAAAGAGGTTAGCAACTTGTCTGGTGAGCGCCTACGTTTGCCGTGTACGAGTCCAATGATTCTTAATTCTCCCAGCAACATGTTCTCCGCGACAATGTTCGGCAGACACACGAATTCCACATGTGGACTGAGATCAGACCCAGACCTCTTTCGCTAGCCCGTAAACGACTATGCTCCGCCATACTTGTCCACCCCACATTCCAGCAAACGTTCAAATGATACATACTTGCGATGGTTATGTAACTAGGAAGTAATGAGATAAATGGTGGGAGGGTCTACAAAACGTGTGATATGCAAGAGATTGCTTAGGAGGTCTGACAGTGCAAGCAGGGCAAGTGCGGAGGTGGATAATTGGAGGTGATGCGCAGAGCGACGTGTCGCGGGATGGAGATGAATTCCCTCACCTTTTTATGTTCTCGTCTGCTCGGGTTAAAAACCTTTTTTTTCCCACCCACAGAACTCACGCGTGACTTGCAAACGGGAAGACGGAAGGGAAAGCGCAGCACGTCTTTCGGAAAGATGCGGAAGAGGAGAGATGTTTGAACGGATCCTTCGGAAGAAAGCGTTTCATCGGCCGCGCGGCGCGGAAATTGGGCGTCTGCCCATGTGACTCTCTGCTCACGGGGAAGATGATCAGCAATTTCACCCGAAAACTGACATCATCCCTGATCGGAGGGTCTATGGCGCAGCACTTTAACCTTTTATGGCTATACGAGTTAACGAATCACATGTCACTGGATTTTGCTGACGTGAAGGAAACGGCATTTTGGACGCGGTTGTTTTGCTGCTCAACCCTTGCTTGGATCACACACATTGGCATCACCCCGAGCATGGTCAAGTCACAGCCTACGGGAGGGCACGTCTGTCCGCTATGTCTGTATTTAATGAACAGCAGTAAGTCGTTGGAGATGCATCTCAAGGAGTCCTGTGGCTGTCCCTTATCGGAAAGAACATGCAAAGAGTGTGATCGCGTTCATAAAACTCGCCCCGAGGCGATTCAATGCAAACATGAAGGAGGTAATCATTGACGTGGAGCTTAGGGATTGGTGAAACTCATTGTGCTGACAATTTTGGCGCTTGTTGCTATTTCAGAAATTTCAATCATTCCATGTCCCGTGAGGACATGCTCGGAGGAAGCTAGTACGGAGATCGAATTTAATTCCCACTATACCAAAAAGCACGGTCGATCTCCACCGATAGTTGGAGTAGTGCTCTCCCCACTGGCAAAGAGTCCAAATATCCGGTCATTTCTAGAGTTTCCACCTCGACGTGTTAGATCAAGTGTCGGGACAGGCTCTCCGGGTGCTCCCAAGATCATTATCAACCTTGAAGGAAGCATTCCTCCAGAATCGTCTGATGCAGATATCCGCCCATTTCGATTTCCTCAGTATAGATTGCTCGTCATTGAAAATCGTCTTCTTTCTGCCGTCTTTCAGTGTGAGCGGTAAGAATTCTTTCCCACGTCCTCGTGACCAGTCACTTGAAGTGATTATGCATATATCTAGGGATAACCCAGGTCTCCAAAAGCTAGTAGAGAGGATTGAAAATGATGGACAAAAAAATGCTGTGTTGCAGGTATTTTGCGGAGCGGGGTATCGTCGGTTAGTCAGCACCACCTGAATATGGAATTCGACGATCATCAAAGTATGCAATACGAGAAATCATTCGACGCGGGTTGCGACGCGGCACATTTTTGAGGGATCAAGATGGATATCGTCTGCAGTTTGGTCAGTGCCAATTCATTGTCGTTGGCCTCTCAATGTGACAACAAAGGCGGTTGACATTTTTCTTGTTGCAGAACGTGGGGATTGGCCCTCAAAAGACAAATATGTGTACACCGTGAACGGAAAACCGTTGGCCTACGGGGACCGCATTACCGTCACATTAAGCATGGCTCCCCGATCTTTCGCGATTCCTGAACCGGAATCTGTACCAGTCAGGTATGGATACCTTCGTGCCTGGTTCCAATTAGGAACTACTCTTAATTACCTGATATGAACTCAGCAGTAGCTTGCGACAATCAAGTGACCACGTACTACATGGGTCGGCTTCCTACCCAGAGGATCCCTATCCCAGTCCGGCAACCTTCTCAGAAGAGTCTTACGTGATCCATACGGCCAACGCCTTGAAGCCGCCACGAGTACCACTACATTTCACTCCGCCCGGGTATTCATTAGCAAACCCAACACTTGCTACACCAGTGAATCGCTACAATTTTACCGCATTTGAAGGCTTCCGTGAAGGGCCATCCCGAGCACTCTATCCGACTTTCAGCCAAGAGGCCTATGAGATCCCGCAACAGCATCGCTCTGCATCATCCCCACGACCAAAGCGTAAACACATCACTGACGATCGCGCATCACAGAAAGACAGGTCCACAAGTAAACGACGTCGCTCCGAAACAGTTACTCGAGAACTCACTGATGAAGAGCAGGAACAAATTTTGCGGGCTCTTAAAAAAGTTAATCCTAATATGCCAATGCCACAATCAATCACTGTAGAAACTACAATCGTTGAGCCACGTACATTATGGAGGTATGGCCTGTAATATTGCGAATCTTGATACGCTCTGGCATTTGTACTAATTCGTACTATAGCGTTCTTACGACACCATTAAAACGCATGTTTGGAGGAGAGGACTGATAAACATCATTATCGATTATACCTTTATGAAAACAGGGGAAAGAAGGATGTTGGGGCGTATATGATTGCAACGCTGTGGCGGGGCTGAATTTTGGATTATAATCTGTAAATACATTAGCTTCTGTTTCTGACCAAATTTACGCATCTTGGCATCGTGGTCTACAAGTCCGTAATCGAGCCAAATGAAATAATCTATTTAAACTGTACATAAAAATGAAGCTAGTAACCATCATGAATCCGCAGCTTGCACAAGTCCTTATTCCCACTCTATGGTAGCTGGTGGCTTGGAGCTGACATCGTAGACAACACGATTCACTCCTTGCACCTCGTTGATAATCCGGCTGCTAATGCGCTTCAGAATGTCGTACGGAAATTCGAACCAATCAGCAGTCATAAAGTCTGTTGTGAGATTGGGAGAATTAGTTGTACGGGTCTCGGTTCGGAAGGGGTTCTCCATGTATACCTTTTGTCTCAACGGCACGCAGAGCAATGACCTGCTCATATGTCCGCTTGTCTCCCATCACACCAACAGAGCGCACGGGAAGGAGTGCAGCGTAGGCTAACCAGGACACACTTGTTAACCTTTGCAAAAACCCAGAGTAAACGACATGACCCTACATACCCTGGGAAATCTTTCTGTAAAGACCCGCCTTCTTAATCTCCTCAATGTAGATATGGTCCGCGTGACGTGCAATAGCGACCTGCTCAGGAGTCACCTCGCCCAAGATACGAATAGCAATACCAGGTCCAGGGAAAGGATGACGCCAGATCAGCTCGTCATCAATGCCCATGATGCTTCCGAGGGCACGGACTTCGTCTTTGAAGAGTTCGCGGAGAGGTTCAATGACTTTGAGTTTCATGTCATCCAGTAAGCCTCCGACATTCTGTTGGTTTTTGTTGGACTGATATTAGCAAGCCTTCCAAAACAGTACGCTAAGTGATCTTACGTACGTGGTGGGTTTTGATGGTCGCAGAGGGGCCCTTGAATGAAATTGATTCGATCACATCGGGATACAAAGTTCCTTGTAAAAGAAACTCAATTTTGCCCTTGCCCTCCTGTTCCACCTGCGCCTCAATCTTGGCACCCTCTGCCTCAAAGACCTCGATAAAGGAGTTGCCGATGATCTTTCGCTTCTTCTCGGGATCAGTGACGCCCTTCAACCTGCCCAAAAATAACTCGCTCGCATCCGCTAATGTCAAGTTGATTCCGAGGTGTTTCTGGAGCGTTTGCTGAACAGTTTGGCATTCGTTCAGACGCATTACTCCGTTGTCGACCAAGATAGCATGGAAGCGGTCACCAATGGCTTTGCTCATTATCATGGCGGCTACGGTACTGTCAACACCACCACTGACTGCACCAATAACTTGGGCAGTGGGACCGACAACGTTTCGGATGCGTTCGATCTCTTTGTCTACGAATGACGCCTGAGCGATAAATTAGCTCTCATCCACAACTCCAGCGCTTGCAGCGGTAGGGCGCTTACCATCGTCCAGTTCGCATTGGCTCCACAGATACCGATGGCAAAATTTCTCAAAATGGCTGAACCCTTGGGAGTGTGGGTGACTTCGGGGTGGAACTGGATACCGTAGATCTGTTCCTCTTCTTTTTCGATAGCAGTGTAAGGCGACGTCGCGGTATACGCAACTGGTTTGAAGCCTTCAGGAGCCTGGGAAAGCTGATCGCCGTGACTCATCCAGACCGTTAAATCATTGGGAAGTCCTGCGAATAGCCTGCTTCCAGGACGGATCTGGATATCAGCCTTTCCGTACTCGCGCTTGTCGTGTGGTTCTACTTTGCCGCCCTTTGTCCAGGCAATTTCCTAAACAAAAGTTATCAGAATTCTGCAAGCTGTCGCGCAAACCCTATCATTTTTTTTATTAACCTGTAGTCCATAGCAGATACCAAGGATAGGAACGCCCAACGTCCACAAGGCAGGGTCAACATGTGGCGAGTCCACATCGTAGACAGAGTAGGGACTACCAGACAGTACAACACCTAGATGATTCAGAGCATCTTTAATAACCCGTTACTGAAAAGATTTGTTCGTTTGAATGTTGAAAGTTACCCTTGGGTTTGAATTTGAGATCGGCTATCTTGACGGTGCATGCCAGCAATTCACAGTAAACACCGAGTTCACGAATGCGTCGCGCAATCAAATGGGTGTACTGTGACCCAAAGTCTAGGATGAGAATGGTGTCATACTGCTGGGAGACTTCTACGGTGGAAGCCATGGTGTCCAAATGACGGCAAAGAGGTTTGCCAGGAAGCTAAAGGTGCAAAATGTCCAAAACAAAAAGAATTCAAACGAGTGCGATAAAGCACGTGATATATTTCAGTGACTGGGCCGCTCCAACGCTAATGGCCATGGGTTGGATCTGAGGTGGGCAGCAGGCGGTGATTGCTGTTGGAAAAGCTCGCCGTCTCCCTTAAAGCTCGTCGATGCTTTAGGGAGTTTGACTCCTGTCGCTACCTATGGAAGGGCAATGTCTTCCGTGAGATACCTGTTTGGGAATGTGGACGAAAGTGGAAAGTTGCAAGATAATGATCTGCCTGAGGTGTGCACCAGATCGTCACAGACAACTTTTGAGATGCGAGAGTATGGGATTGCTTATATACAGTTGATCTCCTAGGACTTTCGGAAAACTTTGGAGGAAAGCGATGATTATTTGAGCCGCATACTTGGTGATTTGGGACTGGCATCGGAAGATGGGGCTGCAGACTCGAAAACCGGCGTTGTCAAACCGGATGCTGACGCGGTAGACTTTTCGGGCATCGATGAACTAGCGGATGAAGGAACAGGGGCATACCAATTTGGCGGAGCTACTCCTATGGTTATACCGCGGGCGGCGCCTGTTCTTCCCTTCGCACGGCGGAGCATGGTTGGTGGTGACTTGGATGAGGATTATGATGTAGCAGAACCCGATGAGGAGGAAGCAGTCAATGCACACGTACAAGTGAATACTTTGCGGGAACCCCATGCGACTGTTCCGATATTCTCAATTCCTACACCGCCACAGCCGCCTCCGGTGCAACAAGTCTATGACAGAGCTCGACTTGCACAAATATTTCCTGGCTTCGGGGAGGGCGAGCTGAAGTTCTCTGAGATCTTTTCTGCAAAGGGTTCCAGAGTGCAGCGACCGAGGAAAAGACTAATCACCAAAGGTGGGCAACCCCCGTCTAGGGCCGAGGAGCACCTGTCCGAAGGACTTTCACAGACTTTCATACACCGGTTGTGATGAGTACACTAATGGTACCTCTTGGGGCGGTTTCATTTTGAATAGCGTCTCTTAGGAAACAGCCCTATCCAGTGGCCCCCGATGACCGAGAGCTCTTCCGCCAGCGACTGCCACCAAAGACAACCCGTGGACCTTTATATGTCATTGAAAAAGTGGAGTTTAAACCCGTTCCAACGCCAGCGCAAGTTAACGCCGAAAAAGGGGTTTGTTCTACTTCGTCCCTAGTTGATAATAACGCAGCAAGGCGGTTTACACACCATTGCGTGCAAAGGATGCAGATTTACCATCGAGTATGTACCCTGTGGTGCTCGAGCACTGGGAAGATCGGGTGGTATGGGACGACGACGTTTCTGAACCAAAAGACCATCCTGCATCAAGGTCGGTCTTCTTGGAGTCTAAAATTTCATGGATTAATCTCTGATGTTATGCACTACCAGAATACGTGAGAGACTGGTATTCCGTAACTATGATCTGGACGCAGGAGTGTGGGAATCTGCTATACGATGGGAAGGCGTGGAGGCATGCGAGTCAGATCAGCGAACCGAGCGAACATCTCCACAGAAAGACTGGGAAGAATCTTTGAAGCTTCAAGGTGAATTAGGGTTGGCTGCAGCACGATTTGCGATGGTGCTAACTAGAGAACTTTTCAAGCTGTAAAACGCCGTGGCAGCATCTTGGAATCAAAAACGGTATGGGCTGGCTGTCTATATCCGATCTGTGCCAACTCTGTGACGAGAGCTAAAGCAGATGGTTGTCTTTGCGCATTATGCAGAACCGTTTACGAAGGTTTAATTTATCGCAAGATCGGCTCTATGATGGCCTTAGGTTGGTGGGCTCTGATCGAGTGCGCCAAACTTACGGCGCTGGGACTCTACAGCATGCTCTACCAGCGGTCAAACTTCATCCTCTCTACGTACGTCACAAATTTTCTGACATATTGACCTTACTTGTTTATGATTTCATATCCTTTCAGTTCAAGCCGCACCTGACCAAGAAGGAACTACGATCCTTCCACAGGCCAACATTAAGAATCCCGCTTAAGACACCTATTCATTTCTCTCGTGTGCGAAACATTAAGAAGAAAAAGCTAAAAGGAAAGGAAGCCGGCGAACTGATGCGAACACCCAAGGATATCTCGTTAAAGGATGCCTGTCGATATGCACTAATGGAATACTCGGTAGGTCAACTTCTTTTACCACAAAACGGGCTTAGAAGGACCGAGCCAACATTGAATTTTTTAGGAAGAGTATCCTCCTATTGTGATGAACACGGGAATGGGCAGTCTCGTCTATAATTATTACCGCAAAACAGCCGAGAAGGATCCACATGTTCCAGTGGTAGGTACCTTTTACCCGTCGTGGCAGAGTATAGTACCAGTGTCAACACGATTCGTCCCACACAGCTCGACCTTGGGACACCATATATCTTGGACGAGGTTGATGCGTCACCATTTTTCGGGTTTGGGGACGTTGAACCGGGGCAGACGTTGCAAGCTATCTCCAACAACATGTTCCGAGCTCCAATCTTTCGACAGGAAGCCTCCAAAACAGATTTCCTCGTGATTAGGTGAATGCTCTCTAGTTGGTCGTGAAAATGTCTAATGGCTAATACCCCTGGCCGACAGACACACGCTCAAGGGTCAATCGAAATATTATATCCGCGAAATTCCCCATCTGTTTGCTGTCGGTCAGACTTTTCCGTTGCAGGAAGTCCCTCGTCCCCAGTCTCGGAGGATTACACAAACTATCAAGGGTAGACTCCAGGTATATGGAACTCGTCAACCTGCGAATGACAATGCGATGATAACATCATTTCCTGGAAGGTGGTAACCTTTAGACACATGCGAAGAGATCCTCAAAAGCGTCTCAGATACGAAATGCTTGTTAAATCCTTTCCCGGCTTTACTGAACCGCAACTGCGGCAAAGACTGAAAGAGTTTGCTCAGTTTGCAAAGAAGGGTGAAAATACTGGTTGGTGGAAGTTGAAACCCGGTATTGCACTCCCAAATGAGGAAGAGATACGGCGACTTGTCACTCCCGAAATGGTAATCATGCCACTAACGGGAATTTACGTGTGATTAAGCAGCTGACATTCGACGCACAGGTTTGCCTCATGGAGAGTATGCTAACGGGACAGCAGCGTTTACGAGATATTGGTTACTCTGATATCGGCATGGATGAAGAGAACGATGATGAGGAGATTAATACGGATATCGAAGTGCAGCTGGCACCGTGGACCTTAACAAAGAACTTTGTGCAAGCAAGTCAGGTATTATGCTAGTTTTCTGTCCGGAAATTATATGAAGTTTTAAAAAGTTGCTATCGCCGTCTCTAGAATAAAAGTATGATCAAGCTATACGGTCCTGGTGACCCCTCGGGACGCGGGGAAGCATTCAGTTTCATTAGAGCCTCGATGAAAGAACCTTTCTTGCGATATGGGGAAAGCGCCGAGGAGCGTTTAGGTGAGATGAAAATGACAAACATTTTGCATTTGCAGAAATAAGTAATCCTTGTTTTCAATTGATGTAGAGCGCGAAAAAAATAGACCAAAGTCCTATCACCGGTTCTCTTTGCAGAG